GACGAGGTTGACAAATGAAACTCTTGCCATTTTCCTCTCCTTTTCATGATAATTAATTCCACTAATACGTTGAACCACCAAGAAAAAAAAAACCCTTCGGAGGACCTGTACTGGGGTATGTGGTATCATTAAAAGCATTTGACGTGGGGCGGGCTCCAGTTCACGACTCTAGGCTGGATTTGATACCCCTGGACCTCACCTACTCTAAAGTAGGCTGGCATGTAGGCGGCACACGCCCCTTTCCACCTCGAGCTCCAGCCGATATAGCGAGTAGTAGGTTAGTCCCGAGATGTGCGGATTCCGATATATCACATCCGCAACCCGACTAATGCAGAGTCCAGAGAGTAGTAGTAACTGTGGGCCGGGCTCACGAGCATGATCACGATGAAGACAGGTATCGAGGAAATGATCGACTCGCCGCCGCTCCAGCGCATGGCGAATTCAGACTAAGAGACGCTGGAATATTATCACTAGCCGCCATGCATGCGGTTCGTGCCGCGTACAGGACTTCAATTGGCGTGAGAAGGTGAAGCAGAACGTCAACGGATATGCACTTCCAATATTCCCCCCACGGGCCTACAATACTCTACTGGTCGGGTGGGTGGCGGTGGGATATCTCCATGACACTAGTGTAGGTTCTCTACCTACATGCTCGAGAGTATACATAGAGTACTCTACCTGTGCTCGAGCACATGCTGGATATCCGGCTATCTACATCTTGATCGACCAACACTATAGCTACCTACCTACCATACAAGCATGAAAATTACAGTTCGTCTGTTACAACAGTAAAAGCAAAAGAAAATGCCGAAAGATATTTAATAAAGGTCCGAATCATCGTTTGTATATCTAGTTAGACCTGCAGCTATACTTGACCTGGGGATTTGGTACCTTGTGACGGGATACGGATGGGGGTACTCTAGTATTGTGATAGATTTTTCTCCAAAGCACTATGTTACATATGATACTGTACCTTGTGTATGTCTGCTAGGTGGAGTACCGCAGTATTTGAGGGGTATATACGTATTCTGTACCAAAACTTGCATATTGTTGTCCAAATACTGCCTCTGGTTGGCTTATACCCCTGCTGAGGCGCAACGAACATTCTCAAATCCTACGGTAGCGTGGTAATCCGGCTACATAGTATGATACAACCCGTATGGGAGAGGGACTATCGTGAACCAAGGAAACCTTCATATTAGACCCCCCTCCCACCCACCCAGCACACACTTCTGTTCCCCCCGCCATAGATATCTCATAAATAGGCACACCCCACCAGTTTCCACCAGAAAAACCCCATTCCTGAAAAATACCCATCTCCAAATCTACACCCGACCTATAACAGAAAAGAAAACAATCACCATGTCAGCTGGACAAGATGAGATTGCCATTGATGAGGTATGTCACACCAGAATGATGGTCCCTTGCAACAGAAATATCACAATACCAACAGAGAGATTCTAACATGCCATGTCACCAACAGACTATCTCGGATGACTCTGGAAGCTCTGCCTACCAGTCTGGGTCGTATGTCGACACCTCCGAAAAGGACGAAGATAATTGGGAAAACTGGTCGCTGATTGTGAATGCTAGTGAATACTCGACCGCATCTCTGTCGTCGTCGATATATGAGTAGGTCTTTCTCGTGAGGGCTATGGTCTCCGGAGGTGCTGACGTTGGGGTGTGACAGCTACCGTTATGAGAACGGACGCAGATATCATGCGTATAAGGATGGGTGAGGCAGTACTGATTTCTCTTGATATGGGGGGCGGGATTGTGGCTAATACATGATCGTAGGAAATACGCTTTCCCCAACGACGAGGTACGACTCTGGATATGAAGACTGGATGGGTATGATGATCGAGAATTGCAGACTAACCGTATTATCCTCATCTATAGAGAGAACAAAACAGGTCAGTCTCTCACCTACAGATCAACCATAACCACGAAGGGTAGCTAACAATATCCAGACTGGACATCATCCACCATGTCTACCTCCTCATGCTCGACGACAAACTCCATCTTGCCCCCATAGGCGAAAACCCACAGCGCATCCTCGACGTTGGAACCGGTACCGGTATCTGGGCCATCGATATGGGAGAGTGAGTAAACTAACCCCCACGCCGACCCTCACCTCCCCCCACATCCGTTTTGTATATCGAACATATATCTTACTCCTAACTACAGACGTTACCCCTCCGCGGAGGTTGTAGGAACCGACCTGAGTCCCATCCAGCCCAGCTGGGTCCCCCCAAATGTGCAGTTCCAGATTGACGACGCCGAGGTAGAGTGGACATGGGCGAACGACTCGTTCGATTTCATCCACATGCGACACTTGACTGGTGCCATCCAAGACTGGCCGGCGTTGGTGAAGCGGGCTTACCGGTATGCTCATCTCCCATGGATGATATAATAGTATACGTAGAGACTGACGAGGTTGTGTCCATAGATGTGTCAAGCCCGGCGGTTACGTCGAGTTTGGAGAGTACGAGATGGACCTTTGCAGCGACGACGGCACATTCCACAGCGGCCTTTACCTGTGGAAGTTCTACGACCTTGTCAGGAAGGCTGCGAAGAAGCATGGTCTGACCACCCACCCCGACCAACTCAGTGCAAGAGATAAGAAGAACCTAACGCTGACATGAACAAATAGGTCGCGAGTTCAACGTAACAGCAAGACTAAAGGGCATGCTCGAAGACGCTGGCTTCGAGGACATCACCTATGAGACGTTCAAGATCCCACTCGGAACATGGCCGGCCGATAAGAAGCTGAAGGAGAAGGGTGCATACCTCCTCCTCAACGCCGAGACTGCTGCTTTCGATGCCTTTGGCACGGGGTTGTTTACGAGAGAGTTGGAGATGACTCTGGACGAGGCGAATGAGATCATAGAGGGTGCGGGGAGGGACGCGAGGAACAGGAAGATTCATTCCTACAACGTGCAGTAAGTTATAATAACTACATGTACTCATCTTTGACTGTGGGGCATGCATGAGCTAACAGTGTGTTCAATTAGACATCTCTTATATGCTCGTAAGCCGTTGGAGGACTGCTAGATGTTGTCTGGGGGGTCTCTTAAGGATTTCGTATAGTAGCAGTACTAGCTCATTTATTGGCCGAATGAAGTAATGAGATTCAATTTCCTGCTAGGACTGTGTTTGTACTCTACAAAGAATACTATGCTTGCGATCGGCTCCATGCCTGTTTGCGTTCGATGCCAGATCTCTTGCGTTGATAGGCGGGTGTGCCAACCGTTAGCGCAACACCCTCAAAAATGGTAGCCCTAACCTTGACCGGTCTTGACATATCTGTCAACGACCCAACGTTACAACAAGTCCCCACGACAGAGAATACAATCTGTCTAATGCATTTGAGACTTTCTGAAAATGAAGACTTACAACTCAACTCTCTTTCATACCCCAGTCGCTTGGTGTCAAGGATCCTACCCCCCCCGCGCCGCGGATCGATCGGCGTCAGCACTCAGGGCTTGTTGATACACCCCCGGGCCCCAGCTCTAGAGGCACAAAACTGTCAAGACGTTATCGGCAATACCCGTGCGGAATAATCACCGGTCAAATCGCATTATTTTGCGTAAATTTATAAGGTGAAAATAACGTAGTTCTTCCTATCGAGTTGTTGTTTGATCCACCAACTTATAAATCACATGTCTGTAGGTAACTATCGTGGTAGTAATCGTAAAAGGGGCACGGTTATTGCTGATCAAGGGGAGAATAAACTACCTATCATATAACCATTCGCTGAGCCTCATTTATCCTGTACTTGAGACATAGGCAGCGATGTGCAACGTACCTCAGGGTTTTTCTGGGGTGTACAGCGACCTGGATATCTCTACCAGGTGTTCCCCGAAGCTCAATATTCGGACAATATTAACCATACTTTATAATTTGTGCTCCTGACAGCAAAACTCTCGAGTGTTGAACGTATGACGGTATCGCTAACTATCAATCGTATGTCTACGGATATTATGTACCCAGCCACGTTAATGACAGGGTTCGTACGATCGTAATCTATCTCATGGAACAGTTTTGTTTGTGCATCTCTGTTTCCAGTTAAAAATTAAACGGATCTCACCCCCATTCGCATATTCCCCACTTTAGTGGGGAGCGCCTTGTGAGGGTCGTTCCTGCAGGGATCAGAAATAGAAAATCTACAACTCCCACTTTGAACCGAGTATCTGAAGATATTAGAAATTCTTTGATCTGTATTGGTTTGGAATTTCCGTCTGTTCTCAACTGCTAAATCAGATACTTGTGTTTGGAGTACAGCGGGCAAGTGCCATAAGCTTTGGCTAGCTAAAGACTAGCCATGAAATGTTTGAATAAGGGGTCGATATCAAACGAGCCTGAAAGCGACCGGAAGGAATAAACTGTGCCTCAATGCAGGTACAATATGTACTCCTCTGGCACAGTTATTGTTCTATCTGTATTGGTACTAGGATCCTCACGACGCATGTTACATAGGGGTGCTTAATCCGCTTATAAGAAGAATCTACTTTACGGCATTCAGCGATTCTATGATGTGTGATATTGCAGCACGACGAGCCTACTGAACAAATCTCAAATCCAAATCATTCGCCGCCGCAGATGAAGTATAAGAGTCTTGGGCGTGAGGATCCAACAGACCCCGATCCAGCCAAAGGTACGCCTCTTCAATCCTCCTTCGACTCAGTTATACAGTTCATAATAGATTTCTAGTTAGCCAAGTCTATAAAGGCAACTGGCGACCATGGCCTATTCGAGCACCGTTCTTAATATTCTTCACGATATTATGTTTAATTCTCACTCTGATAGCAGAGTTATTGCTTCAGAGATCGGAACGGGATAAAGGTCTTGTCTTTGGGGATCTTTCTGATCCAGAAAGAGGAATATCCAGAGGCACAGATTTCTTTTGCAATTATTTACCTACGATAATATCTGTTTTGTTTGGCCTTCTTTGGGCTACATCGGAGCATGACTTCAAGCGACTGGAAGTGTTCTTCCAGATGTCCAAGGCCGGGGGTGCTACAGCGAAAGATTCACTCCTACTTGAATATCCATATAGCTCCCCGACTTCCCTTCCATGGGAGTCATTTAAACGAAGGTACGCATTACAAAATAAGTTATATTTTATCAACACTAACCCTCACTTAGACACTGGGCTGTCTGCTTATCTTCTACGATGGCGCTGTTCTCCGTCGTCTTTCTGATCCCGATAATGCCCGGTATGATAGAAGAGAGAGATGTCGTCAAATCATTGGAGACAGAAATTCCTAGCCAAATTCAATTCAGGAATACGTCAGCAGGTTTCTCTACCGAATCTTCATACCAGGCATATCAATATGCTTGGTTGGGCGGCTCACTTCCAGCCTTTACAACTCCCGAGTATGCACTAATGCCGTTCGATGTCAGTGCGGTCAAGAATCTTAGGGAGGATGAGACCTGGACAGGGGAGTCAACCCTTTATGAGGCGGATCTCAAATGTCAGAAGGCAGATATACCCAAGAAAGGATGGGGATACGTGATTAGTAATGGAAATGACTGTGAATACCACCTTGTCGACATTGTCAAAACTTATTACACCTTGGAATCCATTCCATCGGGGGATACTGACTTGATGGCCGACCTGGAACATCTCGTGGACTTTAGTTTCTATGCTCCCTGGAATAGTTTATTTATGGGCCACGAATCCATGACAGTAGGAGTGAGTAGGCGGATCATACAAGATATCTACACGCTCAACTCCCCAATGCCAAAGTGCTCGAAAGATCCTCGGTTTCTTGGCATATGGGGAAACCAATATAATCTGACGGCAGAAGACGGCGACAGGCTTGCAGCAAACTGGACAGCTGTATACTGCGAGCCAAGCTACTGGACACAGTCCGTCATGGCTACTGTTCAGATCAAAGGACAGGATCGCATTGTCCAAAATGTTGACCGTGTGGGGGAAAGGAGGTCATTGTCCGGCTTTAACGCTCCCGCCTTTGAAAAGCTCGCAGCTACTGGTCAGACATCTGCATTGCCGGAAGATCTGGATAGCAACGGATATTCTGTAAATTTAGGCACCGCACCGCTCGAGTATCCAAATGCAAGGTACCAGCTTCTGCAGCGCTATGGGGCTACCGATCCGGCCTTTTCTAATAGGGCTGAGAGTGTACCAACGGTTCAATTGCTTACCGAATTTGGTCTCGGTGGATTTGCCCTCCGGAGCTATCCCAACGATACACTCTCGAGTTTGCTAGATCCAGTGGAACTTGCAAAATCTTATAGTGATGCTTACAAGCTTCTCTTTTCGTTTTCGTTGGCCTCCGACCTGAGAAACCTCCCGGCGTCAAATAATTCAATCACAAAGATCACCCGAGAATTCGAAACAGAAACGTACGCTGTGAGCGTTGTGTGGTGCCGGCTTACACAAGCTGGATTCATCGTACTGGCCCTCCTAACGCTCTATCTTTTATACGTAACTTAGGGAAGACAAACCAATCTTGATGGAGAACCAAACTCTTTGTTAGAATCAATGCTTGCAATTCGGACGCTATCACAAGATGTTACAATGCACAATTCCGAGTTTTGTGATCCCCGTGTTCTATCGGATTCTTTGATTCGTGCTGGCCACAAATACCAGCTACGATTGGTAGAAGGGGAAGGTCCTATAATCGAGAAGGTCACAAGCGGGAGTGCGGATCAGAAAACATGGTTGACTCCTGAGCATATCGACAACAATGAACTTACTCCCTTCAAGCCTAAAATTAGTTGGGAACTCAGCAGGATCGCGGGAGTCTCGTATTTTTCCTTTTTTGGTTTCTTACTGGTATTCTTGATATCCATATACACATATAGCACTAAGGATAATGGTAAGATTTCTACGTCTGGTACAAGATTATGGCATATTCAGCAGCTTGGGTACTAACATTCCATTCCTCGACCGCAGGACTTCCTACCGTGGCACCTACCAACTCTTTTGGCTATAAGATACTGTGGTCTTATATACCCACAGCACTTGGTATGGCAATAGAGCCATTGCTAGTATTATTGGGGGCTTATGCCTGTATGGTTGGTCCTTATGAGACCCTAAAAAAAGGCCTCGGACAGGCAAGGAGCTCCCGCTCACTTGTTCTCGACTATGATAAATCCCCTCCTCATTTTCAGCTATGGCAATCTCTCAGAGTTCGAAATTTTGTCCTTTCTGCCCTTACTATCGCCATTCTTGCGGTAAACTTCCTCGCCGTTGCCCTTGGAGGACTCTTTTCCTCGTCATCTGAACTCTTCATGGTTACCGATGATTTGGACCGCTTTACTACCCCCAAGGTTGCACAAACGATTTCAGACTATACCAGCAACTTTGAAAGTACGCCCATGCCGGAGATGTACTACGTTTTGAGCGGAAATCTCTCTTTAAACAGCTCCCTTCCCCAGTGGACCACGCCGGAAATGTTTATTCTGCCCTTCAACAGCACAAAGCCTTCGGAGCAGATTGTGGAGCAACGCGGCACCACCTGGGGATTCGGAGCAAATATATCTTGCGAGTTGATACCCGACGAGCTTTTAATGCGCAACACGACAACCTATGAGATTTTTGGGTCTGGTTATACTGTCAACACCCTTAATATTAGCCATAGCTGCTGGGGAGAGGATATATTTTACTTGGACGGAGAGACACCAATATATAATACAAGCCTATTTTACTGGAACCAAGATGGAACGCCTGCCAGCGACTTTTTCCTCAAGTCTCCAACATGCCCTGGGACGTTTTTTGCCGGGTGGGGCGAAATTCCGGGTGACCCGAACCCAAGTAACTTCTCACATCCTTATGCGCCGAATAATCAGACCGAATACGTGGTCATCTCATGTTCCTCGAATTTGGAGGTTTCGGAGGTCTCGGCAGTAGTTGACGGGAAAGGCATCGTCCTTTCCTACGATATCCTCAAATCGCTACCCCGATCTGAAGGCAAAGCGTTCTTCGGATGGGATAACACCACAGATCCTACTGTCGATTATGACACAAGCTTTCAGAGCGCCATAGCCGCCTTTTTAACCAGAGATGGGGAGTGGAAAGTTTCCGGCAGTATATTAAGAGTAGGCAGTGACAATACCTTCCTGAGTCCTTACACATTGAGGTGGATAAACTATCTTATGGTTGAAAAAAACCCACTTGTCCGTCGCCACCTGACAAATGTCACGCATATACCCGATAAAGAAAATGTCGTACAAGCATTCACGGATGTTTACAAAGCCCTCTATTCAATCAACCTCCAGCTCTACTCCGATAAATACATTGAGTTTGGCGCCACAGAAAAGACTATCGGAACATCGTTTGTCAGCAAAGAGCGTGTCACACTTTCACGTTCCATGTTTGGAATGGCAACAGGAATCCTGACATACTTCCTGATTGTCATTATATATGTATACTGGTCTCGTCCAGGTGCTAACCTGAGCCATATGCCTACAACATTGGCAGCGACTCACACGTTATTATACGCAAGCAATGCGCTGGAGGATTGTGCCCGTCTTTACGGAGAAAGTACAAAGGACCGAGCACTGAAACTTTTGGGGCTAGGCTATACGTACAGCTAAGGGTTTTTTGTTGGGTGGGATCGTAAGCAACATTACGGTGTTCACAAGGAGTCCTCCACCGAGACCTCAAGCCCTAGAACTTACGAGGACGTGAAGCCTGGGGAGAGTCAGTTCCTGATGAAGGTGGAAGTTACTGAATATATTGCTCCTCCTTCGTAGAGCGGAGGTGGTTCTATATATGTGCAACCGGGGGAGGCTACTTCTTCTATTTGTTTATTTCCTTCTTGTCGTTAATATATCTTTTGGCGAAATTAATGGTGGCGGGTTACTATTTCTCTGGGATTAGAATAGGGATACATACATGTATATTTATACTCATCAATTTTGGGACCTTTCAAAACTAGAATGGTTATTTTCTGTACAAAAAATAAAACGTTTTTTTATGCCCTGTGTGTACAAGTCCTGACCGAGTGAATCGGAGGGATTTAAAACAATTACTGGCTTTGTGTTTATCCTACAGCTCAACATGTGTATATAAGTACAATCATACTGAGTGGGATAGTCTCAGTCTAACCAAGAGCAGGCGTTCGTCAACTATGACGCGCTCCTATATAGGTTGAACTAGTGCAGGCATTTGTCCATTTCTCGCGCTCATACTCTGGCACTGTCCTCTCGGGTGAGTACCGTACCCACCCCTAGAATATAGCCGTGTCTGTCGTCCGTGGATTGGGGGGGGGGGGGGGGGGGTTCGATGGTTGGATCAGAGAACTTGCCATTTCAACAATATATAGAACTGATCAGGTAAAAGAGAAAAAAAAAGTGTTTGAAAGAGGATCTAAGCGGGATTCGAACCCGATTATCACAACCAGGATTGTGTTGATGGGTACCCGCAGTGCATATGACACAGTACCACAGACTGGCTCATGTGTGCCGTTTAACCTATGTATCTGCAGGGACCTGAGCTTGCATACCAACGCGAGCAGTTTTGAGGTGGTTTTATATAACGGGCACGTACCACGCGAGGAGAGAGATACATACATCAACCTCGAATGCCTGTCAGTCAGTCAGTCAGTACACCAGCCAGTCCAGAGCTAGCTAGAGGGAGAGAGACCACCCTCTCACGGTCCTAAACAACAACACAGATGTACATACATCTCTTCGGATGGATGCGGCTACTATGATTACTAGCTGCGATCTCCGTGTTACTGCATTTGTCACTGCACATATATATACTTGCTCACCACATACATGTATATATGTATCCGGCTCTTTGCGGAGTGTTGCTGCTATTCAGCCCGTTTTCGAGGTGTACGAATTGATGGTCGTGATCAGCTGGGTGTTCCGCTGAAGCGGGAAACGTATGCCTAAGGCGAACTGCAGCTGGGTGTGGATTGGGGGGGGCACAGAAATAAGCTGTTGATCATATATAAAGCAAAAAGCCTAAATCTTTTCAAAAATGATTACATCCTAGCTATACATCCTGGCTACAAATCTACACCGCTACACACCAGCACAGTATAAAGGACCTCTCTCTGCCATACTAAATGTACGTATTTCCCATTGCTATCCCTCTAGGATTATAGGACCTAACCACAGAATCCACTATGCGTTTCCCTAGACTCACAGCAATGGCCGCTCTTCTGGTTTCCAGCACTGCTGCATGTGCAGCAGAGGTTCCAGGCAAGCTGATCCTAAATACCCACATCTTGATCATTACGAGTCCAACTAACCAACCCCCCCCCCCCCCCACCGCAGCCCTCCCAGTAAACTTCGGAGTCCTCGTCTTCCCCGCCTTCCAGGTAACCCCCGCCTCCACCTGATACCCAATTCCCAATTCCCAAGTCCTCCCAGCTAACCCCTCCAGGCACTCGACGTCTTCGGCCCCCTCGATACCCTAAACATGCTCTCCACCCTATTCAAGACCAACCTCTACATCATCGCCGAGACTCTCGACCCCGTATCCACCAAGCCCCGCTCCCCCGCCATGAACACCACCGGCTCCGACTTCGGCGAGAGCATCGTCCCCACACACACCTTCACCAACCCGCCCGCCCTCGACGTCCTCATCATCCCCGGCGGCGCCGGCACCCGCGCCGGCGCCCTCCTCGACCCCGCCCGCGAATACATCAAAGCCGCCTTCCCGTCGCTGAAGTATCTCCTCACCGTGTGCACGGGGTCTGCGCTCGCCGCATCGACTGGCATCCTCGACGGAAAGAAGGCAACAAGCAATAAGGCAGCATGGGTATGGGCCACGGGGCAGGGGCCCAACGTGAACTGGGTGCCGAGGGCAAGGTGGACCGTGGATGGGAATGTGTGGACGACGTCGGGGGTGGCCGCGGGCATGGATGGAACGTTTGCGTTTGTAAAGGAGATATATGGTGAGGAGGCGTTTGAGTGGATAAGGAATAAGGTGGAGTATATGCCGCAAGAGGATGCGAGCGTCGATTACTGGGGGGAGTTCTATAATACTACTTGGCCGATTGTGGAGTAGGTTGGGGACAGTTACTTTTGGGATGGGCATTATATTATTCCAGTCAATGATTGAAGGGTTTTCCGGAGAACGCGCATCGAAGTGAGATGCATTCTGTTATTGAAATATGAACAGGGTGTTTTTTGTCCGTAAGGTCTAACTAACTATAGCGAAAGAAGAAGGCTATGTAGAAAGAAAAAAAAGGGGAAAAGACTATACCTACAAAACCCTAACCCATCAACGAATGCTCCAATGTACCGTAGCTTCGCCGGTCCCCATCCTCAAAAAATAGAAACAAGGAAACCGGTAGAAGAGCCACGTTCCCAACTCAAAAAGAATTGAACCGGAGGACCAGAGAACTCGATGGATGTGGTGCTAGAAGCATCACTATTAAGTTTGAGAATAACTTGTGTAGCTTTTGCCGCTATCAGATTAATCCAGTACGTCCTTTTGACCTTTGACTAGCGCCTACCGAGTCATAGAATAACTTGATCTCTGAGTTTTTACTAGTTCGTTGCGGTGAAAGAGATGCAATTTATCCAATTCAAGTATTTAGCAGACAGCTATATATAATTACAAGCGGAGTGCGACCTCCGGCCGCCCAAATGAGGTGAGGAAATGAAGGTGCGGGCGGTACTGCGATAGTAATTTCTTAGATTATTGCTGTTATTCTGGACCATTGGGTCATCCAAACGTACAGGCGCGCACTAAACGATCATATAGGTAATCTGCGATTTATTAGCTCTAGTATGCACTCTAAGTCATTCAATAAGTAGCTTTAGTATGTACATGTAGTTCATGATAAAATGCTATCAGGGAAATTCGACGTTGATATATAAAAATATGGCTGTAGTTCTGTCAGTGTTTGTTCTTTTATATCCATCAATTGCAATAGCTACATGCCTTTAATGCCAGTTCCCTTCCATCTCGGGAGTAGTTCTTTGTCTACTTGTGTAATGATACGCAAACAATATTAGAAATAGTACGCAACCAATAGAAAACGTTCCTGGTGACGATGAGGAAGACTATATAGTTTAGATGCAACAAGTTAGTATGGCTTCGGGCGAGTGATAGCTCATGCGACGCTAGTAAGTGTCTTACTCTAACAAGTTAAGTATTCTTTTAACTACTTTTAGAAAGCTCCAACACAGAATATTACCCACAGGATTATTACTTGCCGAAATAAAGCAGAACTGGATCTAAAAAAAGAGACTCTACACCATTATCCCCCCAGAATCGTCCTCTTTCCAACTATTATAGTCCTACTTAGCTATATGGCATATGACCGAAATTATTTCCTCCCTTCTCAACCCAACCCTAGCCCTACGGCTTCACAACCCTAACCCACTCCAGCTTATCGTCCATGAAAAATGTAGTCCCTGCCGTCCCAGTGACATTCTGAATACCGCAGTTCTCTGCAAAGTCCCCTGCTTTGGCGTTCTTTGCTTGAATGAGTTTGACATATTGATCTAGCGGGCACGATCTTCCAGGGCCGGATTGGCACGATGACACAGCTGTCGAGTGATCCGGATTAGTATCTTTGTGAGTGCAGACGGAGAGAATGGCTTACGGTATACAGCATCGTTGAGACGGATTCGGACATAACTGTTCTTCTTATTGGAGGAAGATGTAGAGCAGGATAGGCGCTCAAACGCTACAGTACCACGCATCGGGTTTATCCTACTACTGATAAAGATCTAGTTCCTATCAGCACTAGTACACAGAGCCTATGTCTCGAAGCAGTGGACTCACTCTCGACTCATCAATTCTGTCGGTCGTCAGGTTCTGCTGGTTATCGAACACACCGGTGGCAGCTGCAAGCTGGTTGATCTGGTTATCGTGCGTAAACGCAACCACCAACGGTGGTGGCTTGAAGCTACTGCCCGTGTGGGTTGTATACGTCCTATTCGGCCCCTGCTGCAGCACCTCCATGATGGAGCTGAGGAGCGGCAGCATCATCGTTGACTCCAACCCCGAGCCGGGACCTGTGCTTGTCAGCTTTGGAGAATCATAGAGACCAGGATGAACACCTACCAGTACCATACCAGTACCTCAGATCTTGGCGGTACTCATATCCTAACAACTCCTTCTCCTCAAACGTGCCACAAAACGGACTTTTCCTCCCCAAGATCTGCGACTCGAAGCCGCACAGGTACGGGAATGTACCCACGTCTGTGTCCTCCAGAGTTAGGTTCCCCTTGATCAGCTTCTGCAGCCGTTTCGTTACGGCTGGTAGGTAGGCCTTATCCCAGGCCGCGGTCTGCACAGACGAGTCGTCGTCGTACGCTGGGCAGAGATCCGAGGGCGCGAGTGAGTTGGCGACGGCAGCGGGATCAGAGGCATTGACGACGAGAATGTCGACGAGGGAGGTTGCGTTGGGGCCGATGTAGCCCTGCGAGAAGAGGCGCGCGGAGTCGATGGTGCGGGGGTAATTGTTGGCCCAGAGGGTGAAGGGGGTGTTGTAGGTGTAGAAGGAGGGGTAGCGGAAGCGGAGGGTGGTGCCGAGCGTGTGCAGCTCTTGGTAGCCGGTTGTGGAGACTTGGGAGATTTGGGAGCTGGAGAGGGCTGGGGGACTCCAGGTGGGGAGGAAGGTGAGGGGAGGGGAGGCGGTGAATTTTGAGGATTGGAGCTGTGGAAACGGTATTAGCAATGTCAGGGCTCAAGGAGTCTTGCGGTGGGAGGTGGAAATTCGAACCTTTGCATAGAGAGTCTGCCATTCTTTGTAGGCTCCAGGGTCTGGGTAACGACTCCCGTGGCGTATTATGTAGCTGAAGTGAGTTTCACGCGGGTTAGTTGATGTCTTACCCTTTGTACGGTGACTGGGCTCGGAGATGCTCTTACACCGCCTGATCAACTTCACAGCCCTGGGGAACCTCTTGTGATATACCAAACACATCAGGTCCTGCAATTGATTGAAATGTCAGACCAGCGGTTTCTTCAACAAAAACAGGTGTAAATGACTACACACCTGGAAACCATGGACTATTCGCGCCCACCCATTCCAACGGATTCAACGTCTTCCCTCGGTCTTGAGGACTCGCGGCAATTACAGTCTGCGAAAGCACAATCAGAGCAAGAAATCCTCGTACCATCTTGCTTGCTGTCGGGGGTGATTGACAGTCTCAATTCATGGCTACGAGCTCCAATTTATAGATTTATTAACTTACAGTTACTCTGCGAAGTAGCCTATACACGACATTATAGAGCGCACGTGTATACATGTATATACCATGAATGTTGGTTTTCATTACATAGCGTAGCTGTAGTAACGTAGGCGGGTTGGGATTATATATTTATCCGGACTTCCCAGGGTTCCTAATTCGGCGAAGTATATTGCAATTAATATATCAGTCTGTCTTAAGCGAGAGCACGTGTTGGAAAACTGGTATCATGTTGGTTCTTCGCATCAATCTCATTATCTCATTTTTATTAGTTGTAGTAGCCCTTTAAAGCGTGAGTCTGAGTTTTGAAATTTCACATGCAAACGGTCATTGACAGACTTCCCGAATCCTGAAAATGCCAAGAAATAGTAACTCTCACAAAGAAGTATTTGATACGAGTAGTAAATAAGGGGAAAGATGTTCATATCAACTCTATACCGGGTGTTTCATATACCACTGACTCGGTTCCCACCTTGGTGTCATTAGTAGATTACAAGGGTTAGGGTTTCTTCAAAATTATTAGATCTCGAGTGATATCACATGATGAAAATAGAATTTAGCTAACCCGCCCAAGAGGCCCACATGCACAAAACCCTGTCCCTATCCACCAAGTCCACCCAAGCTTTCGAATGAGGCGCGCTCCTGAACCGCTACAGGCGCGCCAAAACACACCCCGCCTGCTTAACGTCCGCTCTATCAACTAGAAAAGTCAAAGCTCATCAACGGTGCCAACCCCGCAGCAATATATTACCACTATTATAACCCTGATGCTCATAATTTATTATTATGCAACGAGCAAATACACCTCACATCAAACAGCTAACATGCTCAAAGCTTCACCCATTAGAAGCCGTGAGCCTTGACCAGTTCATCGTCCTGGTGGATAGTGGCGAACCCACGTCCTACAAGTAGTTAACGGTGTCCCGCTCGACAGTTGGCTTGTTGGAATGTCCTGTTAGCCAGTCTAGTAGCTGGCCGTTTCGGTAGGGAGATAAGGTTCTGTCTTCTCGTATACGTGTATTCAGGTAGTTCTACCTACTTAATTTCATGATCGGCTTTGTAGACGCACATTACTGTACTGGCTGACACCCCCGCGCTTGTACTTAACATTCTATCCCGTAGCAATAGAGATAGATATAGGCTGTGGGCATGTAGCTACTTCATTAAAAGGATGAAATATAGTAGCTCCTACGAGGGCACTTGAAAACCAATTACCGAGTACGCGCTAAGAGAGAGAGTACATATATATATTCATTATCATCGTGTCAAAACCTAAAACAAAACAAACCCCTGCCATGAAACCGAATCCAAAACGAAACAACCGCTCCAACAGATAATACAGAAGCAAATCATTCTCTACGTATCCCGAAAATAAATCACGTACTCGTCAACGCATTAACAGCCTCGTTCAGCTCCGCTGGGTCATTGAATACCCTCCACGCATTTTTGGGGATGCCCTTAAATGCCTTCTCGAATCTCTTGTCGCTGTTGAGGTCCTTCTCTCTCGCCTCGTTGACGCCCTGGACCCTCCTGATGAAGATTGCCCTCACCTTATCTGGATGCAATTTGTAACTACCACAAATCAGTATTAAGACTCATCGCCAAGAAAACACAAAGCTAAGATTACTCACAGGCTTGCATAAGCTTCGGGATCTGTCTGCGTGCTATCGCCAATCAGGACCCATTTCCTCATCGGGAGCCACTTCATAACAGTCCTCATACGCTCCTCCTTGTACTTCTGCGTGCCAACCGTCAAGCTCACAATGAAGCTCTCAAGCTCCATCCAGCTCATCTCTCTCAAGATCAGTTGACCTCGGGGGTAGTAGTCTGATGTGAAGGAGCGTAGCATAGGGTAGAGGTTGTATGGCGAGGCAGAGAGATAGAACCATACGGGCTTTCCAAGCGCGGTCTGGATGTGTTGGTACAGCTGCGGCATTCCTGGGACAGCTTCGGGAAGCTCTGCGAAGGTGTGACGAAGAAGGGCGAGGCGGTCACGAACTTCTGAAACTTTGATGGTGTCGTCGATGTCTATAATACCGTTAGCTATCATGAATATTGTAGTAGTGGTAAATAGGAGGACAGACCAGAGATAACGCCCCATCCCTCTGGATCTGCAAAGGCGGTTCTCATACTCTCACCCCCCTCTACGAGTACTGCACGACTTTCTACAACCTGGTCGTCCACCCACCCCCTCCCTGGTAAGGGCAACTCATTCACACTGATACCATGTCCCGCCGCGGGCCCTAACCTCAGTCGTCCCTGACCACCAGCAAAGTCAACCTCAACAGTCTTTGCCGCAAGAATTAGATTCAAGAACGGCTCCACACGCTCCGCTATCCTGCGCTCCGCCTCGGCATCACCTTTGCCGGCAATCCCGAGCTTTTCGACGATGTCCGCAACAACCAGCGATATATCCTTGCCAGAGTCTTCACTGAAGTACGCGGCAACGAACTCGGCGTGCCATTGGTGAGGGTTGGTTGGAGAGCGGAAGGCGGTATTATCGAGGAGCCAGACTTCCTGCCCTTTGCGCACAGGAGTTGATACGGGTGAACCGAGGCCAACTTTGTGGCGGATGTTAGAGAGGAGACCAGTGACCCAGCTGCACATTTTGGTGTATTGTTTTTGAAATTCTTGAGTATCTTAGGAGAGAGAAGCGGCCTGGGTGGGAGGAGGCGCATATTATAGTCCTCTATCCAGCCCTGGGCAGCGCTCCACTCTACCTACTCTATTCCTCCCTACCCAGCTAGCCAGCTGGTGCCTGACCAAGTGAGTGATGGATGATATAGTAGGGGATCCACTCTCCTCTAGCTCATGGCCGATCATCCATTTCATCCATGGCCACCACGGCCACCACCATCAACGTTTGTCCACTCAGAACATGGCGTTCACCTTGTGACGACCGCGATGTGCTACAGGAGCTGCGTCACTTTTGCCAGCTTTGCGGGGCGCAGGGATTCTTCGGCAATGAAGACATCCTTGCAAAGACAGTTGTCAATCCTGGTTACCACGAGCTGGTACGTCGGGCTAGAGTTTGAGACCTGGGGAAACCCTCGTAAAAGGTACATTCTTCTGCTTGGGTCGGTTTCGTCTGGTCTTTAGATAAAGTATTGATAGGTGTTGGGAATATCTGTTTGTTCATCGGTGCCCCATCTACGTTATCTCGGTACCTGCTATAGCGTATTAGTTAAGGCACTGTGCGAGTGTGGATGTGTGAGGAATTAATAGAGTGGCTATATACTACCAGGTTCCTAGGGAGCAGTTGCGGCCCTGATATCAGCCATGATTGCATCTGTTGACCAGCTATATCAAAGGTTCGTTACAGCCCTAGTATTAGAGGGAGGGCGTGAAGTCAAGTGGATGGCGTGTAGTCGAATCTAAGCTGGCCATCTGAGACATGTGTGTCAGCACTGTAATGTCAGGCGGTAGGGCATTCGGTTATTGGTCGCGAAGACAAAATGGTGGTTTCAGCCAGTCAGAATAGACATCCTTGTGATCAGAAGATGCTGGGATTGTATGACAGGTACTAAGTGAGGGATTGAAGTCTCGAGTACAAGTTGTAAAAATGGCTGTTGGGTTTACTACATGTACTCAGCTACATTGAATTTTCTACCCTACTATATTCTACTGCTACTGAGTAGCTGATGTATGCACCAGGTATCCGATGCAGAATGAAACATCAATAATAAAAAGCTCAAGAAAACCGGCCTGAACTATAAAACTGTTATGACCCAGAACACTGGAGCCTAAGGCACAACGTCGTTAATAAGTGCCATCTAGAGTTTTGGAACACTGTCTCATGAAACGCTCCGGCTTCATCTTAGGAGCGTTGAGCCGAAGCCACAAAGTTTTAAAATACCTACCTCAGCCTTGTAGGCTACATCCACTGAGAATTTGTTTATCGTAAAATGATATATGCGTTCGCTATTAATCGCCTTTATAGTTGCATGTACTCTACCCAAATAAACAAAGCTTAAAAAACCCTCTCAAGAAAAGAGAGCACACCCTCCTCCGGGAAAGGTTTCAGTATCGTAAATGGTTTCCAGATAGTGTTGCCAACTAGTCCCTTCGACTTGACCTACTCCTACTACCCCTTCCCCTTGTCTTTCCCTCACTTGTACCGCTACGTAAAACCGTCCCATGAATCCAATCCATGATGCCCCAGGTCGAAAAGTTGCCCTAATCCCAGTCAATAATCATTCTCCAAATAATCTCGAAGCCATTAAGATTGTATACCTTCCCCTTGCTACTAAAATGCTTTTCGACCCTCCTACCAGTGCCGCTCATAAGCGCCGAAAAGAACAAGGCCGTATACCCACTGAAAGCGCCCGCCTCCTCTAGAGACACTACCGCCAGAAAAAGGAAATACGTCAAGATGTGGAATCTAAATATCACCTGCAGCACCCCAGTCATCAGTATCTAGCCACTAACTACATAATCGTCAGGTGTATCTTACAGCTGGCAGATAGACCGGTAAAAACTTCCACAGCAGCCATGGCAGTGGATGATCGTAATGTGCGACCGCCGCCCACGGCGATGCCACCGAGTGCTGCCATTTCATATGTAAATGTTGAGGAAGCTCTCCGCCTTGGTGTAGGACGAACCGATGGATGTAGTACTGGAGAACCTATTCACCACACACACATCGTTAATGAGTGCCTCTGCAAAACTACTAGCTACCTAGCCGCATGTCTGCCTAGATAATTAGATACTAACCTCACGCAACAAAAAGGCCCTAAAAAGGTCCAACGCGACCCCGCCCGGCATCGGTAACGCATTTGACACCCGTAGCGCGCTCTTCCAGTGTATTCCGTCGATCAGGAACGTCTCTACTGCTGCCTGGATCCCTGCGCCAAACAGCATATTGAACATTGCCCACGCGACGACTTTCCATGACTTTCTCGGGTTCGGGAGCGCCGCCGCACCACGAATCTTAAAGTCCTGCGAGAGGCTGGGGAGGAGCGTATCAAAGAGGAGGAAGAGCAGCGAGGGGACCCAAAAGAAGATGAGGCGGATAGCAAGGGTACCGAGCACCTCAATCTTGAGTGGCGCTTGGGAGAGGAGGAGGGTGGACCAGGTAAGGTAGAAGAATAGTAGGTTGAGCGATGTGGACCAGGAGGTGAGAACTGAGGTTGATAAGAGTGTCAGGCCTGAGAGGGAAAGAAGCGCTTCAAGCATGATGGCTGCTGTTGATAAGGTAACAAAGATCCTAATTTCATGCAGCTTCAAAAGATATGGAAATGATGGGAGGTTAAAAGGGAGTAGGGGGAATATCACCTTTATTTTATGGGCGGCGACATGATATCGGTGCTGAAGCCAGAGTGGGAATGAAGTGATGTCATCCAGGGCAATGAATGGTACTTGCGACGGAACGTGCCGTTACTATATGTATGCATGCATATTTTCAAAGATGGTAACGACAACCCACCGCAGCTTTGGGCGGTCCGAGATCTTCTTTTGCAACAGCCGTAGATCTTGGGAAATCTACTGACTTTGCGGGATGAGGGCGTTCACTCGTCTACGTTCATTATGCATGGAAAGTACATTATGTGATGATGTAGGGATTTCATATCTAAAATCCAAAGTCACGATAGATCTCATCCTCATCTGCTTCCACCGCAGATCTTAACTCCTCCTCTTCCTCTTTCGAGATTCTAGCCGCTTTCTCTAACACAGACCTTATACTATCCTCTTCTCTTACTGATTTCTTGGCCTCTTCGACCTCAGCTCCACCTTCGGGCACCCCTGAGGCTGGACAAGGTTGGACGTCAATCTGGGAAATCGAATCTGTCATGATCTCGTCTTCCTTTTTCATTGCTTTGATATTCTCCAGATCAAGAATCATCTCATCTGCGTTGACCACGAGATTGTTTTCTATATGCGGTTCCTTCATAGAAGTTTCATCCTCCGAGACAATATCCCCAACCTTGACAGGTTCAAATGTTGCCCCGTCCACTTCTTTTGCAATCTCAACTTTCTCCAAATTAAGAGGATTTTCTTGCTTCACCGAAACAGCTTCGCCTTCTTTCTTTATGGGCTCATCCGGTTCAGCCATGATATCATCATAATCATCATCAGCTGCAGCTTCATCTTCTTCATCTTCTCCCTCTTCTTCTTCTTCATATTCGTCCTGAACCATTTGACTGTCCACATCGTGGTCGCTGCATTTCTCCTCATCGTCCTCATCCGCATCTGAGCCCAAGCCTCGTTCACTTTCCACGTAATCCTCATCTTCTTCGTCGGGATAGAAGAAACAATTTTCGTCAACGTCTGACTCTTCGTCGTCTTCGCCGATATCCCAATCTTGGGCATTTCCCACAGCAGCATCCCAATCGTTGGAGTTTCCTTCCATGATCTCACCGTCCTCCATTTCATCACCATCTTGCAAATTAATTGTTTCTGGTATATCGGCTCCGGTGGCGGTGTCTTCTTCACTATCGCTATCAATCAGAATGACCTCAACTGGCTTCTTCTTTTGCTTGGTCTTTGTTTCCGTCTTCTTTGTCTTTTCTTCTTCCGATTTCCTCCGTTCTTCATGTCGGATAAAAATTGGCCGCGGACGATTTATAGGGGGATGAGTGATAACGAATCCTTGCTCAACATTTTGTTGCCATTGGGTTTTGGGTGGAGCCGGTCCTCTATGGGGATTTTGCTGTGGTATCACTCTTTCTCCGATGGTGGGCTTAGCGACCTGAGCAACCTGAGCTCTCGTCTTCTGCCAGCGCTTCACTACAGCATTGACCTCCCCCCAGATCTGGGACTTAATTCTCTGGACCGCCTTCGCTGGAGCCCTTTGCCCCCCATTTTTGCTTACTTCGTCTCGCAATCTTTTCTCGTAGCTGGTATGGCAGTGACGGACATGGGCAACAACTGCAAGTCGGACCTTTTGCTCCATAGTCAACTTTTTTGTGCGACCGACCCTGCCTGAGCTCTAATAATTTGTCAGCTACTATTTCTATTGCACAATCAATTGAGGTCAACGACAAGCAGCGATTCTTGTCAGTTAAAATAGGCGTGCCCACTAACAAGGGCCCCATTTCTTCAAAATCTGTCCTTTCGCTGCTGAACCCCACTTGTTTGTGAACTTGGGCTTGAAATAATTACTTTTTGCCAAGCTCTTTGCAAAATCTCGTCACTGGCCCCAGGCGGTAGATTTGGGAATAGCTTTAATAAACATTTCAAAGCCTCGTTGTTCTCTTTTTTATCAATCTTCGCAACTATTGCACTCCTTTGAGTCCTGGTTGCCGCCTCGTTTGCAATGACCGTTTCATATAGCTCCTTCGGCACTTGGATGCCTTTTCCTTTGGGATGGTCGATCTTCCATACATTTCTACCAGATTGTAGGGTCAAGCGTCTGCAATTGAGGGTAATGTACCTGCTTCCTGCCGGAACAAAGACGTAGCCCTCAGCTTTTATCTTGTGAGGTGCGTGACTGGAGAGCTGTAATATCAATGAACTACAATTCAAGAGCAAAAGATCTCTGAGAGGAAACCTACCACTTCTACTCCGGTGTGATCTACAGGCTTCTTTATTTTGTTAGGATGTTGCCGCAGCCCCCTTGCTACCTGCTGCTTGACCTTCTCTACCGGATCCAAGTTACTGAGCTGCTGCCTATTCTGCCCGGCAGACTTTTTCCTCGTTGCTGGAGCTGCAACAGCAGGCTCCTGCTGTCCAGTAGGTTTTTCCCCTTCTGCCTGAGCTGCAGCAGCAGCGGCTTGTCTTCTTTTTTGTCGCTCAAGCCTCTTCCTCGCTCTTCTTTTCTTGGAATTTTTTTTCTTGCCTTTTGCTTTCTTGCCGTCGCGTTCTGGCGCATCTGGCGCATCTGCTGAGGGATTCGGAGAGCGTTCTCTCTTCTTAGAGGACCCGCCACGCTTCAAATCGGGCATTGTCTGTCTTGCTCATCAGTTATTCGCCACACATCGCTCTTAGAGGCAAAGATATCTATCGGATTACCTATACTCAAGTATCTATCTCTGGAGAGTTAGTGTAGACTTTGGTGGTGGAAGGTGGGAGACGACGTTGGTTGCTGCAAGGTTTAGCCGATAATTACAGTCGATACCATGCTGGTACTCTGTGTGCACGTGACGATAACAGATTCAGACGCTACAAACCTAACCCTGTGGCTCTGCCCAAAGCTCAGTGGCCTGAGCTTCTTGTTCTTGGTAAAAACCCAACCGGAGGTGCCTGCACGAACTTTATCATCAGTAACTACAAGTTGTCAGTAACCTGGCCAGCGCAGAACGATTTGGACAGGTCGGATAGTTGATCATAGGCCATTATATGAAAATCATCAAATGCAACCCAACCCTGAAACTCAAAACCCGTTAGAGTTTATGCTACCTTACAGCCTGACTCTCAGCATTAATTTTGAATTGGGGTCCTTCCCTCCAATTATCCACATAAAACTATCCCTTTAACTCTATCACAATAGGCTTTCCACGCATTCATCTGTAATTTATCTCGTATCAATATACTGTTGATTGACTCTAGGAAGTTCTCAGCTTGGCCAACACTACGGCGTCCAATAGAATTCCGGAATATTGCGGTTATCTATCGACTGGCCGTGATTCACATGTTTGTTCATCAGTAGCCAGGCCCCAGTTCCTAGGAATCGTCTCAGTTGGTTGGTATACCCGGTTTTTGCATACAAATGAGATACAGGGTGGATAAAAATGGGTTACAAAAGTGTTGGCACTGCACTATATACAAGGAACAAGTCTGGAAGGTAACAGTATCTCAACCTTTTGGGACTCAGCGCCCCGAATTTGAAGGTTTACTTGGTGCTAGTAATCTTAAGTGATGCATGCCTATACTTCTATAGGTCTTCTCAAGGTGAGGCTAGATGAAATATCCTATCAAGGCCAACTGAGTTACCAACTGCCAAATCTTTCAGTACCACTCGATTCGTATAAGAATTTCCCTCAAGTTCAGCACTGCAGGAGCATCCGTAGGCTGCTCCTCAGCTATAATTGTATAAACAGGCATTCATAGATAGTTATAAATTTCACCGTCTCAATTACGTTAACTACCCAAGATGCGACTGCGGCGCATGCGCCAAATAAGGAAGTTCGACGTGTGCCTCGGCGGCATTTACTCTACACCCCACCTTTTGCGTCAACTAAGTTCGTTGGACAACGATCGATTCAAGCTTAAATTAAGCTCCTCTTCTCGGAGGCATCCGAGGCACCCTGGTTGGAGGATTTGGATGAGATGCTGGCCCTTGCGGAGATTATTAACGGTTAAAGACGGGGTAACGCCCGATAGACTAAGACTTCAAGGATTTGATTAGATATCGGGACCCGATTAGACGTTTTATCTCCTTCTCAGATGCCGAAATAATAATCCACCCTGGGTGTTTATTTGATCGATGACGATATCTGGCCAGCTCCAAGTAGCAGCTCCAAGATAAGCCAACCATTTGGTTTTCCTAAACTGAAATCTCGGGTGTGAAATCGCATGCTTGGCCTGGGAGTATGGATGTTTACAGCTAGGCCAGCCACTTTATACCATGGTTACGATAACTTCCTTCCGTTTAAAATAACGGGGCCGGCCGTTGTTTGTGGCATGTAACTGTAGGCCCCGGAAGCGATCTACACCAAGATGTGGAATGCATGATTATTCGAGCCCCAACCTCAACCAACCACCTACTCCATGTATCTTAGAGATACTCTTGGCCTACTGCGGACAGCACCGCGGATTATCTCTCATCTCTGAGAATTGATATTACAGAATAGTACCATGATCAATTTTGGCAGGTCGGTTTTGCTCAGGGGAATAATTATGCACCAGCTAGAAAATATATAAAGTTCGATGGCTCTTTCCACGAAATTGTCCTGCAGCTCCTCCACATTCTTCAAACAAGTCTCAGCGATCTCGCATTTCTACCATAATGAAGTTCCTTTCAGTAGCCGCCACTGCTTTGTTAGCTGCAGCTCTCGATTCCGCCCTGGGCCGAGAGATTGCCAATCCAGCCCGGCAGGAAAACTATGATTCTGGTGAAATGCACATGATGATCATGGGCAACAAGAGACATAGTTTCGATATCCATCGGGAGACAGGTGCATACAACTCGTCGGCATATCCTAAAATTACGGAATATAGCCCCTGCGTTGATGGCATGGCTGCAGGGCAGTTCAGGTGTAAGAACGTGGACTTGGCATACTTTGCATCTCATGCAGACCTGGGAAGTACTACTGGTGAGGGAAGTAGTAGCTGGGGATGGACTTCGCCAGATGGCCGAGAGTTTATCATTGTTGCACAGGTAACTATTCTTCTCAAATTTAGTGTAACCTTCAAGTTGATCGTTTAATTAACGTTTCCAGGCCGATGGTGCTTCCTTCTCTGAAGTACTGCCCAATGGTCACTTGGACTATCTTGGGAGACTTCCCCAACAGAGCACTCCCGAAATCTGGCGTGGTATGTTCCTGAATGCCTTCTCATATCCTGGGTACCCTCATGCTAACGTTCGGTAGAAATCCGTGTCATGGACAATTACGCCGTCATCGGTTCTGAAGCCGTCGACCATTATGTCCAAATCTTTGACATGAGAAAACTCCTGAGGATTAAGAAAAACCAAAAGCCTAAAACCTTTAGCACCTCCAAGGATCTCACTAGCTTATTTACCGGACTTCCCATCGGAAGAACCCACAACATTGTTGTCAACAACGACCTGAAGTATGCCGTAGCAGTAAGTACTTTCTCTCGGGATATATCTTGAACAGATTCTGATAAGTCCTCGAAAAGGTCGGCGCCGCACCTCGTAACAGTACCTGTAAATCTGGTCTCATCTTCATCGACCTCACCAACCCCTCAAACCCCACCAGTCCTGGGTGTGCTGAACAAGACGGATACGTCCACGACGCCCAATGCCTTCTTTACAAAGGCCCCGATACTCGCTACCATGGAAGGGATATCTGCTATGGTTACAACGAGGACACCCTCACTATGTATGCAACCCCACCACACCCGGTAACTCCTTTACATAGTCACTAATACTCCGTAGCTACGATGTGACAAACAAGAAGAACACAACAATCATTTCCCGTACCGGATATACTGGCGCCAGTTACACGCATCAAGGCTGGCTTCTCGACACCGAGAACCAAGAGTACCTTATCATGGATGACGAATATGATGAATACGATGCCGTTGGCCCCGCAGCTGATGGGTTCCCTGTAACCTATATTTGGGATATCAAGGACCTGACTGCGCCCAAACAAACTGGATACTACAAATCAGGCCAGGTTTCTATTGACCACAACCAATATGTAGCGAACGGAAAGGCCTACCAGTCAAACTACGGTGCTGGTTTGAGAATTTTGGATGTTTCAAGCATTCCATCTGATCCCACTGGTGCAGGTGTAAAGGAAATCGGTTTCTTCGATGGTGAGTTTCCTTTTAAAGTAATCTTCAGCTAGATGCTAGTGACTAACGAGGTACTAGTTTACCCTGAGGATGACAATGAACCCAGAAATGGTGTATTGGACTTTGTGGGGTCGTGGTCATCTTACGCACTGTTCAAGAGCGGGTGGATTGTAGTCAATACTATTGAGAGGGGTGCATTTGTTGTTAAGTACACGGGATCATGATTTATGCTATCATTTTTGTTTTTTTGGTGGGGTCATATAAACACCCATCTTTTGTTTATGTATATTCATGAGGGACGCATATAGCATCTAGTCTTTGAGCGGAAGAGCAAATTTATAGTATAATTACCTGGTAAATTATATTCCGGTATGGGATAACGACGAGCGGTTGAGATCGAGAATGATTGCTCTCGTTCTTACTAGTAATAGAACAGGAAGATAAGGATGGCAAAACCCAAACGAACTTCCCCACCTCGCCTCTCCTTACTTACCTGCTTGCTTATCTATTGATCCCCGAAGGTCTAGTAAAAGAGCATGTTACCGAAAAAGGTTTCCGGATTATTGTATGCCGTAATAGGAAATTCCGCATGAGAAACACCGCCTAGCTGCCGGCCGTATGTGTATTCGCAAGTTTGCTCGATAATGTGATGCATGATGTCTCCCACCTAAGTAATCTATGTGCACGCTACGCGCATTCTGATTTCAAATTAGTTCACTTTATGAACTTCAGGGATTCAGCATACCATCATTTCTACAAAAATCACTAACGTGAGACTTTTTCTTATATTGAGAGCTCAGTAGCAGATATTGGTACCCTGGCACTTTCTCTGCACAATATTGACTGTGGTGCTTGAACACCAGACGGGTCTACAAAAGAATTCAGCGAAAACTCATCCGTTCAGGCGCTGCTTGGTGTGCCGTGCTGGCTTAGTTCTTTCCTCTGGCCAGACTAACCCTTTTTACGCACTTACATACGCTATCACGATGCCTCACTCTCGGTGAGATTGCAAGACTCACCAAAGCCTCAAGATTTATTGGGCCACTCCCATCATGTAGTTCGTAACATTACACTCAGTCAGATATACGATGGCATTGCCTTTACAATCTGCTTATCAATAGACTTGAAAATATAGACCGAAATCGTAAGTTCTAGCATACAAAAGCCCCCTTTGAGACCCAAGACTACATGTATGCAACTATAAGTTAAATAATTACGTCAGATATTGACCATTTCAAAGGACAATTTCAACACTTACCCAGGCCATCCCTGCCGGCCACCCTTGTGCCTAAGATCTCTCTCCTCAAGTCTTTACCTCTCTAACCCACATTCACAATAGCAAAACAAACATCATATCATCATTCCTATCTCCACCGCAAATACCTACAATTAACCTAGCCATGAACTCAACCGACACCGCGCATTCTTCCGCTGTGCGTACCTTCTCAAGAAGTCAAGAAATAACAGCACTAACACCCCTCTAGTCCCCTCCCATAGGAATTTCTCATTCTCTCATGGACAAATTCTTCGTTCTCGCCGACGAGCGTGGTCCCCGCTATTCCTCCTCCTGGACATATCATCTCAACCGCATCATAATCATCTACAAACCACAAAACGCCCAAAGTCTATTTCGGGTTCCTGACGAATTCTGTGCCAATATGCTCAGATATCCGTTCATGCCCGAAGATATTCTCAAGCATAAAGTGGCTACAGCGGTTGCTGAGGATGAACGTCAGCATATGGGGGAGCTCCTCAGAATAATCGAAGAGAATGATACGAGAGATCAGGAAGAGGCTGAGTCTACTGCCGAGGAGGAGCGGAAAGAGCGTAAGCAGGATCGTGAGATTGAAAGGGCGGTTGATGAATACATCGAGGATTGCGCTGAAGGGAGCGATTTCTACAATTTTGATGATAATTCCGATGACGAGGCGAACTGCATGGATGAAGATGAGAAATAAAAAGTACTATATGTAGTTATGGGAGGAGGTTTGAGTCGTAGAAATCATCAATTTAAAGCTGGTCATATACATGTATCCATGTGGTGGTCATTGCCTTTCTTTCAAATGTATTGATATCAGGATTACTATTTTTTCATTTTTGCTTTCCTATCTTTTATCGTTCTTATGCTCTCACCGGTAGAGACGGCTAGTTAAAAGAAAGTATTATTTGATAAGTTTGTGTCATGAGACATCACTCGCTCCAGGCCCAAACTTGCGCCGAGTTAGCCATTCTCTGTTACACTGTTCTTCGGTCTTGTCGTATATACGTGTATCTACCCATGAATATTAGGCCCTTTTCATTAACAGTTCTTAGATGAAACCCCACGATTTCCTTTTGGATCCCCTATGTACCCCTCCTACCCAACGACCACAACAATCATTAGGATCAACTCAACCACAAAATGGAAGCTAGACCGTTAGTATGGGATATTCTCCGACCACTGACATCGCCTGCCCTGTGTGCGATAGCGGAGAACAGCAGGGTGTATTCATTTCAAGTGCCAAGTGTTTTGGGTGGTTTTGAGAGCTAGGTTCTGGAATATCAGCGTGAAGTAATCCCCAGATTTTCATCGTTACTACTTACCGTCACGAAAGAACACCTATTCCTAACGAAAACATGGCGCCCTCGGTCCTTTGTGGTAAATTCACGTCTTTATAGCTAGTTCATAATCAACAGCCCTTGGGATTTCCTAAGGAATACATGTAGCTTGCAGCACGTGGTAGCGCGATACGGAGACCCCATACCTACATAATTACCAATATAGTATCCAAAGTTCTCATAGATATTTAAGTCATGATATTATCTACGTATATAATCATATCATGACTACTAAAGGAAATTCCCGTCTTCCCTTTATGACATTACAATATAACCCCGAGCTCCAAGTTTAGAACAAAAAAAAAGTAAAGAAACGAAACAAAAAAGAAACATCATTTACAACCCTTCCCTCCCAACAGTTGGTCGATGATCCGCATACCCGTATCTATATTCACCGCTCGCCCGCCCCTCCTCATCATCCGTCATGCTCACCTCCCTCATTACCGAGGCGGGCACGTGCTCGGTATAGTATGAATGCGACCCGTCCTCGTTTTCTTCGACATGAAACGTCGGAATACTATTAACTCTTCGGTGCAAGATCCACGATAGTACCGCGGTAGCAACAAGCAAGAATCTATACGATATCCGTCAATATCTCAACATCCACCATAGAACCAACTAAGGACTTACATCAAAATAATGGCCAGTGCCCAAACAATTTTCATGCTGATGCACACTCTCTGTACCCTCCCAACCCACTGGTCATAGTCCCCTATCTTGCTCCATACTTCCTCTCTTGTCTTCCCAAGTGCCGGGAGCCCTTCAACTCCTTGCAACCCGTCGACATCATGGACCTTTGAGAACTTTTTTGCCGCATCTGTAATATTCTTATAAACCCCGTCACCCTCCACGCCCATTCCCTCGACGGAGTAAAGCACATCTCCAAGGGAAGTGATGTGTTCATTGAAGTCCCCAACTACCCCGCAGTTAAGGCGTGTCAGCGGGCGCCCGACTAGAATAGCCATGACAATCACAAGAACCGCAAGGACACCGTCCACGATGCTATTAGCGAAGTAAGGGAGAGCGCCGCAGATATGCCATAGGACTGCGGTAGCTGCGCAGACTGCTGATAGGACTGACTATGTGCGTGTTAGCATGTACGCATTCTGGAATTAAAGCATTGGGGTTGTTTACAATCGCAAGAGCATATGCTATGGGCGCCGCCTGTTTTGGTGCGTCCAGACGGTTTATCTCAGCGGCGGGAAGGGAACAGAGGCCTGCTATGGCAACGAAGCAGAAAAACTGGAGGACGCGGATGACTGTGAATGAGTAACCGAATCGGCCACGTCTGATGGCCATCTTGTGAGTTGATGAGAATATGAAGACTGCTAATTAATATTTGGTGGTGATCCAATCAAGAATGTGTGGGGTCGTAAAATCTCAGGATGCGTTTTTCTTAAGGATTTGGGAGTGAAGGAATTTAAACGGGCGGGGGGTGCTCTGTGATATATATATTCAAACTACCACCACATGCACTTCTCTTGACCAAGCTTATTCCTCACCAGACAAGCGGCTATGCATAGGGCATATCATGATGATCCACCCTGTCGGCCCTTGAAATGTTGCTTGTTTTGACTGGGTGGGAGTGACATGAGCCAAGCTAGTTTAATACTGGCAGTATTAGAAGATCAAGCGCCGTTTGGTAAGAAATTAGATGAAACGGTAACTAACGTTAACCATTTGTGGAGAAATCGACACAGCCTCCCAATTTTAGAAAGCCCTGCAGAATTTACGAATGCAAGTCATTTGGGCTTAGATTTGTGGCGTTCTCATAATGTCTCAAAGGTCTCGCTAGAGATAATGTACCACTTCCTGTGACAAAAGTCTTGAAAAACTAACAATAACCTTTCAACACGTTTCTTTTATGTTCAATCCATTTACACTTCTTTTCGTATATGTTCGTTTACTCTCGGGTTCACATATCATCACTCGCGTCAGGAACTGACCAGTCAATGATCATCGTGAAACGTTTATTGTGTTTATGTAAGCGAGCTCAAACATTTCATCCAATTTCCATTTGAACACTTTCATGCGTGCACGTGTTGACACCGTAGCCTCTCTTTTTTGAAGATGATATTTAACCAGTCCAAACTGTCATACCAAAGGATTAGCGTTTTGCCACACCCGAAGTTACAAGAATAACTTACCGGCAGGTCCAGGGATAGGGTAGGATGCTGTCCCAGTGGTGTAGATGTCGTAAACTACACCTGGAGTGCTGGCGGTATAGACTCCCGGAATGCTCACGAAGCTGGTTGGAAATCCGGTTCCGCTTCCACTGACGGTTACTTGGAAGCAACTGGGATAGAACTGCGCTCCCGGGCTTTAAATTAATAGGTTAGTCTTGTGTTTTCTTTGTGTATCAAGACTTGGTGAGAGGTTACTATGAGTAGGCTGGAGTAAAGTATTAGTATTTGTTTTCAACGCTTATTGTTCATGGACTCTGTAACTCACCACTGTGTAGAGCAATGATCTCATGGCGAACAATGTAGTTCCCAGGCTTTAGTGTACTAGGGATCTTGAATGTATATGGAACATTTGTCTCAAGAGGGGTCTGTATACTACTTATGAGATATCATATCCCAGGCCGGTCAGAAAAAGAAGTCAAGGTTTACTTACGGATCCCCACGTGGTTCCAGACTTTCCGGTCTCGGCAACCTTGAACCAGACAGCACTAGGCAATTATCAACAACAGTGATCCAAAGGAGAAACCACATAACAGTGCACTTACGCAGTGCCCGGCATATAGTCTGTGCAGCTTGAGGGACATTTTGCCATATATGTTATGACCGGTCCCTAGAGGCATTCAGTTGTCAAACTACCGGGTGGTTTCGAATCAGTTGAAGTTGAAAAATACCTTGTGAGAATCGGGCCTATATAACACGTTAGCACCCAAAGCCTTCAAGATATTCAGAGGTATTCATACCATTGAGTCCATAGCAAACTAACAGTTGAACCTGGTGCAACTGGTGCCGTCAAAGCAGCCGGTGCAGAACCCACAATCCCACCAGCAGTATACCCGCCACACTGCAAATCAATCAGAGTCACGTCTTCAACAGGCCCATTCCCATTGATTTTTCTGAAGATTCTCGAAGGAGGGGTACTATAGTAAGGATCACTGTATGGGAGGTAGCCAGAGTAGACGACGTTGTCTATGGTATTGTTAGCTTGGAAAGGTCGGAAGACGTAAGGAGGATGTACTAATTGTAGCCTGGCTGACATACCCGTGTCCGGATACGAGGCCAGCAGTAAACGCGAGGAGGGAAACAATGGCGACCTTCATTTTGGAGTTGGATCAAGTAAAGATGATCTGGAGAGACTATATCTTAGAGGGATAGTTGCCATTTTATACTTCTTTTCATAACCTCATCAGCGGGAACATCGTCAAAACCTTGGCTTGAGAAGAATAGTTAATGTTTTAACGGCAATATACACCTCCTAATTCCGGCCAGCGGTGGTACGAGAGCTCAGACAGAAATTAAATGTTTCTTTTCCTTGATCATAAAATGTGGGGGCTCCGGGAGTCTCGGGAAGTGTTTAAACATATATTGATGCATGACCTGAGTTTGGGACGCAGCAAACTCCGTCTTCAACGCTTAGCACTGGCAGATTGTAACCTTGGTACTCGCCTATATATCTGTCGGAGTTTAAGAGAGCCGTGGTAGGTGACACGAGCGTTTAAGCTTAACGGTACCGAAGGAAATCATTCCGATACGTTTATTCCCCACATCTTGAGAATAAGCATATTTAGGCGGAGTCGATTCCCGGGGTGCCGGCATGCGCAATGGTCTGAGCTCCGGCGGGGGTCCCATGGCCAACTTTAGGATTAATAAGCCGTCTATTCAACTGCGCTCTTGCTATCGGTAGTGGAACCCGATGCTGTGATAATAGAAATTGTTTATAGGTACATATTACCATATGTTTTGTTTGGATAGTAAAACATGCATATGCACGAATACCCCAATAGAGCGGTATGATGATCCTTGTAGTCTCTGTTCTTTCCAGATAGACCAAGATCAGTCAATCGAATCTTGAGTGGTAAAGCCAGACAGCCGTATTAGCCCGTGTGTTTAAATTGTTATCAGTCTCCTTGTTCCATACGCAAGAGATAACTCTAAATTGGTGATTTGAATTTGGAGGATTCCAGTGCTCGAATACATACATGTATCTATTAGAAACTCCGGAAAGAGATCTTTGTAACCGTTGCCTCTGCCTCAAGCGTAGTACTGTATTCCAACCAACTGTATCGTCTGGGCAGCAGGAAACAATCGAGGCAATGTACTAGGACTGAAGGGGGAAAAATCAATCAATAATCGACCAAAATCAATCTTGAAGGTAAGTTCTCTCAGACGGAGATACTGTACCCAATTCCGAGAGATGTGGCTCTTGGTCATGGTAAGATGGCGTTGATGTAACTGATAAAGTCTTAGAACTCCTAATATACCTTCGACCAATATCTCTCGGCTGCGACATCGTTCCATCCGCTATTCGGGCTATCGAAAGACCGACGTGAATAATTCAAACTTTTGCAACACTCAGCTTCTTTATTATTCGGTCACCAGACCCAGAAACATGAACCTGACTTACTTTTTCGATTCTATGGTCTGCATCGTTTTACAGCCACGTCCCTAGTAACGGAGTGCATTTCTAGTACCGGAAATCACAAGCACATATCAGAAGATCAAAGCGGAGCTAATTGTGAGGTTCCTTTCGATAGTCTCATATATCTTCGGTTTAAAGGGTTTCTAAACGACTTAGGAAAGTACTCGGTTCAATGTATGAGACCCATTTTCATCGGTTTTATTGATTTGTGTCGTACCTGTAAATATGCATGTGCATTGTTTCTAGACCCTGATATATTGCCTAGCCCTCCTAAATCATCCTCTGTGGCCCTGATGTCAGGATATTCCTAAGACTCCATCAGACTTCTTGAGTATTCGCTCGGTCCATTCTCCTGAATCCTGATACCAGTGAATGCCCAATCAAAATCGAATGAAAACCCCTTCACGTATTACATGGTTATTATTAATATTGTAGAATGTATTTAACCATGACAAAATCAGTGCAGGAAGGTCCAAGGGAACTGGGAGTCTGATTTCCTTCACGTTATTGTGGCCGCTACATGTGAAGTATTTCAGATTAGAGTTGCTGCCTTATCACCGTTTTTGGGCATTTCAGAAACCGCAGATGGGAGAATACATTGAAATTATCGATATTGTAACTAGGTTTGGCGTAGGCGTAGGTGTTTTCGAGAAACCTAAGAATCGTGCTGGTTTATAGGTTCGTCCACTATGGCAGCTCCCGGCCTACTTGCCTTTACTAAACAGCATCATTCGGCCTTATCTATCTTTATCCCCTATGAAATTGTAAACATGTTAACTTGTTCTGTCTTACATTACCGTCCCCGTCGTTGTAGCTGTAAAGCTTGAACTAGTACCCATTCGGTTTGGGGCAGGTACTGAACGCTGGAAAGATCACGTTCAAGCCACACTTGACATGCAATGCTTTAAAGGCCCCCAGTATTCCCGGGACGTTATATGGTGAAATTAATCAAGAGCCCAACTCACAGCCAGCACGAGAAGAGCAGTTGCAGAACACCCTAAACGCCCACGAGCCCCCGGTGGTCTTTGTCGAAACGCAGTGGCCGACGAAAACGAACTTGCGGCTTACGAAGGATATTTTGTAAACTGAGGGATCTGTTATATAGACGATACAGACCAAAGGGTGACCGCTTCGAGCGTTCGAAAGACGCGAAATGCTGGTTTCGAAAAGTAAAGAGAGGGATGAGGTCAAATTAAAAGAGATCGCTGGAAGTCGCTGGGCTTGCTTGGTGCTTCTGAGTGCGCATATTCAAGCTAGTGAAACTCTAAAACGCAAATGTTCGGATTCAAAAGAAGCTTCGAAATGCTGTTATTATCGGCCTAAGTTGCCTACCTCTACAAGTCATGACAGCTGAGAGGAGCAATTGCTGCTGGACAGCCATAAACCGCCTTAAACAACATCCTGTATGTATGAATCCAAGCTCTGCAAAGTTCAATGCACGTTTACAGGCATCCGTTGAACCCTATCTTTAGTATAAACCTTATGATCATCAGCATCACCACACAGCCACGATACGGAAATCTAGAGATTCTTAACTGTAGTAGGGCCGATCGGCCGAGATCTCCTATCCAGACCAAAATGTTACGCGTGCGCTTCGGCAACAGATAGCTATAATATTCACTCAGCCCATCGTTCCATGAGTAATACGCGTTTATACTTCACTCTGTGGCTATGAACTGGTTCGATTCTACAATGCAGCGTTTCATCATGCGAAATCCTCCCGAGGTTCACATCGGCCACCCATTGAAGAATCGAATATAGATATTGCTACCTAGCCTAGCGGGATCATTCGGAGATCCATAGGATGAATTAACTAAAACCCTCTGCGTGACCCGGAATCCAGGTGATGAGGGTAGATACCAAATATTAAAGGAAGATCACGGTCTCAGGCGTTCCGCCTTCTACTCTAGGCTACAGCCAGACTTGTAGGGCCTGCATAAATTATAACCCCTGCAGAAGCTGGTAATAAATCTCAACAGCACGGAAAGAAACTCCAGATCCAAGCAACATGCATACCTTCATGTAGAAAGTACAATAATCGGACGTTATTTATTACCAGGCAGGCACATGGCTTTTGTTTCGATTAAAACTGCAAGGACTGTCGATTTGCACACGAATCTAGCTTTCCAAGGCGAAGTCTACATGTAGGTACATGTAGCTAGGCACCTACTAACCTAAGCAAACAGCATCACAGGTGCCTAAGCCCTATCGCTAGTAATGACCTATCGGGACCCAACATGGTAGCGAACGGGTGGGGGATATAAGCATCAAAGGATAGCTCGGGAGGGGGGCTTATAAACGAAATCTGGGGCCGGCTGTGCCAGCGGCTAAGTACGAGCAAGTCTAGCACGTCTAGCCAATGGTGCATGTAGCTCCGTTTCAAGATCAGTGGTTGCATATGCTCCGTCTATGCCCAAGAAAGCTCCAAATCAACACCAAATTACAAAAATCATCATAAAAATCAGTAGAACCCTCGGTTTTTAGTCATTTTTAGTCGCCTTAAGCTATTACCATCGGTAATTATCACGTAACTACTTTCAGATCACTTAGGAGGCTCTTGAATAACAGTGAAAAGTATCGTAATTAACAAATAAAAATAGTTACAAGTCTGTAGTAGTGATGCACAGCTACCGAGAAGCGCAGAGAGTGCTGGCTGAAGAGGTAGACAGGCGAAAACAAAAAACCAAAGCCGAAAAACGAAAACCCGGTCGCCCTTGAAGAAAATGAACCCATAATACCGTAACCTCCCTTTTGAACACCCCATACAAAAGCAATACCATATACAAACAAAGGAAAAGAAAATAAGTAGTAAATTCACAAAGGAGAAAACTTTCATCGACCCACTAGATATTTTTCCCAAACCTCCTTGCACGCTGGAAGAAGGACCCTTTAGATGCCCTCATACCCCTGTCCTGCTGCCATCCACCGCTCTCCTGTGCTGGATACCAGGACCCGTATCCCCTCGCTGCCTCAATCGTATCCTCCACCATCCTCAGGATTCCATTCCTCTGCTGCACCACAGCATCATCTGGCATACTCGGCCAGCTCTCCCTCTCAATGTGGAAACAATCCCCGGTCAGAGGGTCCTCTAGTCCACCCACCGATTCCAACAATCCATTCAGTCTCGCTGAGAAGCCCTCTGGGTCCACCAATGCCTCACACATCAGCATTTGTAAGAACCCATTCTTGGTCAACATTGGCATAGAATAACGAGTGCCCTCTCGTTGACCCAACCGATATTCCCAACCGTAGTTGTCGTACATATGAGCAACCTGTGCGTCGCTCCAGGCTACGCCATTGCCATTCGCCTGGCCCTCGTCGTAAATTCGCTGGAAGACGTTGTACTGGGCATAGAATTGTAGGAGATGCATAACAAAGGCGCATTTCTCGGGTTCGAAGTGATCGGTACGGCGTTGGAATACTGGCCATACGACGCTAGCATCTGCATTGTCGATATCTTCGAAGATAGCGGCGGCAAGGCGAATTAGCTTTGGGGCGGCAGTTCTCCCGTTGATCATGTACTCGTGAGGCTCTCCATACACGGCTTGGGGGTTATAGGGTGGTTGGAGATTGTACGAGTGCTGGGTATTGTACGAAGGTTGAGGGTCGTATGAGGCTTGGGAGTTGTTAGAGTTGGATGAATCGTATGAAGATTGAGATTCCATGGAAGACTGAGAGTTGATGGAAGAGAAAGAGTTTATTCTCATTATCCCGGGCCTAGGGGCTAGAGTAGCTTGTAGGTGTGTGTGTGGCTGTATTTGGCTAGGGTAGTGTAATTCGTATGGGTGCGAGTTTTGATGGTATCCCGAGGCCCTGCCCTGATAATGGCAAGCCGAGCAAAGATCGTATCTCTGGCCGCCAAAGTTACAGACAGGCTCTAAACAGTGCACTATGCACTCGGCATATTCGAGAGAGACACCGCAACAGTCGCAGATAACGTATAGGTTTGGGTCTTCCATTGTTGTGTGTTTTTATCTTGATTGACGTCCAAGTCTGGTGGTGTTAAAGTGAAGCTCGTTTTGTAGGAATGCTCTGACCTTATGTTTATGTATTGGAAGGCTAATGTGGAGTGAATCGATTGAATTCTTGCAATATTGCGGGGGGAGCTTGGGTTTATATAGCCTGTCAATGATTGATAGACTAGCCGATATCAATCCTTGAGTGTCGTTATAACCTAGAAAAAGGGCTGCATATATAACCGATTCTTGGATGAGCTCTTTGTGGCACCAACTATTGCAAGGCTGAAGCTTGTCCACGTATGTGTACACACAATACTGGGGGGGCCGGGGCTGTGTGAGAATCCATGGATCCAGGCATGCAGAAGATATCGCAGGCAAGTACATGATAGCAGGTATTGTACGCATGTCGAGTATATAGTAAATAAGAACACTCGCAAAATTAAAATTTTCCAAGCGTGAAGACAATTCCGGTCCGAAGCTGAAGACGACGCGGCGTAAATAGAGCAGTTCCTGATTTCTGTGTCTCTCTGCATATTGCGCGCGAGTCTGCAGGCACGCGCGTGTATCGCGTTAAAATGTTAAATGTATCGAAACATATTACTACGTACAGCCCGCTTCATACTTGTCGGCTTCCCGTCCTCGGTTTCTACACCGCTCGCTCCTCCCTCTCCCGAAATCTCTTCCAACCTTCTTCGTAGTTCTTCATCTGCTTCAGCGAGACTTGGCGCCTTTTTTGGTGTTTTTGCCACCGTCGGCTGTGCATGCGAGTCGACGTGTGTAAGCGTACGTACAGAAAAGTACTCACAAGGGGATAGATCTACGTACGTTCAGCTCTGTTGAAGACCCCTCTTCCTTCTCCTCCGATGATGAAGGGTTCGGAGTAGCCTCCGTCCTCGTCCTCCTCCCCGTTGTTATTGCTGTTGCAGTTGTCGTCGAAGTTTTCGCTGGAGTTGCGTAGTCCAAGGCATGAGGACCGCGAGAATGAAAACCTGTCGTCGATATTACATGTATCCGCGTATTCGAAACCATACGAATACGCCTCGTGCTCGTGCTCGACCGGAAAAACGACACAGCTTCAAACATGGTGTTGAGTTGTTGTTTGGAAAATGATGGGAAACAAGGCTGAAGTAAGTTATCGCTTTCTGTACATGTAATTATGAAATCCCTGATTTTGGGTGTGTAACTACATGTACCTACATGTATCTATGTACATACAAGTATGTACTATACGTCATTCGTTCACTCAACTGATTGTCATAGGATTTATTAACCTCAGCGAGCGGGCTACCTAACCCTGTGAGACGGAGGGACTTGGCGCCTTCTAGTATTATCACATTCACAAGATGTATAACCTCATACATCCTACATCTTAGAGTAGATCAGGTACCTCCTAAAAAGATAACTCAAATTCTTAATCTTTGACTAGCGGACCTGTCTCCGTACTCGTACCATACGTGCGGGATCAACCACAGCCTTATCCTGTGCCACAAGCCTACAGCTCTCAGCCTTCCCGCGCTCGTCTCGTGCGGCGTATGCCCGCCCTTGGCTCTCGCTTCATGCTGCGATGTTACTTCTGGATTGCATGTGGTCTGTCTGAACAGGATCTCTCATAATCAATGGCGCAACGTTTTGGATTGAAAGTAAAAACACTTTAATCCCGTCCCTGGCTTTGCAACAACCTCTTATGCCGCATCTGATCGATCAAGATCGTACCGCGGACCGGGTTCCGCTGATTCCACATGATTTTGAATCGCTTTGGAACGGAGCGTTCTCCCTTCCCACTTCTAGCAATTATGTGTTGCCATCGCTGACGGTGCCAATGTCAATTGCCATTGTAAAAATCAACGACGACCTGGCACTCCAGGATGTTTACCAAATTCCCTACCATCGAGACGGAGGCGTGGGGGCCATCTTTGAACTCCCAGGAATCGCCTTTGATATTCCTGCCCGGCTCAAGTCATGAGCCTTGCAAGGCCGGTTTATCGCAAGCTCAGCTAGCACAAACTTTGTGTAAGCCTTTATAAGTTGGTACATACACACCCAGGGATCAAACTACATACGTGTTTTGTTGGCTCCTCCACTCCACTCTTCAAAAGCAGGAGAGATAGAATCACCTGCTAAAGCATGGCCGGTCCCTAGAGTGGAAAGCTCTGGACTGCCTCATGGAAAACCTTTTTTTTCCCTTTCCATGAAAAAAACACAGCCCCATTCGTCTATCGGATTTTTCTTTCGCTGCTGATTCATACAGCCTTCAGTCAAAAATAGAATATCGTTAACTTCCAAAGAACCATACAGAGGTCCTGATTCGAGAAGTTGAGATCGGCAGTCAGGGATCTTTATCATAGATCTTGATATCTTCCGGCTTTCAAGAATCTCGGCACCTACTCCGTCAAATTTCACGAGGCTTTCCCTTGTTCGGGCTCTGCTCCGCAACGATGGCTCTAGATATCGTATTCAGTGTGATTTGGCTGCCATTTCTTTGCGTTTTGTGGGCTGTTTACTTGATACAAGGACCGCAAAGACGATTTACCTACCGCACATTAGTTGCCGCACACCAGTTACTGTGCCGATGCCATCCGGCTTTTGACACTCTGGGTATAGTTAGTGGAGAGGCTGGTATTCCGTAAGGGACATGGGACGTGGGACGTGTCCATTTTGGATCAGGCGCCGAAATCCAGATATGCCTAATTATTCCTTGGTTTGCTGTGGCGGAGATAACCCCCGCATAGTATCCTCATTCATATGTGTGGAGAGGAATAAGGCTGTTTACCTCCCCCTTGTCCGATAGTTGTCTTATGGAATGCCCTCCAGGTACGAGACCTATGAAAAATTTTCAACGGCCTCAGGCAGAAAAATGGTTTGCCAGAGGCGTTTAAATAAACGGCTAGTCTAGTTTAGCGTTCCCGTAATCCAATAGTGCAGCCTTTCTAAAAGCTGGAACTGCCGTTGAAGACACGGCCAAGCTGGACAATGGAAGGCTGGGGTTGGGGCTATGCCGATTCCCCACATCAGCTGAAGATGCCGATGAATCAGGGGAAGCTGAACTTCTTTAACATGCAGATCCGTTTTGCGGAACTTAAGGCCAGGGATTGAAGCTTAAACTATGCATAAAACTGGTTTTCCCTCGTGTCTTCAAAACTTATATTGGTGATCCAAGCCAGGCCCACTGTCTCCTTACCACGTATTTCAGAATTTATCACCGCGTATTTCGGAACTTATTTAAACCACATACTGGTCGCTTTACCTACCATATTCTACAAATAGCCCCAAGTATTCACAGAGCTTGAACACAGCGCGGGATCGACGACGATCATGAATTATCACTCGGAACAATCACGCGACCATCATACGCAGAATTCATGGAAGATAATACCTTTTTCGGACCATTAGTTCATCAGACTACTCCCCTTTATTACTTTCTCTTTTGGATTCGTATCGAAACCCTCAGGTTAACTTTCCACGTCTTAAAACCCTGACTCTGGTATCATTGGTGCATAACGATTTCTTCCCGGCTCTGGCAAGCCAACTCACCCCCCCGTAAGAACCAGATCCATGTCCCCTAGTATACCGACTGTTAAGGTCTCTTCGAATGAAGTTTTAAACCTGGCCACTGTTTTCGACTGACCATCCGGCTCTTATGTAACAAAACGGAACAATAGTCATGTGCTGACGTGTAGATATCGACATCAGTTGGTTTAATCAATTTCAGCCTTCGCGTCGCAGCACTACGTAGAGTTTGCCTTGCCTTGATTCTTAACTTCTTGTTAGCCTAAGGTATAAGATCATCTCATTATTATCATTCAACTAAATTCTGAGGTGTTCGTAACTCGGATATCATGTAGCGTTGTATGTATGCCGCAGGAATAAGCGCCTAAAGCTTCCCTTTGAACTGGCCCCAACATGCATCCTAGCCAAACGTAAATGATCATGTGTGTCGTAGTTATTTGAGTGGGATCCATGATCCGATAGATCGATCACAACCATGACCTCAAGCTACCATACCCACCCTTACTCAGCTGCCCTTTTATTCTCAAATTCCAAAAATAAAAGCTTGTTCATGGACCTTAATTCGTATTAGGTACACTGGGCTGTAGGTTCGGATTTAGGCTCAAGCTCAGGGTCAGGGTTAAACAAGTTACTAAGAAGTGTGATCACAAACCGTCACCCACAAACTCAGTCTTACCCACTACCGGTTTCTACTACTTTCACTTCCTCCAAGGTGTCCATTCTCTACGCCAAGCATCCTCTACCACACTCGACGGCCCAGCCCCGGCGGCCAAGCGCGCAGCATGATACTATAGAAAAGCTCCTATGGACCGTCACTGGTATCCCTATTGCAATAAACATTTGGAGACAATTCCTGCGATAGAAGCACTGACTGGAGAGGGGGAACAGTGATGCGCGAAGCGAACTGAGGGAGTTGGAAATGGGATGGGGCAACCTAATTAAATGGAAGAATGAAATAGGAGTTAGAATAGGAAAAGGGACAAATTGCTTATGGAGAGGAAAGAAGGGGTCAAAAGGCATCAATATCTAGTAATTCTTTCTTTGTTTTGTATTGTCTTGCTTTCATTTTGTCACATTGTTTTGGCTCGTGAGATATTGTCATAACCTCCAAATTGCATAAAATTAATGAAGTAATCAATCAATCAAGCCCCGGCAGCCAAAGTCCACAACAAAGTCTTTATAAGCCCCCCTATCAGCTTCCTACCTTCTCCAAACACTATAGGATCCTCTCTACCACATCTTGTGGTAGAGACGGTTACCCACGGTTGCCCTGGCTTGCTAGCTCCTTTCCGGCCCTCCCTGAAAAGGATCGGCCTCCTTGGCCCTCGAGCCCAATTGCAAGCAGGGCTTGAGGAGGGGATCGATGCCTGTACTATCCTCCCCTTATTGAGGAGGATTCTGTAAAGTTTTTTTTGGCGGTGTGAGGGGTCGGCCCTCGTTTCCCTTGATGGGAAGAGAGGAGCTATTTTGCGTTAGGTCACTGTGCCCGCTACCCTCTCTCTTCAAAAGAAGGGGGGGAGGCTTTTTTGCGTTGGGTCTATGTAATTTCTCTCGGTTCTGTGGGTTCTATATTTTTACCGATACGGGCCCCTCCGCTTTGTGTGAATTCAAAAGGGGGAGGCCTTGAATTCTGTATATATATAATAGAAACACTTTTTGCTACCGATATTATATGCACTCTGTTCATACCAGGCGCCCTGAAGCTTCTAATAAATTTCAAACATCACTCATGCTCTATTGATTTATTCTCCTAGCTAGGCCTAGCCTTTAGAAGCTAAATCTCAACAGTCAATCATTGGTCATACCGAGTGATAATTTATGAATAACACACAAGATTGATTGGTTCGTGGAGTACATCTAGCCTTCCAGGTACATGTATATGAATCTATAGTGCTACACCTCTCTCTTTCATTCATCCCGAATACAAGTAAGGCCTCTTATAAATGAAAGAAAGAAAAGAAGAAAAAACTAATAAATCAAAATGAGAGATACTACATACAATTAATGAATTAAACAAAAAAAATGAGATAGATACAATACAGGAGATTTGAGTTAACGTCCCTCTGATGAGCTACAGCAGCTTGGGTATTACCTTTTCTCGTTCTTCTCTCTTTTTGTTCTATACTAACCATACATACAGAATCAAGCTTCAATCGATCGCTATTCCGTGGTTCATCCGCGGTGTTACGGGGAGCGAGAAGTTTGAGTATCCGCGCGCTTTCTCGACCAGTTGCCGCTTGGTGTAAGAGGAGCCGCTGTAAATGTAGTTGTAGACATGTGTGTCAAGGTGTCGTGGCGCTAATCATTATCATAGAATCATTAAATACTGTACTTTTAGTGAAACCTGCAGGCTGTCGAAAGATCTCCTACACCATTGCACATAACGCCTACAGTTAATTCTAATCCATCATTATATACCGTTTCATCGGCTTATAATATTGAAATCTGTAGATTGATGCTCACTTGCTAGGTAAGACAAATGGGATGCGGAACAAGTTACGGGAGTGTTATTACTCAGCTTTCTGAATCATAAAGGATCACTCAGTATTCGGTGTCACCCTGTGGTCTGCTCCAACACACGAACTTATTCCCACTTATCTTAGCCGATCCGTGATACAGTTACAGTCGCAACTCGATATGCCGGAACTCAATACTCCGGATCCCTTGCTGCCCCATACGAAAATCCTCCTAAATTTCAATTTACTGTGAAATCGATTTGCTATCCCGGATTTCTCATAAGTGTTTGCTATCTCGTACAAAATGGACTGAATCTTGGCAATCCGGCATATCGAGTTGCGACTGTAACTAGACGACCTTGTTCACTTTCGCCCCCTCGCCTTGGAAAGCCTGTGCCTGCCATAGCTACAGTATGAATCAAGGCTTGCTAACTTAGCTCCTCGCGTATAATCCTTATACGAGGCATTGTCGGATCCGACGAATTCCTCGTTCAGGTAAATATGTGCCTATCCGATCACACAAAAACCTGCACGCAGGTACACACTTCGAGACCACCAAGCCATAATGCCAAGATTTTCCAATGTTTCAAATTGTTTGAACGACGGATTAAGTAAATGTGGAATGTCTTACAACAAGGTGAGGTGGGGGGTGTTTCTGAGTGGTTGTTGGATACGGGGTATTGGCGGATACTGGGTGATGGCGGACAGGGCAAAAAAGAGAGCCAAGCCAACTTTTACCTGCAATTCGCCAATACCCAGTATCCGCCAATACCCCGTGAACGACAGTACCGATGTGGTTAGCGCTCGGACCGCTTGAAATTTTGAACAGCTCAGGCACTGGAAGACAATTGCAAACCATGGCCAAACTAGCGGGGCCTCCAATTCGATCAATTGAGCTCGATAAGAACAGCAGTTGAGGCCAGATTGTATGAATAGTATCTGCTGGGAGTTCTGAGCGTGATGCTCCACTGATACGGAGCTCTTGAGCATGAATGAATTAATTTTCTTAAGTAATATGTTAGTTCACGAGGACCCACTCTGTGAATTGGCAGGGATATCGTGTCCGGGTCGAGAGGTGAGAGACAACCACCACCACCACCTCAAGAAATGTGTCTGTGCCCTTCTTCATCCCACTGTTATCTTTTTTTTTTTCCTGCCAGCGTGCTCTAATCGTCCTATTTCTTTGTTTGAATTTTGTTAACCACCCCATCCACCCGCTTCTAGGTCTAATTGACAGAGTGCCCGGCATGATATGATGGACTCTACTCCAAGAGCTTTACCCACTGGCGGGTGCAACTTTCGTGATCTCGCCCAGGCCGGTATCGCCCTCACTTGCGGCTGTCAAAAATTCTGGCGCAGGAAACGAAGGAGGGGAAGAAAAATCACAGAATCAGCGGGAGGAGGAGGAGGAGGAGGAGGAGGAGGAGGAGGAGGGGAAGGAAGAACTAAACAATCCCACAATGAGGGGTTCAATGGAAAAGAAATCAGTAGGGTCGGTCGCTTCGGCGAGGAGAAGGATGGTGATAGTCTTCGAGGATTTTCCTCTTTCGCTGATGACGACAGCGACTCCGACAAGTCTGAAGAGGATTGCCGATGTGGTCATCACGCCTGTTTCCATTCCTTTGAACGAACTGCTCCGCTCCCTACCCTCCCTGCCCATTCTCAATCTACTGGGCGGCGTTATTCTCTTCAGATTTCTGACACCCAAGCCTCTCTGCGACTCGACAATTCTGCATCAAATGTGGCTCCCAGCGGATTCTCGATAAGTTCCAGTGCGACTAAAACGGAACGCGACTACACAATGGCCGAACCAAGTCAATCGGTTCTAGCTACTCGGCCTTTCAAACAAAATCATATGTACCAGCCTTCCCAGGTGGGAACAGAGTTGCCTGCTTCAAAATCTAACTCACAGGTCACTACTACTGGGAAAGGTGATGGATTAAGGAGAGGTGATGGATTAGGTGATCTTCTACAAAGATTCCAGTCAATCCTAGAAAACCTGGTGTCAAGAATAGACCAGCAAGCTCCGGGAAATGCTGCAGGGATTGCTGAGATCAATTCGAAGTTGACAAAGCTGATTGAGCTCAATGAGAAGCTAGAAAATTCATCAAGGTCTCATACTGAACGTTTAGAAACAATGGAAACATACGTTGCCGTTCTGGAAGAAGTCCGCGATAAGATTGATTTGATGGAAGATCGTGCAAATGAAGTGGATGAAAAGATTTTCAGCTTCGAAAATCGACTAGATGATCGTTTGGTCACAATCGAGTCCCGTCTTCAAAAGAGCCGGGAGAAGAGAAAGCTTCGAGAGAGGGAGTTTGATGAGGATGGATCAGTTCGAATTCCAAAGCGACGTAAAGGGGGACGAGGAAATGAACATGAAGCGCTGCCTGAAAAAACCAGCCAATTAGACATTAGACCCGCAGTCACAGCAAGCTTTAACACGACTACCAGCACATCGAGCAGTCTTTGCACAGCTACTTCGGCAGACAGAGATTCACGCAAAATAACTTCTTCACTCTTGGAACGCCTAGAGTCACGTCTGGTCAAAATGGAGAAGAATGCGGGCCCCTCTCCTCAATCGCCCTGGGTGATAGAGGTTGTAATGCTTCCGCCGGCAGCACTGAGGGGAATTTGGAACGACGGGACTGAATTTGGTGGGTATGAAAGTAGTAACCCACAGTCGGTCAGTACGTTCTCTGGGGCCTGCTCTCGAAGGAAGTCCAACGATTTTAGCGACGGACCTATCCCTCGGAGCTTTGGCGTGAACTCTCGCTTGTATCGCAGACTAGGAACCAGAGGCTTTGTCAAGCATATCAATGTTCTGGGACCTACAGCTCAAGACGTAGCAGCTGCGGTGGATTTAAACTTTGGCAGACTGATCACTTGGTGCCATTCTTTCTATACTCCCGATGAGAGCGCATCCCCCCGGCTCCCTTCACAATATCAGAGGGTGAGTCTCGGATGGCAGCCACTCAGAAAGGTCCACAAACAAACAAACTTGGAATTCCTGAAGCCAGGTGAGATGATGGAAATTATGTGGACAGCCGACTTCCTCAAGGGAAGTTGTATCATGAAAGGCCGCAGAGCGGTGCTTTACATCACACCACTACTTCCTACACACCCTTCGCCGATTTCATCTATCTCATGGAACGACATAAAAACCCTCCCGGAGTATATAGCTGTCGCAGAGCCTGATAAAGATACAAAACCACCGACCAACCTACAACCCGATCCCGAAGATACCGACGATCCTTGGGCGTGGAAAGAAACGCTCGATGATATTTCTGAAGAGCAACCAGCTTCACCATCCGTAAGATCCGTAAGATCCGTAGCCTCATGGAGCTCATTCGGACCATTCCAATTGGAAGATGAAGCACGCGCCCAGCTTGCAGTGGACGATGAAGAGGAGGAGCCACAACTGAAAACACCTTCTCCAGCGAACTTGGTTGATTCTGGATTGAATGATTGTAATTCGTCGGGACCACCGTCCCCGCCGATATCGTTCTCGAATAAAAAAGTCAAGCATTCATCACCGCGCCAAGAAAGCGGTAGTCGAGTCCGCGAAGAAAAGACGACGAGGAGACACTTGCGACGACAAAAAAAGCGGAAGGAGCCGCAAGACTCTCTGATGGACGAAGTCGCGGCTGGCATAGAAGGCCTGACGCCAACATTGACGACAACAACGAGAAGTAGCATACGCCAATCGAGTTCAATAGCCACAAGTGGAAAAAGCAGTATTGCACGAGACTCCTGGTTATCTAGCTTATCTCCACTCTCGTTTTCAGCCGTACAGGCGAGCCCGAGAACCTTGGGATGGGTGAACGATAACACAATTCCAGAGGACTTCGAAGAGGAAGAGTATTCTTCCGAAGAGAAAGAGGAAAACGCGAGCGGGGATGGTACGGTGGAGGATCCTATAGATATAAACTAAGAGGAGGCATTAGTGATGGGTAAACGACATGGCCTTTAAGGTCTAAGGGATGATTTTATTTTCTATGTACTTTGTTCATACATCAAGCGTGGTTTCTTTCTTTCTTTTCTTTCTCGTTCTTTGTTCTTGGGAGGAGGGGGTATACTTGCATTACTACTTTAAGCGGAGCTCTTGTGGATCATATTATTAGGATCTTCTTTTCTCTTTGCATTCGGGGGGCACCGTTCGCTTCTTACTATATCATTTCTTGGAGGAGTATTTGGATTTGGGAGTGTTGTATGTAACTGCAACGAATATTGCTTGGTCATGTAGTTTAGTATATATTGCTGGGATTTGGGTGCAAAATTATATCTCTGGCATTGTAGAGTCTGTTATGTAGACTAGAGTTTGTTATGTACATGTAGTAAACCCTTGCTGTGGTAGAGCTGCTGCGTGATGTTGTGTGATGTTGTGTGATGTTGGACATTTCTGGCGACGCGTGACGTCACTCCATCACTGGCTCGGCTATCGGATAAAACACCGAACGTGTAAAGTGGGACGCGAGACCGCACGTGACCTGCACTCCCCTGGATGAGCTAACCTCAACGGTCAATCCCACCACGACAGTCAGCCCTGCCCGAGAACATCCCATCTTCTCTCCTGGATCCAAACAGACTTCCTCACGACCCCCAGCTCTGTCTGTACACATACGGTCAGTATAGTCAACTATGGGAAGCTAATTGATGGGAGTATTAATGTCCTTTGATAGCACCATTGACTCTTGTTTCGATATTCCGATACCTCAGCCACGCCAACAAACGTCTGATCATACCAGATATCTGCTGAATCCCGCCCCCCCCCCATAAGGGTTCCCACCACCACCGCATACCTTCTATCTTCCCTCATACATCTCTAAACTCATCCCCTTTGGACTCCTTTTACCACTCTCCCTCCTCGGCTCTCAATCTCCACGTGACTAGCCCTAAACAACTTACCCTGAAACACTCATTATTGAGAAAACTTTCAAGGGTCTCCTAACAAACAATCCCGGCTGCTGCGCTGTCAGTTTTCAAACCTTCTCAGCTTGAAGCAACACTAGCTTCGTGTCAGAATAGCCAGTACTTAAGTAGCCTTCGCTTTTATCTGGTAGGTTTTTCACTTCTCCAACCACACACAGCACGCACACACGCATCCCCGATCCTCAAACAACCAAAAGAAACAAGGAGAAACCAATACTAACAACCATGTGTGGCCTCAGCTATAACCCCGAAGACCCGCCAATCATGCCCGAACGCCGCACCGCCCGCGTCCTCCAATCCCTCGCACCCAACCAGCAAAAGAAAGCCACCACCGCCCAGAACCCCACCTCTGCCGCCTGCTCCTGCGGGACCGAATTGACCGAGCTCCGCCAGGAGGTCTCCGAGCTCACCAGAGCCCTCAATGAGATGAAAGAGGTCATGTATGCGCGCCTCCTGTTCCCGCACATGTCCCTCGCCGAGGCGCAAACGGACGCAACAGAGGTCACGTGGGAGCACGTCAGGCCGCCGAAGCGACAGCGCTCGGACAGCGCCCTGTATCTGCCCGATATCCCGGATGGGTTTTCGGACAGCACGGCGCACAGCTTGGTGTTTAAGCAGCGGACGAGGAACGCCGAGAAGGAGTGTGAGCGCGCATGTAAGAAATTCAAGATCAACCCCGTGACTGGGGAACCGTTGGAAAACTTATCAAAGAGGGCTATGGTAGTGAAAGAAACACATGAGCAGGCGATGCGGGTGACGAGGCGCATGGCGGTTGTGATTGAGCACCCCACGTCGAGGGTGGAGAAGAGCAAGAGGGGCAGGTCATCGACTTTGAGGGTCGGGAGAGGGAGGAAGTAAATCGGGTTTCTTCTTATTTGGGTTATTGGTCTTTGGGTATTCCTTTTGTCACACGGCCGGTGGAGTTTATCTATTATTTGTTTCTGGCTGGGCGCGTGTGCTTTGTGTAAAGTTTAAGCATTTGTATGATTAACTTAAAAGAAAGAAAAAAACCGACTCGCAATTGAAGTCTTTACTCTATTCTAGCTATATATATATATCGAATCAATCATGAACTCCCAATCCCGATGCTCATCACACCAACAATAACCGTGCCAATCGTACTCTACAAAGTCCCTGCACTAGCGTTCTTCCCCTACGTCCAATACTATCCATACACCCAACACTCGAACATCCTATAAATACAGATATACCAAATTAAAGGACATTATTGGAGAAGCCCTTTTTGGTTTCAGTTGTTGTTTTCAATGTTTGGGGGTATCCTTATAAATGTTTCCAAGTCAGCCAAACCAATTAAGTGTGTTTGGACGTCCTAAGTTGTACTTCATTGGTCTTTAATATGAAATAAGCTTACAAAAATGGATATAGAAAAAGGCACAAAAATTATCGAAGTAAAAAAGTATCGATACCAGAGATAGGACTCGTATATCGGTCCAAACCAAAGAACCTTTCTCAAAACACTTCTACAACCCATTCCAAGAAATTATAAACTCCTAAAAGAAAAATGAAGGTATCCCAATGAAGCTATCTTAATGAAACAATCGTACTGAAGCAATCATGACGACAAAAGAAAAATTCTAAATTTTATACTGTGGATAATCCTTGAACTTAAGGCCGGAGCGCTGTTCAAATATGGTGATGTCAATGGTGTTTTCTGTCAAGAAGCGCCAGACATGCACCTTCTTCTGTTGGCCATATCTACGAACACGGCCAATGGCCTGAGTCTCGCAAGAACGGTACTCGTAGTCGCTTGTCGTTAATAGTGGAGAAAGGAAGATGGCGTGATTCGCATTGGTAAGGTTTCTGTAAATGAACCGTCAGTTTCATAGGGTAAAAAAACTATCAAGAAAGAGATCACTCACGCTCCAGAAGCACTCTCATCCATTACGTTCAACAACAGCACTTTGAGACTGTCATTATCGCCGGCCTCCTGGAAACGCTGCAAAGCTTTACTTTGTGCTGCCGCTGAGCCCTTGAGTTGCAGGAAGTTGATCTTGTACTCCGACAAGACCTCCGCAACTTTCTCCATGAGGTCTGGGAACTGTACAAAGAGTAGAACCTTATCTTTCTTCGGAATGGTTTCTTTGATAAGCTCCATAACCTTCTCCAATTTCATCCCATAGTGCTTTCCAAGGCCTTCTTTAGGATCTTCAACCCCCAAGCTGTCTCCCTTAACAACATTGAGAACACGTGCTGGGGCATCACAGCCCGCAGTAAGGCATTCTTGTCTGTGTGCCGCGGTCTCGAGACAGGTGTAGCAGCCCTGGTGCCCACAGCTTGAAAGAACAGCGATTTCAGAAACAGGCAGGCCGGATCTACCACAGCCGGGACATGAAATATTGGAGATGGAATTACGCTTCGCAAACTCCGCTAGCCCGAATTGTTGTAGGTCGCGGACAATTTTAAAATAGCGCAAGGATCTGTGGCGCCCGACAAGCTCTTTCCTTACGAGGGCGCGGAGTTGACTGGTTCGGTCACGGAGCTGTTGAATCTTGTCCTCCATGGAAGTTGGCCATGGAATAACATCGTCATCCTCTTTCTTACCCTTGGCGGTTTTCTTGGATTTTGATAGATAATTCACTTTAGGAACGTTCCCGATGTCAGCAAAAGGAGCAGGGCCTTTCCCGTTCCCATAAGCCTGATCAATCAACGCAAGTATATCTTTCCCGGCTTCTGCGTCACCGATACCAGCAGTACGTGTAGTAGTCAACCAAGTGTTGAAATGATCCTCTCCAGGAAAAGAGGACTTGGGGATTTCTTTATGACGTTTCAGACAATCTACCAAACGTTGAAGCACCTCTTCGCGGCAGCTGGTAAGTTGACGCTTGCGATCTTTCACAATAACTTGACATGCCTGAACAGCGTTCTCTTCGTCCTCTTTCGTAAAATCGAGAACAAAGTGAGAACAGCGCTTGAGCAGTGCTTCTTCAGCGGATGCACTGTCTCCTAAAGACTCCTGCAACCTCTTGTCCCTGTCGTTATCGAGCTTGATCTTCGACCTTCTGATATTCATATCTAAAGCCTGCAGATGGTGCTCAAGTTCAAGATAAATGGCGCGCTCAGCAGCTGGGAGAGACACCGGAACTGCATGCTCTTCAAAGGGAATTTCGTCGATCTCTGCGATGTTTTGACGGACAAACTGGTTCAAGAAAGCTTGGGCAACCTCTTGTCTTCTTTGGTGCCAATTCGGAGACCTGAGCTCGCGGAAAGCAGTGAAAGCCTCAACATCTAAACTCGGGTTAGTTATGAACTCCTTCCGGCTAATATTTCAACTTACCAGTGCGGTCTTTCTTGATCTTTTTCCTATTATCAATCTTGCCAACCATATCATCATCAATACCGAGATGAATACCCAAAAATACCGAGATAGTCTTGACATCTGCAAAGTCATCTAATGGTGGAGTACCGGATAGAATCCAGCGGAACTTCGATTTCAAACATGTGATAGAAGAATGGATCCGGCCTCCTAGATACGTGTACTCATCGATCACTAGCCTGTTGAAGTGGAACATTGCAAGTGGTGGCGCCATCATTTGCTTCCAATCTCGTTTTACCAGTGAGGACTTGAGTTTCCATGGATCGCCTTCCGTACGCGCTACGGAAACTTTGCTTTTCTTCGTACGACCAGATACACTGGAAGAGCTCTCGTTGGAATCAGAATCTTGATCAGTATCAGGTCTCTTGCGTTTAGCGCCTGCTTTCCCCTTTTCCTTGGCTTCAACATATGCCTTGCCAATGAGGCGCTTGGTCTGTACGAATACCTCCCCGACGTCTTCGCTTTTCAATTTTTTGGACTGCTCTTCCATCCTGGCCAGGACAAAATCGGCGCCGCCATTGCAAAGGTCCTCGACCTGCTCTTTCAGATCTGTGAGAGCTTGATCCTGCCAAGCATTAAACCGCCTGCCGTCTGACCCAGGCGGGCTGTTTGATGCTGAAAACGTAGCCAAACTAGAGAGATATGCGTCACTTTTAAACAAAGTTGACGACACAACAATGATATCTGCGTTCATTATTTGCTGGATAGAGGTCTTGTTTAAATCGGTATGCGACTTAAGCTTGATGACTTTATATGTGTTTCCAGTGAATTTTGCGATTTCAGATGGCCATTGGTTGGTGAGATGAGGGGGCACGACGATCAAGGTGGCCTTTACGGGGATCATCCCAGGAATCTTTGAAGGAAGTGTAATGCTAGTGTGAGAACAATCAATCAGTCCAAGAGTGATCGCGGTTTTGCCGTATCCGACCTGATCCGCGAGAACGCCCCCAAGAACCTGAACAGGCCTTTCCGCTCTGCCTTCAGCCTTCCAATTAAGATGCGGAAGAAGAGCTTCGGAGACCTCCTCTTCGATGAATGGAGGAGCTTCATCTTTCTCCTGCTCCATCATCCATGTAAGCGACCTGAGCTGTTCTGGCCGCAGCTTGGTAATGAAATTAGGTGGTTGGGTGAACTGGGCGTCTCGTTTGTTGCTGGTAAGCTCGAAGGGCGGGAGAACGAGTTTGCTAACCGGGATGTAGTCTGTCGTAAGACGCCAGCTAAGCATTGGAATGGCGTTCTCGGCATATGGAAGCCTGGAAAGAGCTCGGTGGACCAGTGTTGGGATGTTGAGACCAATCTTTAAGAGGCCTACTTTGTCCCCGTTGCTAGAGCGCTCCAGTTTCAGCTGTGTGACGAACGGGGAGGGTCTGTTCTTCAGTGCCCGCTCATAAGGCGCAGCTTGTTCCGAATCCTCGCGAGGAACGTATTTGTTGCCCTTGCGGACCCATTTCAGACTTGGCGCTGTTGGCGCACATCTTTCACAGTTCGAATAATCACTAGGAAGATTGAGATTATTCCATTTTGAAAGCTGTTCCATAGAACGGATACGCTCTGTGAGCCAAGCCAAAGACTCGAATGTATTCCTTTCGTGGATTCTGTCAACCTCAGTCCAGACCCCTTCCGTCCAAATTTCCTCAGCTTGATTCTTCAAGGGAACTCGACAAGTCAAGACCGCATTCGCAGTCTTACAGTCATCATTCGAAACACTAACTGACAACCCTTGAGGGCCGGGTATAGAAAAAACGCCCTCGTTGATCATGCCTTTTTTGCCCACGGGAGTTGCGAGTGTGACCTCATCAGTGGAAACCCACTGTCCATCTGCAAAACATTCAAATGTTCGAGGACCTTTAGCTGAAGAGGGCCGGAATTTTGTTTCCATCCTTGCTACGAGTGGCCTTTTTTCACCGTATGCATACCGTCTAGTCGTGGTCGAGAATACGAAGGGATCGCTTTTAGCTTCGGCGGTCTTTGTCGGGTCTAAAAAGAAATAGATAGGTAAAGCGCCGTCTTGGTCCACCTTTTTGTGCAAAGATCCATTTGCAGTACCGCATGTAGGCAAAAGCTGGTAAGTACCGTTGATGTTCTGATCCAAGCAGTGCTTCATATCATCAGGAACCGAGATTTGGATGTGATCCCATACTTTCTTGTCCGCAAATTTGGGGTCCTGTAAACCGATTGAAGCCTCCCAGCTTTCTACTAATGATCCTTTGCCTTCGATTTCAAGGTTGAATTCGTATCTAGCCGGGAGACAGATCTCCCACTGACCTTCCATAGGATCACTTGCACCAGCGAGTCTCATTCTGGCAAGTGGCATCTCGCACATTTTACGTCTAAAGCTCAAAGCCCCGTCCGTCGCTGGGCACTTGGCAAAAAGTCTCCACTCTGGTTGCAGAGGGTCAAGCAGCAACTCGATTCGGGCTTCCGGAGCATCGTAGTTTGCACTCCAGATCTCTTGGCGCTTAAGGCTCATAAATCTGAACTCAGACTTAACGGCATAAGTCAAGCAGTCTTGGAAGGTTTTCCAGTCGCTACTTTTGATTTTTGCCGCAATGTCGGGGTTGCTGTGCTTCAGATCGTCAAGGAGATTGCTAGATATGCCGTCTACTAATAGGCGCATAGGTAAAACACTCTTAACTTTGTGTTCAAACTGCAAAGGGGTAATGCGGTCATCCGTGTATTTGAAAGGGATGTAGTGATGTTCAGGGCGGCCACCACACTTCTCGCAAGAAGTGTGTCCACACTCCTTACAAACCGAGATCTTATTACTGGTAATGTCTGATCTACCCTCACAAACACAGAGTCTGGCACTCCTTTGTGCTTCCTTGAGAAGTGTTTTAATTTTGAGTTGTTGGGATGTGGACAAGTCCAACGGCCTCTCAACCAACTTGCCAACACCACTGATTCTTGTAGAGATATCGACCTCCTCAACATCAATGTCCATGTCGTCGTCATCTGCTAGTCTGAGATGATCTTGAGATAGGATCAAAGCAGCGAGAATAGCAGTTCCAACGACAGTTGACGACATCGCATTTCCTGCAAGGTTCTGTAGTTCTTGGGACGTCTCTCTTGTTAGAAGTAATTCATTGATCGGAAGTCCTTGCATGGCAAGAGACTCGAGACCAATCATTGGGCCACCGCGGAATGTCAAAAAAGGAATCATGTGTGGAGTGAGACATGGGCAAATCCCATTCGCTTTACCAAAGGTATTGCGATCCACATTCTGAGACAAATTCCAAAATTGTTCCTTGTAATTGGCATCGATGCCAGCCTTTGCTTGAGTTAACAGATTGATATCCATTAAATCCAGCACTCGGTCAACCTGCGAATGACCCCAGTCTTGCCAAGCAAAATCAAACATTTTAGAGATTCCTCCCTCTTCCCAATGTGTCATCGGTCTTTTCAAGCCTAGTTTCTGGACAATCCTTTCCTTTTGATGCTTTCCCTCACATTTTTCCCACTCGACCGATCGGGAAGGTTTATTATTTGCGTCCCTCTTGGCAGCCAGATCCATTCGAACCTGATGAATTCTTGGGTCGTCGGATTGCAGGAGGAATGCTTCTAGCGTACACGATGCTGGTCGGCGCAACTTTCTCATAGCATCAATCCATTTATTTGGGATTGAGCTTCCTTTTTGATCGATGGCAAACAGATATCCTCTGCAGCGAGTTTGCGGAATGTAATAGTTTTTCGTATCGAAACTTGTCAGAAACTCGGCCGAATATCCGGCTTCTAAATACTCGGCGCGCATTTCCGTCCAGGCCGCACCAGCCACGTTTTCATGGATGATGATGGTCGGCCGGTGACGGTTTACCCACCTCATCATGCCATGAAACGTATCGGATGATTCACCAACATCGTCAAGCGTCTTTTTCTTGTTGTTGAGATTTGAAAAATCTACGCAAGATGTACCAGCAACCAAAAGGTCAACGTTTCCAGGGACAGCAACTTTAGCACCATAAGCCGTGGTGCTACCTAATATATTAGAATCAAGTACCCAAAAAATATGTGCCATATATCAGAGAAAGAAATAGACTCACGCAAAATCCTGGCCCAGTTCTCTGATATCTCTAAACAAGATCGGTGGCTTGAAGTTTCGCTCAATATAACTTGGAAAAAAATCAGTACATGTAACGTGGGGATGTGGATAGCTAACTTACGCTTGTTTGTATGGCTCAATTTCACAGCTGAAGACATGCTGGATTTCAAGCTTGCCCAATTCCATTTTCTGGAAACTTCTTCCAAACAAGCCTAAAGCAAGCAAAGGACTTTCGGTTCCTGAGCACATGGTTGCAACTCTAAGCTTCCTCCCACCTCTATCACCAAATAAACCCGTCACCGCTGGAATCCGAGAAACGATATCATCGAAGATCGATTGAAGATCGGAGATAGGTGGAAGGTCCCCTTCTCGGGGTTTAATCGTCAAACCACAATTTTTGGGTGCCGAGTGGTGCTTGTAGGCAGCGCCCGAGTTTTTTTTTGCGGTAACTTTAGCAGTTTTACTAGAGGATCCCTTCGCAAAGATAAGTTCGGACTCAGATGATTCCTCTTCCTTTGGGTCAATTTCATCATCAGTAGGAACCGCCGACTCAGCTACAGATGCCTCGCCATCGGAGGGCGCTTCTGAGGGCGGAGCAAAATCAGACTCGTCATCTTTATCGCTGTCCAAATCGATGACCATCTTTGAGCTATTGTTGAGGGATCGAGATCTACTTCTAGGTTTGCTGACTGGTTGAGGAGCAGGCGGCTTTTGTGGCGACCTAACAACGAATGTATTGAGTGTGGATGTCTTTTGTGAAGACTTGGATGTGTTTTGTGAAGACTTGGATGTGTTTTGTGAAGACTTGGATGTGTTTTTTCCCTTTGAAGGCACCACCACCAAATTCGAGCTGGGAGAACTGCTAAAATAATTTCTCATGGACAATTGCCTAGAAGTAGTTGTCGGAGGATTTTTAGAGAATGTTGGACCAGAAGGACGAATAGGAACTAAGTTTATTTATTTAGTTTGCTCAGCCTCCGCGACACAGGAAGAAAAATGAGGGAAATTCTCAACATACTCTCTACAGCAGTCATGAACATCTTGCCTGCAGTTTTCTTCTTTGGAGAATCCTCGGCTGCATCAATACCCTGTCCGAAATTACCCTCACTATCAGAGTCATCGGAAGATTCTTCTACAACTGCGCGACGCCGCCTGGGAAACGTTGCCATCGACGGAAGTGCGCAGTGATTGCGCTGTAGATAATTTTGATTTGCGTTTTTCAACTAATATACCAGGTTAGTAGATTGATAAAGCAACTGTCGCAAAATATGAGAGAGTCGCGGTAAGGACGTTATGGAAGATGAAAACCACAATGGCGGGAAGCCTAGGTTATCTCCCGCGCGGGGGGGGGGGTATGTACATACGGAAACTGACCTCTTCCAGTAGTTTCCAAAGAGAAGAGGCTGGATAGGTGCGTAAAGGTTTTTTCCTTGATGGATTGATTGAGCAAATTGTAAGAAGTGGTAGGAGGGGGTATCGTAGGATGGGGTAGGTGAAGACAAGAAGTGCTGGCGAGGAAAACGCGTTTTTTGCAATTGCACTATGGCGGGTAGCAACAGCGCGACACCACCGCGTATTAGTACACAGATGGGGTCCTAGCGTTGTCGGGATCCGCCACGAGGGATCACGCCAACACAGGTACCGGCACATCCCGCCTAGTCGCAAGTAAGCACGTCAGCCTATGTTATGATCAATTATGGACTGTATTTAATAGAGTTTTAGCTGCGCCAGTTGAACAGAAATTCTAGCCGTTTTAGGCAAAGACTTGCAAGAGTTCAGCCAATAAGAGGTACAGGACTTTCTGTCCAAGTGCTCGACTTTCTGTTCAACTCGCGCAGCTAAAACTCTCTATCCTCTTAGTTGTGTAGACTATACTGCCTGATGTATGGGCGGATGGAAAATTTTGTTGAAATTTCAACTCGCCCTGGGACGAGATGGAGAGGGAAAGTCTTGCGATCCCCTCCTAGTCATATCCTCCGCTGCGCTACTCTACCTACATAGATAATTTCATTGTGAATCCGCTACCTGATCTATAGAGTTGACAAGTCAGAAACCGCATAATTATATTGTAGCTTCTTGATCTTACATGTTATATTAATTTAGTCCAGTCCAGAATGAAAGAGATATGTACTTGAGATTAGTCAATATCAAAGTTCTAGTCCCTTCTATGTACATACATGTGTTTCCACCTTCTACATCATTACAAACGCGACAGCCACTGCTAACAAAGCTGACATGACACCGACCGGAACATATCTTCTAGAAGATCTCCCTTCAAATATTGCCGGGAACTGGGATGATAAGGTTCGAGATCCTGCATCACCCGCGCCCTCGGTAGTAGCACTGTGACTAGTCCCTGCATCGAGACCAGTTCGCGAGCGGGGTTTCGATGTTCCCAGAACAGCTTGCGGTACTTGGACCTGTAAACTATCCCCGACCTCAACGATCCCTAAAGCCATAACGGATCTAGCCCCTATCTTTGGCTCAGATGTGATCAGTGGTAACGGGCCATCAAAAATGACAGGACCAGGATGGGTGGTTACAACAATCCCAGTCCCAGCCTGTTGGGAATTGGAGGAACTTTTTGGAGGCAGAGGATTGCCAGGAATTATTGAGTCGGGGATCTCTGTATCCACAATTTCAGCGGCACTCTCGTTACCAATTGCGGGCCCTGAAGAGAACTCCGGGGGTGGAGGGTCGCTGGAAACTATTGCTGAGGACAAAACTGGTGGTAGAGGTTCACTTGGAATAACTGGGCCTAGGTTATTATATGCCACGATCTCGGCGGGAGTGAGCATTTTATATGCATCTTCAAGCGCGCCTGGGTCATGCTATCGTGTCGTTAACAAAAGCATATTCCAGGGATGTTACACATACCAATGGAGAATCATCAGGCACACCGATATTATCAGATGAGGTCCTTTTATTAGTGTCAAGCCCGGAACTTACACCACTGGGGATCGGGCTTCGAGCAGCAATGGCTCCCTCTCCCGCATGGGAAACTGTGTTGTATGGGATCGAGGAACCGCTAGAGAGTGCGGGTGTTTCTCTGACTATTAAGTGTTGAGAAATCTCGACTGCAGTGTTCACAGCCGGAGGCTGAACATCATCAGTGGCAAAACCCAACAGTGGAACTGCAAAGAGATTTCGAGAACGTAATGATAAGGTAGAAAGAACTCAACATACCAAAGGTCCTGTAATAGCAAATACCGCAAAGATCAAAGCACTACCAGCTGTGGTAACGGCGCATGATTTCATTTCTTTCCTGAGCCGGTATAAGTTTACGGAGGAATTCGTGGTAATAGGTACTGTTAATTATTGTTATTTTCGTTTTATTCTTCGTTTCAGCGGAATTAAATGTGGCCTCAACATCTCTTATAGTTTTTGGCGTCGGACCGAAACTACATCATTATATCATCACTAGCGGATGACTAAATTAGTCGTAGCTCCGAGGAATCGGCACTCTTTAACCATCCGGGGTTTCCAAATTTACGCAAATTAGGTTGCCAATTTTATAAATACGGTCGGCCAACTGCTTCCTTTCAGTTGGTTTTGCCTCAGAAACTTCGGATTTGAAGTTTAAGGTAAAGTCAATGTACCCTTCCAGGAGCTCAAGGTAAAACTCCATTATGAAAACAAGGGCAGCTGCGCAGAGGTGTTCTACTGCCAAGGCGCACAACACCCTTGTTCTAAATTATCCCTTGGCCTGGTGAGACATGCAGATTCGGGACCCTCCAAACTAGGCAGGTTTAGACTGTGGCCCAGTGACTTTGCCGTGGGATTATCATATGGCTGAGCTCGCCGCCATGGAGGCAAAGGCACTGGGCCACAGTCTAAACCTGCCTAGTTTGGAGGGCCCCGAATCTGCATATCTCACCAGGCCAAGGGATAGCCAAACTCTACAGATTGATACATTCTACTAGCTCATTCGATTCCGTGTATAATTGATAGATGTTGGCCTGTTTGGCCACTACTATCCACCCAGGCTTAGGGCTCTTCATTAAGAAAGATACCCTTCAGCTTTGGCGAAACAGCCCTCTCCCGGACTAGTAAACCTTCGAGATCAACACTCAACCCCACCCCCACCTCTCCCTAGATCGCTTCATCGCTGGCCGCATATGCCAGTCTCAATGGAACGAGTAGCGAGTATTCCGCATGGTATAAAGGGGGTAGTAGAGGTCGGTGTGGAAGCCTGCGATAGAGGTCCTGAGGAGCTCTAGCGTTGGTGAGGGTCAACGGGACAAGGGAAGCAGCGGCACGGTGGTCTTCTTGAGTAAAGAAGAGGAAATAATATTATATATTAATAGACAGCGTAGGTACAGAAGACGTTGCATATCAAAAGAAAGAAGAGAAAGAGAACAAAAACGAGGACGAAAACCTCCTAATATACCCAAGGAAATCCCAGCGATGACAAATACAAAGTGACTCACACACTTACAATCGACAGAACCCGATAGAACTCAATAGAACCTTTTTGACTAATCCAACTTCTCATAGCCAACTGTATTAATTAATCGATCCATGAAAGCCAGATTCGCGCCCACAAAAGCTACCTCGCAGCCCACCCCTCATGGATGTGTCCAGATCTCCTCCACCACCTGCCCCACGTACCACCTCCAAAACGAATACCTTGAGTATGTCATCCTCCACTGTCCTGAATGCGCCCCCCAAAGGGCCACTCATATAACGTTCGCTATATCACTAGATGACCTCTGGTCACCTGCCACCTCTCTCGCAACCCTCTCCTCATAAATCATAGTCATTAGAACAGGGTTCTCCCCCCTCAGATAGCTCCTCCAAATCTCCACTATACGATCTCACATCCGACTCCGACCTCACCTCGATCCCATCAAGCTCAGACGCTTCCATAATATAAACAGCGGCACGCCGTAAAGACATACAAAATACCACAACCATTACAATCAAATGGTTTCTCCTCTATTTCCTATGCCATAAGATAAAATTGCATAGCTGGTACGAAAGTATATGGCCTGAAGAACGGGACGACTGAATTTCTAAGTTTGCTTTTCTGTGGAGGGAATGTCAGGGTTTCTTTTCAGTTATTGCTTCACGTTTATATTTTTACTTTGTTTACTTTCTTTCGGTGGTAATGTAGGGGAGAGGTATTGTTCACGCCATAACCTAGGCTCCATGTGATATTCTTGTACCCAGAAATAAATGAAACACTGATATAAAAGAAAGAAAAAAACCTGTTTGGCCACTACTCTATCAGGATGATGACATAAAATTTCTTCTTGGTGGTATGGGTTTCTATGGGCAACTGTTTGCCAGATAAAAATTTATCTCACAAATGCTTTGGAATATCATATGATTAATTTAGGGTTAGGTTATCAGTTTGAAGTTATTTTTACTTTATTTTGGTGTCCCTAGCAAGCTTGAGGTTAATATATATACATGTATAGTGGTAGGTAATAAGTGATGGAACGGGCGGAGACACAGTGATACCTGTTTTGGGTAAAACTCCACCAATATATGGTGTTTGGAGGTATAACTCTATCTCAGGGTGTTCCATCACTTATTACCTATCGCTGTACGTACTACGGTGACATAAATCACCGTCGCGAAGCAAAACCACACCAAAAACGCCGAAATCAGCACTTTTCTAATAGCTCCAGAACCCGCCATTCCAAGATATAACTCGTACCAATTAGTTAAATACAACTTAATCATGAGGAGAATCACTTGATAGTTTTAAATTTCAAAATTATCCATTGTAGAATTGATGGTAGAGAATCTTGTTCAGTTATTCCCAGAGACCGCGAATGTGTATGGAGTATTGGCAAAATATGTTTTGACTCGAATACGGTGGGTTACGTCCATACATTAACACTAGGGGTGTGCCAACTCGCGACCGCGAGTTGTACGTTGAATTATGGGTATCAAATAAAATTTAATTCTCCCTCTACAATCATGAGGGGCCTTCGGTCCCATCCTCCTCCTCTCGTGAGTGCTCAGTACTTTGATGTGTCATGCTGACTAATCAACATCCCTGCACTCAGCAGCCAATCAGACCGTTCCAATAATAGAAAAAATAGAGACAGTACATTATAGATATGGGAAGTACACGCCATAACAGGTTGAATTTTCGTCTTTATCCTCATGAGGGGGCCTTATTGTTTGTCACTCGTTTCTTTCTAACCCTGATCAGAGTTCTAAGCTACCCCATATGAAGGAGCCTAGCTTTATCCGTCACAGTACATCACTCGCTATCGGTTTTTTGTTCCCGTCGGCGGCAATCAAACCCATCCACTAACCATAAACGGCAGGTATGATATAAAGAACTTCTAGAGTGACCAGACCTGCACGTCTTACTGAAATCTTAATAGTCGGTTACCACGAAGAACTCTAGATGGGTTTTGCTTTCGCCTGACCGCCAAGGAGATACATATATAAGTTTTTGGAGGGTTTCGGATAGAGTATGATGTTCCAAGTGCTCGGTTCAGCTATCGGGGATATCTAGATAAAATCAGAGACCAGATCGCATCCAAGAAGACTAAAGACCAAAAAGCCTATTCGTAATATATATTCGATAAATTATCTGCACCGTTTTATCTAAGGAAGGTCTTGCATAATTTACGGAGTTGATAGCGCCGTTAGTATTTAGAGGCGTAAGCATAGAAACGCCTGACCCCGCATGTTCCCTCTAGGCTGCCGAGTTCACACATGCTGTGTGCGCAGATACGGCCTGACGCAGTATCTACGGCACAACAAAAAAAATCATGGTCATGACATGATCATGATACATACATGTATGTACATTGATATTTGGACCCTCCCAGCTGGGTGAAGGATTTCAAAGCACAACAGCGGTTCGATGTTTAGATCTGAAATGACAGCTTTGAAGAAAGAGCCTCTCCTTGGAGTGGGATTTGGGTTGACTGGATTACAGTCTGTTCATTTGTTACGTTTCTTGAGGTTTCTATGTACCTCTCTAGGCCCCCAGTGCACAAGGCTACATGTACGTGCAGGTCCCGCTGCACATCATCTGAAGTGGCCAAGGGTAACCGTTAAAACGAGATAGAATAAGACTTGGCAGTATCATGGTCCAACATAAGCCACGCTAGCTGTATCCGTAACGGGCTAGTCTTGATCACTGGCAAGGATAATAGATGACTAAGCGTCAATATTGACATTTGTATGGACGTCGTCGGTGCTTGTTCTTGACGTCTACAGCCCCACAACCGCCTTCCTTAACTTGCTTCTAGGGCAGGCGCCAGCCCCCATATCCTACTTCCTGTTCAATCGTTTACTATGGGATTAATGGCATCTCCAAACCCTTCCTTAGATCCATCTTTGATTTCCTCAGTGTTCGTTGATCTTGCTTCTTCTCCTTCTGCTTCTCAAATCATGTCCTCTACTACTTACTCTCAAGCCTCTTCCGGCGCCGGAGCCACAAATATCAACGCAATGGCCGCAGACATGACCGTTGCTGGTTCCACCGAAGAGGAACCCATTGCCTACATTTCTACTGATTTGCGGTCGAGATCTGTATCTCCGGATATCCCATCCAAAATAAAATATGACGGCATCACGTATGAAGTACTTCGTCCAGAGCAGCTTGGCTGTGACAGCAAGGATATCCCGCTCTTTGGCGAACGCAGGTCAAAGGCACGTGCCGCAAAACACAAGAAAAACCAAAGACAGAGGCCCGAAGAAGCTGAATGGGAAAATAAGCGAAAATGTTTGTTCTCTCCTGTAACCAAGAAGGTGTACCCATTTCTGACATCATCAATTACAGCAACGATCGATGAGAGGTTATTCAACAGAGCTTTCGCCGGCTATAGCGAGTCAGATTTGATGATAACCGGAGACGGACTGCTTCTTCCTAGGCTCCCTTCTTGGTTAAATTCCACCAGGGAGACCCAGCATGATGGTAGTCCGGGAGTTTTTACATGTAGCCCAAGCAAGGAAGACTTTAATTCACGATTTTTGGAGATTCTTGAAGCACTAGAACCCATAGGGGTTGAAATCGGAGTGGCTAAGATCCGTGTTCCTGATGGATGGTATAGTTATAGTTTTTTCTTCTTCACACAGTCCTCATCTCGTCTCCTCGACTATTCCTGCATAGACAAGAAGTTTCGTCTGGTCGATCATTTCCCTATCCATTTGACTTTCATTTTTATGACATGACGGGTTATTATTCTTTTAGTTACGAGGTATGCTAACAGGGACTAGCTTAGATGATCCCATACCATGGTCAGAATTCAAGAATCGCAACCCACACTCTTCCCTAGATCCAACCTCATACATCGCTCAAAATGGGACAAGCCCCAATACGGGGAAACCTTCCGCCTTCTCTAATACCGCCGAGAATTCGAATGCTACGGAATCTCAACGTCGTCCAAAAAAATATGAATATACCTCCATAATCCCCCCCCCTGCAGTCGATGAAATGGGTATCCCTCAAGTTTTTAGCATGGACCAGCGTTTACCTCTTCACTCCGAATCCAGCTCTAGCATTGCACCCATCTACCATGTTACTTCAACCCCAAAGACCCTTGTCTCTGGGACAGATTGGCTTAGGGACATTAACCTTCAGCTCGAACGGGAACGACGGATTGCAGCCCGTGACCCCTCCATCCAGGTTTATGGCAGCCTTCAAGAAGAGACAATGGTAGCACGTGGTCGAGATTGGCGGGAAATTCTTACAGGCGATAAAGGGGGGGTGTCAAAATATTCATCGGACAACGATGCCACCGAAGCGCTACGTTCTTACCTTGGTCTCAAGGACCCTAGATTAACTGAGCTCCCTGGCAATATCGTTCATGATTCAAAGCACAAGGTTACAGGTATACACACACCCTACCTGTACATTGGGCAAGCATACACCCTTTTTGCTCTCCATGCAGAAGACTATAATGCATTTTCATTAAATTACCAACATCTCGGCGCCCCCAAAACGTGGCGTGTCGTCTGCCCACGTGACTTTCACTTAGTCGAAAGCTTTGTCGATGGGGCCCTTCATCCTTCCTCTTCATCCGGAAAAGAACCGGCGAAATGCTCTCAGTTTGTTAGACATGCGTCATTGTTTTTGCCTAAAGAAACTTTAGAAACAGCTGGGGCACGCTCAATCCAGTTCAGTCAAAATCCTGGAGAATTAGTGGTTACATGGCCATTGGCATATCATCAAGGATGGAACGAGGGTGTGAATGTCAATGAAGCGTGTGGTTATGGTCATAAGGGGTGGAGGAAAGTGTTTGCATCCAGTGAAGATGATCAGAGTGAACACAAGGTTTATAGGCCTTGTGGTTCGAAGTGCATAGGTGATAATGCGCCTATCATCCTAAGTTTCGAACCAGAAGATATGGAAGGAGTGGTTGACTGCGATGGTGGTACAAGTGATGATACGATCTTGCCCGAGCTGACAAGGAAGAGTATGTCCACTGCTACTACCCCCCGCGCATCTGCCTCCGCCACTGGTCGTCGGAAGAGACCTAGGGCACGGGAGCTTGACGAGAGAGAGAGCCTGGGAATTATCAGTAACCCAGCAGCACCCTTTAAAAAAGGTAAACTAGTCAAGGATGAGGAAGAAGATAACTCGAAAATAGCCAAAGAGGCAACAGTATTTGTTGAAAGATCTCTCGAGCAGGATACGATGACGAAACATATAACGATGCACCGCGAGCAGCGGATTGAAGGAGTTGGGGTCTCAGTGGAAGATGTTTTGATTCCCACTCAGGCCGGCATAGGCGCGCCTGGAGATGTTGTCAACCGTACAAGACGGTAGGGCGGCGTCCTTAGGTAGTTACGTGGATCAGGCTCGATTACGTATTTAGGATCTTGTGGACCTTTTTTGCATCTTTTAACACCTTACACTGTATAACGCCTTTTTAACCTTTTGGTATGGGAGTTCGTCTTTTTTACATTTGCTTTTACTAATGATTTATTTGTATGGACTTACACACCATCGTATAACTGTACCAAATGTTCCTTTTTGGTCTGTAATTTATGGGTTATGTACGTGTGTTCTGGATGGGTATTCTTTTCTTTATTTTTCAAAACGGAGTTTTGGTAGTACATACTTGTAGGAGCGGTATTTTACATGGTTGTCACTGGCTTTTTTTAAAAGGACGACTCTTGGAGATTTGTTGTGTAAAGTACTTTAATTTCAGCTGGGAAAGTATTCCTTTTGGGGGAGTCCCGACTCCCCCCAAACTATCGTTCTTATAATGTCCAATAGCGACGTGCGTTTAGAAACAAATAAAGCTCCTCAGGGAGGGAGTTCTACATAACCCCTGGTTCATGACTTGATCCATGAAGCCTATCCGGCAAAAGTCAAGTTCAGTTACAGCAATCAGAACGCTATATCGATTTTGACGTTGACAGGAGTGAATATATTGTAATACGGTGATTTCAGTCAATTAGGTGTTACGTACGTGGGGGTGTTTATGGTTCGGGCCCGATTACTTTTCTTTCTTCAGATTAGCTAGTTGCACACATAGATATATTCTCTCTACAAGAGTACATGGGTATGGTTCATGGCGTTGATGGAATTAGGTGGGGTTGCACTTGGTGATTTTAAGATATTATAGTTTTTGGGGGGGGGGAGAGGGGAGAAGCGAGGAGGTTATATATGCCAAGGCTGGAGCAGCATGGTCACCCACTATCAGCACTGCCGTGCCAATATGGGGGCCTCGACATGGAATGTCCCCCCCCCCAAAAAAAAAAATCGTTCACATAGCATTACTTCTGGGTACATGTAGTTAATGGCTGTCTGTATCTTACAAAGAACATAACTCCCTTACCCGTGACTAGCGGGCGTTCAAAGTACGCATTGCCAGGCATGGGATCCGGGACGACGCAAGCTCGCCAGCAGCCTCGTGGAGTGTATGTATCAAGCACTTTTTATTCTTCTCAATGACGATGGGACAAGTTGATGGCCGGGCGCGTATGTTGTGTGGTAGTAACTGCACGGCACAAAGAAAATCACATCGCAGGGTTTGATCATGATCAGACGAATTCGCGCAAATACAATACCTGTATGCTTGTTGTACAGCCTAGCCACTCTCCGCGGGAGGATCACGGCCTCTCACTCGCTGGCCACTAGCCGAGCATTTGACAACATGGATACATGTACACACATGTACCTCCTTCGTATTCATTCTACATGTACATAGGTACAAGATGTACCTATCGTTTTGCAACATTCTATGTTAGTAGAGTTATATAGTGCTATCGTGATTAGATTGTATTACTTGCCCCTTTCGAATTTCACCAAGTAGAAGCTGACACAAAATTAAGACCTAAGAATAGTTTGAGGAATCGTACAAGTCGCACCAACCAACACCCTTTGTCTCTATATGGTTGCTATGCTTGTACCCTACTCCCTCTTTCTCTACTTACTCTACTCTGCCTGTCCCGATGCCGGGTCAGGTCACACGGAGATTAATCTCGAGTATCATACGGGTAGATTTCTTTAGTGCATGATTTAGACCACAATCCCTGTAATCCATTGCGGTACGAAGGTATCCATTTTACGCCGCGAACGGTTAAAACCGCAATCTAACAAACGTGTGCCTAAAATACGACTCTGAGTTTATTATTTTCCCTTTGAACAAAAATTTGAATGGTTAAAAAATAAAATAGAATAAAAAAATGTTTCACTTAATGACGTGGTTCGACCTTTGCCGGCTCTGCAGGAACGAAAAATGCTACGCGAAGCTTATTCGGCTGTGAGACACACGAGGCAGAGAGTGAGGGTAGGTATGTATGTAGGGTGTAGGTGCCTACAAGGGCAATTTCAGATCTTGTTCCGATTCTGACCTTTCACCCAAAAATAGACACAGCCAGCAACAGCCGAAAAAAGACATCGCTAGGGTGTGCATGTGGATGTGGGGTTCGCGAATGGTGAATCCCTGAATACACACAATACCTGGAGGAAGGGTCTGAGTTAGTTCTTACTTCTTGGTGGATGGACTTCCGGATAGTATTCCTTTGTTTGCGTTGTTTGCGGTTCAATAGTAACTGTAGATATGCATCAAGGCCAAGAGTTTCCCCGTACGGTTACCGTAAGAGTGTGCATACAGCGCAAGAAAAGGCAAATATACTCTGCCACGATCCCTGATTGGCTCTGTACCACGCTCATCCGTATCCCCAATTGTTTCTCCTCCCCGCATTTATTTGCCAAGGCCTCACTTTGTAGCTCGTGTGGTCACCAGGTCTAGAGAAAATGTGAGCCATCCCAGTCGTTTCTCGAGGAATCGTGCAACCAGTATGATGTTCTGGGAGAAGTATTTATGTTGGCTGGATGCCCTCCCCCCCCATCCTGCGAACTTTGCTTTTGGACAGCAACCGGTCGTTAGGTGTTCAGAAAGGAAGAAAACTCGGTATATCAACTAACCTTCGTTCAGTGTTGTGGTTACCATTGTCGTTCGCTCCAAGAAATCAACGCTCGTTCAGCTCAGCAGAGAATAATACTATATATCTCATCAGTACTGGGATTATCAAGCATAGTCAATACCTAGCTGAGAATATCTTCTACCATACTTTCGAGCTCTAATTCATCACCAACATGTCTTTCGCTAAATCCATATCCGGGGTTGCCCTCGCCATTGTCCTCCTCCAGGGAGCCATGGGAAATCCGGTCTCGAAAACTACCTATGTGTATGCCTCCAGTGTTTCCAGCCCTACTCCGAGTTCGACAACGGTTGAGTATGAAGGCCAATGGGATGCCTGTGACAATACTCCTGCCCCATATGGGTGTCCATCTTCTTCCAGCTCTACATCGGCCTGTCCATCAATCTGTGCGGATTATATCAACGAGTGTGGAATGATGTATGGCGGTTGCTTGTAAGCATGCCCTCTTCCTATCTTCTTAAGTTGCTCCTATTTAAGCAAGACATGGTGCTTTCACTTTTTCTTTTTGGGAGAGATCGATTTATGAATTCTCTATACTGCCCCCAATATCACAATTTAATTACTACACATTCCCCCCACCCATGTTCGGGTCATTATCCCAACTGCTAAAACTTGTAATAAGCCCCGATCCCCAATGTACCGGCGGGACTGCATGGCCAACATTCTCAAAACCACCCTGCCCTACAGTCAGTCCCACCTCTTCGGTCTGCCCAACTATCTGCGCAGACTACATCAATGACTGTGGCCAGATGTACGGCGGCTGCTTGTATGTTCTTAGCTCTCACTTCTCTAGATCTGGATCTGAATATCTAGCTTACAACGTATAATTTCTCTAGTCCTGACCCACACTGCACTGGTGGAACTGCATTCCCATCCTTCTCCAAACCCCCATGTCCTACCACCACCACGACACCACCGCCAACTATCACTACAGTTCCTGGCTCGACCACTACATGTAGCACATTTATCTGCTCAGACTTTATCAACAGCTGCGGCAGGATCGAGGGAGTCTGCTTGTAAGTTCCATATACCCGGTGTGTTTTTAGATATATAAAGCTCCTAACCTCCTGTAGACTTGATCCATACTGTACCCACAATGGCATCTTCCCAACCACCTACAGCCTAGGTCCGTGCTCTACCACCACCGAAACTTATACCCCCACCCAAACATGTAATACTATCTGCGTCGACAAAATCAATGGTTGCGGTCAGACATACGGCGGCTGCTTGTAAGTTTCTTCCATCTTCCTTTTTTCCTTCACACCTGCCACTCGTACTAAAATATCATCCTTCTATCCAGCCCGGACCCAACCTGCACTGGTGGCACTGCCTGGCCAACATTCAGCTCTCCCGCGTGCCCCACGGGCACTGGCTCGACGTCGGTCTCAGTCACGACGATAACGCCCGCGGCGTCTCCTTCCACAACGTTGGAGACTGATACCGTCACTTCCTATACCAGCATTGCGCCAGACACAGTCACGGTTACGTCCACTTCACAAACTGTGATAATCCCGTCTTCGTCGGCGGCAGCGGTGGCAGCCGGTAATGGGACACGTTCTAGTGGGGTGTCGCCCACTGTGTCAGAGCCGGCGCCTCAGCCGATATTTACGGGAGAGGCAGTGAGGAACAGAGTGGGATGTGGGATTGCTGCGGTTGTTGTGGCTGTGGCTGTGGCATTCTTGTAGTATGTCGGAGGAATTAATGTAATAGGACTATGCTTTATTTTTGTTTTGTTACGGAATCATGATATGACCATGGGCGTTCTCATGAGCAGTAGTTAATTTACGAATTCTTTTCCCCACTCTGCCTCAAACATTCCCTACGGCGTGGTATAGTGTGGATAGGCTCAATTGATGTAGTCGAATTTCCTCGCGTTTCCTTAACTTAGTTTTGTTTATCAGCTCTCTTGAGCTTTCTTTTAGCTACTTATGTAGTTAACCTCGTACCAGCAGCATGTAGCTAGCTAGTAAGAGCAATACCAGCTCGAATCAATTTCCTGAATATCTAGTCCACTTGTCTTATCACCCAAATTGCAACACATCTACCGTGGATCCCCCGATCCAAAAAAGAAAGGAAATGGGGAAAAAAAAAAAAAAAAAAAAACTCCCTACTACCCCGGTAGCCACACCCGCCGCGCATCAAAGTGCATATCCAACAAAATAAGCTTTCGCGCACCCTGCGAATCACGAGACCCACCGGGGAGGAGGGGTATCGATATGCAGGAACCAGGTTGTGACACGTGACGCAGTTTTGCTTCTCCACGGATGTTGCTTTTGTAGCACCGCTGGTCCGCGGGACGGGCGTAGGGACCTGGATTGGGAGATGGGGGGACGAGGTGGGAGTGTGTATGTGTGGGTGGATGTGGGTGTGGATGTGGATGTGGTAGGTGTTGGGTGACAGGAACAGGAACAGGGGAAGGGTGAGGGAAGAAAGATAGGTTGTCCCTGTGGACCAGTTGGGAGGCATGGAGATTTGAGGGGCATGGAGGGGCGAGTGATATGTGGTGAGTGCATGTATGGATAGCGAATAGGCTTTCGTCCACCACCCCGCAACCCCCAACCCCCAACCCCCAACCCCCAACTGCGTGCTTATGGGCCGGAAGGTATATATCAACTATGTACCCCGCACACTGATATCTATGAGGCGAAGTAGTTGTACTTATATGACGTGTATGGTAAGGATGAGGTGTGGTTCTACGCTGTGTGGCAGCACGGGACCTGCGGATACGTGCCTGCCTGACTGCAGGTATGTGTGCATGCGAAATACAAATACCAACATAATTCTCCATCCTCACCATCATATCTCCGCCGTGTACAAGTCCCACTGCCCTGATTTTTGAGTATCAATTACATGATGGGGCACCCGGGGCTGGCGATGTAAGCGCCGTGTGTTGGAAGGCTGCGAATATGGGTTTCGTAGATTCTGGGTAGAAGTGGTATTGGTCCCTGCGTGCGATAGATCTAGGTATTTTTGGTGTCTGAGTTCAACAGCTAGGGGTGCTGATGGAGGTGAGTAGAGACTGCACGCGGGTAGAGGGGTTTGCCGGGGCGAGGCGGTACACACCTGCAGAGGTAGTTACTTGTGGGAAGTGGTGGACGCTGATAACGTGGGTAGGAGAGACGCACGGGGCTGGTTACGTGCAGGTACGAGCTGAAATATCTATCATCTACTACCTCTATAGCTGTCTCTTTATCTCTCTCTCAGCCTCCATCTGCACTTCTAACTCCACCCCGCCTACAACCCCCCAGGTCATTGTTAACACGCACCAGAACTCTCCTCTCGCCGCCCTCAGCATTTATTGTTGCTCTCTATCCATCTATTGCTTCTTCATTCATTCTCAGACACCGTCAATCCCGCATTGCGCATACTACCTACATGATCGTCGAATGGGCGTTCACCCCTCCTGTCGAAGGATCACACCCCCTCCCCCTCCCCTCGCTTCCTTACAGTAAGAGTAATAAAGATTTATTTTGCTCCAGTTAGGCCCTGGGATATGCCAAGAGTCTGAAAGGGGCGAAAGCTATCGAAATTATGACAGACGAGAGAGCCCGGTAGCTAGTGCGGCCCTTAAGACGATTGGGCGTGTTAACCTCAAGGCTATATAATCCGGGCTTTCTCAGGCTCGATCGAGCCCTGGAAACTATGCATCAGATGACCTTCGAAGAATATCACAATCTCTATATTAAATCTATCGCCGCCGCCTTGATTAGAGCCATTTTATACGAGCGTTTGTTTAGGCCGGTTAATTGCTCCTGTCAGGGCTGGCTTCCAAACCTACTACCTATATACCGTTTAAAGTATAGGCACATTGAAACCGTATATTATTGTCAGTAAGTTCTTTCTAAATCTCATGCTTCCCCTCGCCTTGCTTTGAGCTTTTACTTTCTAATTTTGACCAGTGGACGAGAATAGGGTTTAGCGTCATGGCGTGTCGAGTGATATAGTATGACGGAGATCACGTTACCCCACATAAAGCCGTTAATCGAATCTCGTCGGCTCAGCTTTTGAACTCTACTAGTAGGTTTCGATTAACGGACTTTACTCTCAGCAAGGAAGAATTGCACCACTTCGACGATCGCAACCCACAACGGCCCCACAACTACATAGATCCGCAGAATCTCCCTACAACCAAAGAGTTCAGGGCCATCCTGTAAACAAACACCAAGCTCAAGCAGACTGGCTGCGATCATTTCCGCGGACGAAAAATTCTCAAAATCAGAACACTATCATGATGACGTACGTCATCTGAGGGGGCAAAGACCTACTGATGCGGAAAACTGATGTCACGGTGCCACCTTTTGATTAAAACTCCTTATTTCTTCTTTTCTCCTTCGTATCCCTGAATCTCTCAGATTCTTGATAAGCCCTACCGAATCTTTACTACTCCGACACGCCCAATATGACAAAGCTCAAGAACCCCCTTCTGCCGCTCTATGTGCTGTTTAGGCACAATCCCAATGACCAGAGAATTTCGGGGGTTGGGTGGATGGATACTGATGCGAAGAATCGTGAGTTTTTTGATAGAGGAACTTCTGTGTTTATTCTGCGGGAATGGATAGCTAATTAGAATAATTAAATTTGATAGACTTTGTTGCGTCTGTAGGCCTTTCTATCCTTTTATATGTTGCCTGCTGTTTTATCGTGAGTGGAATATATTGATATTGAGTCCTGAACTCTTGGCGTAAATAAAGTTAGCCGAATTTGTTGGTATGTTGGCTATGTCCCTGGCTGCTGGTTTTCCGCGCACGACTGATGTGCCGAATAGGAACTGTTTTGTTTTTGTTCTTCGCATTCGGTAATTAATCACATCTAGTGACAATCGTGTATCCCTGTATTTCTGCTAATCCTGCAACAGGAGGAACCCAAGTTGCAAGCACAACTGATGTCCAACATGGAACAACAAGTACCATCATGACCGCCTCTGATACTAGTATCCTTTTGTATATTGCTCTTAGTTTTGGCTTCAGTTTGGCGGTTAATGCCTGGATATTCTTTCGGGTCAGCGGAGGCTTGTTCAACCCTGCTGTAAGTAAATCCGGATCCCATATCATTCGTTGACTTCCAAATATGACTCAATTGATGGGTTTCTGATTTAGTATCCTGCAGGTCACGCTAGCATTGGTCTTGGTGGGAACGATGTCGTTGCGCAGGTAACGGACTCTTCACAATCTGTCACTCGACACTACTAAGCAACCGCAGGGGAATCTATATATGCATATCCCAAATCGCTGGGGCTATTGCTGCCTCAGCAATCATAAGCGCCTTACTCCCAGGACGCCTGTCAGTTGAGACTTCACTCACTGGTAAGTTTTTTCTATATCTAGAGAGCTGTTTGAGAAAAACCACATTGACTGGAATGGGTGGCAGGTACGAGCGTTGTAAGAGGGTTGTTCATTGAGATGTTTTGTACCTGTCTGTTGGTTTTTACAATATTGATGTTGGCTGTTGAGGTATTGTTATTGTGGATCTCTCCCATACGGTAATTTTAACGAAATAATAGAAACACCGAGCAACATTTATTGCACCAATCGGTATCGGATTGGCGCTTTTTATCTCAGAGATGGTTGGTAAGTTGGATTCTCATCAGAAAAAGTGGATCCGGAAATTTCCTCCACTAGCCGCTAATATTTCTATCGCCCAGCTGTATTCTATACCGGTGGCGCTATCAACCCCGCCCGTGCCTTTGGACCCGCAGTTGTAGTGGGAAGTTTTCCCGGCTACCATTGGATCTACTGTAATCTCTTGAATCCTTTAACCTCTTTTTTTTCAATATCCTAACGCATATAACAGGGGTCGGACCCGGTCTAGGTGCAATGTTGGCTTCTTCCTTCTACAAGCTAATCAAGATCCTCGAATACGAGTCCGCAAACCCAGATCAAGACGCAATGGAGCGGAAAAAAGACGAGCATGAAGCTAAGACTGGCCACAGGCCTAGCAATGCAAGTACGTTATCACCAACTTTGAATGCTGAAGGTACTGGTGGTGGAGCGGGGGGTGGGGAGGGTGCAGGGTTTGCTTAGAGGATACAAAACATGTAATGTGGCGGTGGAGAATGCAAGATAGGTGTGGTGAGAGGAGGTAACTCTGTATACACCTGCTCTGACTGTTTGAGAAAGTTCACAAAGAGCGGGTCGCGAGACCACACGCACAATAACATAAGGGTTTTGGGAAACGATCCCATGGTAGGGGTAGTAGTGCGGTGTGTATATATTGTAGTGATAGGAATGTGTATGCGATAATTGCGCTTGGGCTTCGTACGTATATAATCGGTAGATTAGTGTTGATACTTTGTTCAAAGAAGTTTTATAGATATGGGTCTATCTCCTTCAACATTTAACTTAGAAGTTAGCCGTTAAACTCAACCATCGGATCCGGTCATGAATCATGACACATCACTCGAATATCTGGACCGGCCGCACGTGTCGTGTGGAATGGATTATATGAGAAAAGAACACTGCGTACTACATGTAGTTGCAACATGTTCTTAGTTTATCCTCCCAACTTAGGAGTATCTCCTCCTCCTCTTTCCCCGCCAACGCTTAAGACTAAGAATACATTTCATCGCCAAAGGCTGTAGGAAACTTTCTGCATGGCTCCCTCACCTGTGTACGTAGGGTCCATGGCACAAAAAGTCAAACTGCATCTCTACGCGCATCTACATACCCGCACTGTCAACCTTCTTCCGCTAACTCGTCCCCGAAGAACTATCACAGAGCAAGGGATTATTATCTCAACGTACCCGAGTATACTGGTTTATAAATACAGGGAGCGCACTGTTCAAGACGTTGAATCTATCCTAGGGTAGATAAAATAAAGATAAGGTTTAAGTTGCGCCGGACTGGGTTTAATTTCTGGATAGTTATAGTGAGGTATTAATATTCTACCACCCCCTCCCCCTTCACCATAAGGAAATTGGAGTATATTCTGATATATGTAGTCAGTTTGACATTGATCCTGGCCTAGAAAATATGAACCGTGTAGCTGATCCCTGGACTGGGGGTGGGAGTGGTGGTTGGCCTAATCACCACTGCGGATCGCTGCGGGCCACTGCTTTTTGCTCCTTTTGTGGCCTTAACCTATGGCGGTTCTTTCTCTTTGTGAGGTAGTTAGGGGGAACAACTACAGAGTTCGGGCCGTTGTACAACTTTGGTGCGCCTTGTCGTGTGTTCTTCTTTTCTCACTATGGTTATCAGAAGAGCTCGCTCCCACCACCCCCCCCCCCCCAAAAAAAAAAAAAGAAAAAAGAAAAAACCCCACCCTTAAGCTTCTTCTTCAATTTAGCAGGTTGATTTGAGTTGCTCTTTTTTGCGGCGAAAACCCGAGCCTTCCGCACAGCCTTCCGACAGACTAGAAGCCTCCACCCAGCCAGTACACCTCATACCACATGAGCAGGAGACTGAGCCCTCATTGTGGATCCAGTGCCGTGCGTGTTGTTGGTGAGAGAGACATACAAGGCTGCCTACCAGTAGGTACATACATGATGTAGTTAAGGTTCACGGGGGTTAGTCCAATCAAATCAGAAGACGTTTTTTTCGGGTATCGATCTGGGCCATGGCGCATCATGCCTATCATAGCCAGTCACTCGACGACGATGCCTACGCCACAGCTTATCCCAGCCAGATGCGCGCGCCTGAGAAGCTGGTACTAAGGCTATCTGCCATAGCCATAGGGTTGGTTGGAAACCTGATGACGGCGGCGGAGGTCTCGAGAGGCCTGACTTATTCTATGGGGGAAAACCTAGATTCTGTTTAATTGGGCATTTGACATCATTGCCATTTCCTTTTCTCACCGCGTTCCCCCTGGCATAGGTATATCCGTCTATCAAGTTACATGCTTAGGCTATAATTAATATATTGATGTTCACAATTGGCTATAAGGGATCAACCATAGACGTGAAACTCGACAGAAGATGTGGCTACCCGCTTAATCAATTGTTTCTCCAGGGGAGAGGGGGAGGGGGAGGGGGAGTCTATTATGCGGAACTGTGGTTGTCGATACGAAACGTGCAAGGGGTGGTGGCTACATGGTGGAGGGAGGGGGGGGGGATTGGATTGGCTGCCATGCAACAACAATAACAAGTCATTTGGGGAGGGTTATCCCGGTAGTTATCCGCCTGAGGAAAGGATAACGGTGGTACTGATTTTAATTTGTTCGGTATACATGCAGTATGTACATTACTTTGATGGGAGGTTTTGTTTGAATATTAAAGGAGACTGGTTTCCCTCCCTCTCTAAGTGCTGCCTGTTTGTTCTGGGTGTTTGTTGCTGTATACTATTTTTTTTCTTCGCTTAGGATTCTTTGTTGAATTTCTTGAGTGGCCGACATTCGTTTATTTCTTGGTTACAGTCAGTCGTGCTTATATCTTATCTTGATCAGATCTCGGCAGCAGACTCAGAAACTATCACTCGCAGTAATTCAACACTCATACTCAAAGACTCCAACACCCACACATTCAATCCCCACCACACTCATTAAACCACAAAAACACTCATTCCAAACACTACTTCTAACCCACCACAAACATTTCAAACATCACACCTCACCTCACCACATCACAAACACCACCACAAACACCACCACAAAACATAATTCACAATGGCCCTCACCGTCCGCGAACCAATCTTCTGGAACCGCTTCTCCCTCTCCGCCCACCAGGCCGCCGAGATCCGCTCCATCATCTCCGACCGCGCCGACACCGAGAAGGCCGCCGGCGTCACTACCACCATGTTAGCTTCCCCCCCGTCCCTTCCTTGCCTTCCCTTCGATTCAATCCACCCCTTCGTTCATTCCTCGGCCAATACAGTATCGCTAACAAAACAGTAACAACAACAGTACCTCCGCCCCGACCCCATGGCTCTCAAAGCAGCAGAAGAAGCGCCGCAAATATTGGATCTTTTGCTGGATTGTCATGGTCGTTATCGTGGCGCTGTGTGGTGCGCTTGCGGGCGTGGTTACGTATTTGAAGAATTCGCATGACTGAGTGCATGACTGAGTCGTGTGCGAATTGGGAGGGTGGGGAGAGCAGGTCTGTTGAGCGGATCAAAATGGCGATGGCGGGGTAGAGTGATATTTGGAGTTTTTTTGTTCAGGAATGGAGTTATGGATATGGTTCTTTTTTCCTTTTCTTCTACGTACTACTATATTTCTTCTTTCTACCTTTACGCTCGTGTAGGCAAGATATTTACTTGGATGATTGTAATATCTACTGAGCTGGGGAAATAAAGAGATGCATGCTATGCTCTCAAACCGCAATAAACTAAATATCGCTTTTTATGATAATAATACTGATTTTCCAGGAATAGTTATATGTGAATAATTCAACAACCAACAGTGCTAATACATGCTATAAGAATACATAACTGATACGAAATAAATGCTAGTCCTAATCATGATAAATCCTCTCCTCTCTACCGGTACATCTAGTTCTTATTATTATTCTTCTTCCCCTTCGCGGCCTTCGCCTTCACCTTCTTTCCATTCCCAGCAGCAGCACCATCGGCCGCAGCAGCACCATCAGCAGCGGCAGCACCATCAGCAGCGGCAGCCGCTGCCTTCGTAATCTTCGTCAACCTCAGCACCGTATTTGCATCCAGGTCCGTCTCAGACAACACCTCCTCTACATCCCCCGCCGCCGCCGCCGCATCTCCTGCAGCAGCATCTCCCGCCGCCGCACCATCACCCGCAGCCGCCTTTTTACCTTTCCCAGCAGCTGCATCATCACCCGCAGCCGCCTCTGTACCATTCCCAGCGGCTGCACCAGCACCCGCAGCCGCCTCTGTACCATTCCCAGCGGCTGCACCAGCACCAGCATCCACCGCCGTACCATTCCCAGCCCCAGCAGCAGCATCCTCGCCCACAGCAGCAGCCCCACTCCCCGCCGCAACAGCAGCCGCAATCTCGGCCGCCGTTGCGTCCTCCACTAGCAGGTTCTCGGTAAAGATGCACCCCTCGGGATCGTCCAAGGTGTCGCAGGTGTTTCCAGCACCCGTTGGGTCTCCAATCTGGCCGGGCGCGAAGGTACCTGACTGGAGTGCGACCTGGGGGTCGCCGCCTACAGAGTCAATCTGGACGGCGAGTTCGAGGGCAATGGCCTTGTTTGTTGCTGCGGCGCCGGCACTGGCTGGGTCCTGTTATCGGGGTATTAGTTATGTGTTATATATCTAATATGGGAGAAGGGGGGGGGCCAACTTGGTGTTGAGTCAATGCGGCGATCTCGGGGTTGACGGCGGTGATACTGGTGCAGAGGACGCTGGCGAGACCAACGCTACCGGTGTTGCGCTCGAGGGTTCGGTAGACGAGGGCCGCTACCATGCCGTTGACGTCACCGGCGGCTTTGGCATTGGTGAATGCTTGGTCTGCAGTGGCTTGTTGGAGGCAGTCGGCATCCGTGATCTTGCCAGCACCCTTTATGGCAGCCTATACATGCACGATTAGTACCTTCATATATCGTGGTGGACAAGGAGTAGGAGGGGACATACAGCATTCCCCAAGAGCCCAAACACAGGATCCGCAATCTGGTCAGGATTATCGAGGTTGAGTGCGGCGCCGGTGAGAGTGAGGAATTTCTCGTGCGAGTGTTCCTGTGGTACTTCACGCTTTCCGAGTGTTCTGTGGGTTGTTGCGCTGCGGCGGGCCTTTTGCGGCGTGAGCGCGCGTGCGGAGACGAGGGTGAGGAGAAAGGCGAGGGCGATTGTGGTCTTCATTTTTGGAGTACTTTGGTTGGGTTATTTAGTTATTAGGGGAGCCGGCCCAGGTGTGCTGTGTATGAAGGAAAGTTGGAAAGAATTGGAGCCAAAGAACGTAATTGAGCCAGTCAAGCAAGTAGTAAGGTCGCGCAGCGAGCGATATTAGGAAAACAGAAGAGCAGATAAGGAAAACGAATAATGGATAGAGAAGAGGATGGTAGAGAGGGAAAAGAGGAAACGGTCAAAGCCCGAGTCCTTATAAAGAAAATCGTTATTGAGTAGATCAGTACATAAAACACATCTCGTCGGACCCACGGGGATCAAGAGAAATAAGCTATGTGGTACAGTTTCTATACTGTAAAGAGACGAAACTAGGGCAGTTTCCTCTTGTCCCAACATCACCATCATGATCAGAAGTAGAATATGTTGTTGTAGTTGTTGCATAGCAGAACTCGCTCATTCAGGCATTGCGCGCACTCAGGCTATGTGTCAATGACTGTTATACCCCCTGTCAACCTTAAACACCCCCGCCATACCAACCCGCCCCCTGAAACCATTGAGGTTTGTGACCCTTAAGCTTTCGGTTTTGGCAGGTCGCCAATCGACTCTTCAAGGATAAAAAGCTTCTCTTTATTAAGAACTGGTCGGCGCCATGGGAGTGCCAAGGGTTGCAGATAGGGGAGGTAGGTATTATATGGAACGTGTTTGGCGTAGGAAAACCCCACGGAAGGGTTTGTAAAAAATGTTATGATGTAGTCCCCATGAGCATGAGTATTAGGCTTTTACGCGCCCAATCATTTCGCCCGTGAGTGAAATCTTGACACTAGATAGCCGAGTGATATACCATGTAGGAGGAGACGAGCCAAGCCAAACATGTCTCGAGATTTTATATCCTGAAAAAAAACGTAGAGCGGTCCGCCCCCAAGGGGCTGGAGGATAATGATAACCCAGCGCATAACTAAATGGCCTCATCATCTTGTGTGTACTGCATGGAGGTGTTGGCTTTGTTAGTCTGTGTAGGTAGGTGGTATGAGCAAGCCCCCCAAGCTGGCTGGGGGGGGAGCAGGGTGATCAAGGGCGGCGGTATACGTGTGGGGTATAAATTCTCTAGACAGGAACGCCTTTCCAGTGTTGGATACTCCCCAGGTTTGGTCCCAGCCCAGAGGTCTTAAACCACGCAATCCCCGGGTAGGTCCTTTTATCACAGATCATAACGGGAGTCTAGTCGGGTGTTTAACTAATCCATAATAAAGACAGATATCCTCTCACTACAATGTACCACGTACCCGCACCTTCAACTGACCGCATGTCATTGTTGTCCTTTAACGGCAAGAATATCTACTATGTAGGTTGGTAGCGTCCTGGAGAGAGGCTAGTAGCCCAACTAGTATATACACCTGAACCCTACGTTGGCTGGCTCAAGTTAGAGTAATGGACACTGGCCTGTCTGGCCTGTTATTCTGAGTGGAGCAATCTCGCCAGCGCGTAAGTTCGATCTCCACCTTGGACTTTGGGGGATGGTGAATTGATCACTCACCATCCTTTTTGCTCTCTCTTAATTCTCGAGCGAAAATTATTTAATGCGCCCCCCATTCGGCCGGCTGCCATCTCCTAGCAGCTACCTGGGCTAAGAGCATCTCCAGGCCACGTTTACGACCCTCAATGTCCTTCGCTAGCGCTTCTTTCTCTCGCGAGAAGCTGAAAACTCTATTCCTATCTTAGATTCGGCTGGTGTGTATATACATGTATATACAGCGCCGTTAGCAGGTGTATTTAATCATAGAATATCACTCGTTTGCCAAGAATTAACAAGCTATTTGAGCTTGGTAAGGCAACGAGTCTATCTGGTAGTCATCATGGGAACACACTCTTTTTAAGAGTGCTTTCAAGGTATAAGTGTATATACGAAAGCTCGACCGGCGGGTGGCATCGCCGGGTATGAAAGTATCTCGGAGTATTTTTTTTTATAATTTTACTTTAGGGAAAGGGGATCCTTCTTAGTGACCAAGTTTAAGGGGTATTTACTCAACTAGCGGTATGGTTGCAAACGGGCTAACCCGGTCCAATCTTAGCATTGGAAAAGGTTGTCATTTTTTTCTATATACCCCGTGATGCTTGCTGAACCGGTGAGGAATCTCCATGCCTAGGAGATATCACTTGAATAAAGCACATGTAGATACAATCTTAATTCAGTACGTGTGTTACATAGCTAGGGGTGCTTAGAGTACTTTTATAGAGTTTTGTAAAACAAAGTTATAGTACGTCCACTAAACTTTCTGGATCTTATGGCCTGATATGTGCACTGACCCTGCATATACAAACATTAACACTGACAAGCTATATCTATATCACTCTCATAATATGTAGTTACGTTATGTGCACATATCTAGGGGGTCAAATTGCGCATGTCACGTGAACCCCAACCCTAGAAAGATGAAACCTTACTTTGACCTCCAAGGTGTGGGGGGGGGGGGGTTCGATACGAGTTCTGACACACCACAAAGCCACCAATTATCAACGAGAAACTCTTTTTTCTTCCGTTCCCAAGTTTCACATACACACGTTATCGACCCATCATACACAATGTCTCTGATTGCAAATAATTGATTCCCCCCACCCCCCCTCCCTCCTTCCCGCCCGCCTTAACTAAAAAAAAAGGCCCATCACAATAAACTAAAAATTATATCGAAAAACCATATCTCAAATGACCATTATCACAAAAACTACATCTACATCATAACACCTTTAAAGAGCCGGGGCATTCGGGTCACCGAGACACTGGTCAACTCTCATCAAGTTCTTTCCACTGGCCTTTGCCAATTGGATGAACTGCTTCAAGTACCCAACGGTGCTGGGGTAGAGGTAGTGCATAACCACCAAGTTACCGCCCTTGGCCAGATCGCGCTTGAAGGCGTCGAGCTGCTTCTCGGGGGTGCTGGAGGTAGCGTATAGCCAATCTTCGCAGTCTGTAGCACAGTTGTTAGTTTCGTGTTACTCTACATATATGCTGAATAAAGGGAAATAAGGTTAGACATACCAATAGACCAGTTGATCAGCTTTCCACCAGGAATCAACGCAGCAATTCGCTGTCTCATCTTCGCACCCTCATTTCCAAACGGAGGTCTGAAGTACTTTGAGGTAATACCGAGGGTCTTGGTGACGGCGTCGATATCCTGCTGAATCTCCCAATCGATAGCCTCGTTGGTGCCGAGACCCTCAATCTTCGGGTGAGTGAATGAATGGTACGCGACCTGGTGTCCCTGCGCCATCATCTCCTTGTAGACGTTTGTAAGGTTGGTTGAGGTGTCGAGAAGGGCGGCACCGACGGTGAAGAAGGTGACCTTGATATTCTCCTCCTTGACGATCTGCATGACCTGCTGGGCGAGCTGTGGGTCGCCGTCATCGATGGCGAAGGCGAGTGAGTTGGGAACAGAGCACGAGAACACCAATGGCGCGGTGGGGAGCTTGGAGCGGACGGTGACGCCTGATGGGATGGTCTTGACGATCTCGATCTTGGAGATGACGGTGTTGGTGCTTCCGGTGAAGCCCTTGAGCGCGAATCCAATGGTGCGGGTCTTGATGATGTCGAAGTGGGCAATGGGGACATAGATATCGGTGGCAGTAGCATAACGGCCGGCATCGACCTCGTCCCAAGTCTCTGGGTACGGTGCTACATTGGCGTTACAACCAGAGTTGTGTTGCTGGAAGGCAATAGAGAAGGCGCTGGAACCAGTGTATGCAATGTGGAGGTAACCATTGGCGTAGGTAGTCATGTCACGGCACGAGTCAGAGATCTGAGTGTACCAAGCGAGATCACTGTCCTTGTAGCTGATGGTAAGCTTTCCGCCGGAAATGGTGTATCCAGTGGTATCATCACCACCGTGCCAGAATCCGAGAGCATTAGAGTCGGGGCCGGTGAACTGGTCAATCACGAAAGCGGTGGCGGTGGCTGAAGTTGCGGGAACAGTGTTGGTTGCGACGCTGTCAGTGGGCGTAGGTGCAACAACATACTCCTTAGCAGTACTACCGCAGTAGAATGCGAGCGGGCCCAGGGTGACTGGCTTGCTGTTGTAGTTGTAAAACATGATGGACATCAAGTGGCCGGTATCGAGGCCAGTGAAGGTCGACAACGGGAAGCTGTAGAACTTCTCAGTGCCGTCAAAGGTCCATCCAAGCTGTGCTGTGGTCCTGTCGACAGACTGGAAGTTAGAAGCACTGCATGAAGCACTGTATTGCATCTGAACAGTGAATGTAGTGCCTGCAGCAGCCTTGATGCGCATTCCAATACCACCATACTTGTTGGTGGCACTGGTGCAGTCCAAGTTGGTGTAGAAGTAAGAGTTGCCGGTAGGGGTAAAGGTAACCCGATTGTTGGCAACGACGATAGAAGTCATAGTACCATCATCTGACGATGCCTTGAGCATGGCATTGTAGTAGAGGAAGGTAAGACGGGACTGTGATGCCCAATCATCAACGACCAGAGGCGAGCAAGTCCCTGAAGTTGTAGGAGTCGAGGAGGTGACAGTTGGGGAGGTGACAGTTACGCTAGTTGACGAAGAGGTTCCAGTGGGTGTTACGGTAGCAGAGCTTGATGACCCAGTGCCGGCCGCACAGGCAAGCTTGGTCTCACCAAGTTCCCATCCAGCGGTGTTGGAGCTGAACGCAGACCAGACAAAGGACTTGATCACGTTAAGATTGGCACCAGTAAAGCTGGAAAGCGGGATTGTGAGGGTTTGAGTTGCACCCGTCAGACCAGAAACAGTATAGAAGTAGCTGGTGTAGGTTGTTGATGCACAGGTGCTTGCAGTCTGTATTTCAAGGGTGAAGGAAGCTCCAGAAGCAGGGCTCTTGAACGGGAATGTAATTGCATTATAACCCTGGGTTGTGGCAGCAATGCATGAGTCAAAAGACTCATAGAAGTAAGCGTTTGCCTTGGGTGTGAAGGTGAGCTTTTTGGCGGCGGTGTTGGCCGTAATTGAAGCCATTGAACCATCATCTAATAATCAATTAGCTTCAATGTCTAGATCTATGCACTATGAAACCACTGGGAATGTCTAGCCATAGACAATCCAAGTTCAAATAGGTTAACATACCAGATGTCCAACTTCCTTGCTTGTTGATATTAGTTGAATAAGTTGAGTAGTCGTCTATAACCAAATTTGAAGTGCATGCAGCATACGCCGTGCCCCAAAAGACAGCAGCTACAGCCAGAATCTGGCTGGTAGAAACACGCATGATTGCGCTATTAAGGAATTATATTCTGTAGGTAATGAATAAAAAAAAACGTGTGCAAGTTGGGCAACGAAAGTGAAACTCGAACCCCACAAAAGCGAATGACTGATCGTAAGTTCACGATCGTTTGTGTACCGTCTTCAATCCTCAAGAGAAAGAGAGAGAGAGAGAGATGTTGGACTGGTGAAGAACTGAAAAAGATGGGGAACGAGGGCCGGATATATATAAAAGCTCCCCAAGAAGCCTCCCCCCGAATAAAGACATGTGTGTAACATGTGTACCGCCCAAATCCAACTAACTCTAAAAGGGAGGATTCCAATTGTAACGCGGGAGGGGAGAAGGGAGGGGCGGATTGGTAAAGGGTGGGCTTGACAGAGACAAAGCAAGTAGCTGAAGCCTATCTTTGGCCGTAATAGCCTGAGTAACTGCAACTGTTTTGTGCTTGGGCTCTCTGTTCCACAGCAACAACAACAACAACATGATCTGTATGTATAGTGCCTATACCCTCGCCCCGAAAAGCAACCCGCCCCCAGTGAGGATCTGGTACAGGGGTTAATATTGTTACTTTCTTCGGACGATTAGATGGTGTGGGTACATCTGGGTGTGCCCTTACAATTGGTTGTTCTAGAATTGTTCGTTTCCCAGCTTTCGGCCCCTTTCTCTATAGGTACCGGGATGAAACGTTCTGTTTCTTTGAACCCTTTTTCTCAACCCTCTCTTCAATTCAGCTCTTTGGTAAACGATAACGTTTTGGCTGTAAATAGATTGTCGGTCTCGGAAAACAAACTACCGACTGCAATGCAAATAGGAGAATACCCTTTTCTTCTCTTCTCTCGTTCGCCACAGACCCTTGTCTGAGAAGAGAGTACCCTACATATCAGTATAAGCTTAAGATACGAGAATCGAGCAGGGACCCCAGGTCTCAACCATCCGGATTGCCGAGAGGTCGAGTCCATATGGAGACTATTTCTCTGAAGCTTAGATAAGTAATCGCAGTCCGCCGTCTTTGTGGCGTGTCTCATCTCGCAATTCGAGAGTAGGTTGTGTTTAGTTTTTTAGTTTTTTCTCTTTCTTTATTTCAAAAAATTCCTAGAGTAAGTAGTTGTTTTGCAGTTTCAAGAATGCAATGGCGAAAACCGAAAAAAATGCTCTGGAAAACAAACAACCCGGCCCTTCGAATACAGCAGGGGTAGATACATATGTACTCTACCCCCCTTCCCAAGTGATCGTGATTACCTCATAAACACCTGGAGTTCTGGTAGATCGCATGAGTACCTACATACAAGGTAGAGGCCAGTAACCCATCCGTGCAGAATCACTCCATTCCTAATGTCGTCAATCGAGTGAGGAAACTCTAGCTCTAGTAGCAACGGCTGAAACGAACCAGCGATGATGTGCTTCCCCAATCGAGCCCGATTCCTCTCCTACTGACCTGGCCAGTTACACTAAAAGAGCCGAGTTGTAAATTAAAGTACAGTACTCTACCTGGCCCGGCCTTGGCCATGTTGTACAAAGGATGCATACGCTGGTACCTGCTCTAGAGTTTCCTAGTAGTTACGTTACTTAGTTAGCTAGCGAGTATAGCTAAAGATAGAAAGCGAGAAAGAAAAAAACCCACATATACCCTGCTACTAAAAACTCGTGATCTTTTTTGGAGCCCGCACTTCAGAGCGTGTCAATATCATTGAAACCTGCCGAGGAACGAGGGAATCTTGGCTCGCTCTGTAAAGAGTTTTGGTAAATATCTTTTAAGGGGGGGTGGTAAAGAGACTAACGCTCTAACTATTCTGCCATTGCACTTGAACCTCATGATCACCGCATCAAAATATAAAGCCTCAGCCATTGGAATGTAAATATATTATCAGAACCTCGGATGACAATTCTTGATCATATATACCTCTTGTACACATCGGCCTACATGAAGTATTCCACGCAGCAGAGTATCGGTATCGCGGAGATGTATGTATCGTAGAGGCACACATCCACGATGTCATACCTCCTAGAGTAACTAATCCTCCTTCCTCCACCCCCTCCCCTACCCATAACCCCTCGTCGACTTCCCGATTGCGCGAAAAGGCAAAATTCCAAGCCCTTTAAGCGACAAAAACCGTGTGGATCTGTAGCCTGATATGGGTTCCTAGGTTTGTTATTAGCCTCCTGGATCCTGCTGCCTTCCTGCTATTCTTAGCCCGTCCCCGTAGCTAGTGTTCAGGAGGCGAGTGCCGAGCCCGGAATATTACTGTTGAAAAATCAATATTCCTTTCATGCCCAGCTGGGAGATAAATATCGCGGTGCCGGGGGTTCCTCCTCTTGGGAATCGAGTCGGAACGAGCTCTTCCGAGTGACTAGGTTGAGGTTGGGGATACATTGGCCTACTTGTATGTGCTCTTGGCAGGCATCCGAGGCACCTTTTCGGGCAGCTAGAGTACTCTACGAGTCTAGATAGACATCACACGCTCTGCGTAGAACATGTATCATTCCAAGATCCAAAAAGAAGACTATTAAACGAGTCAACTCCTTTAACTATTCTAGACTCTACAGTTCGGAGTTCAGGGCAATAGCAACGCCCAGTACACCTGCATAGATCGATCTGCATGCGCGCGGTACGGTTCCATCTCCTCGTCCCATCCGCCCATCTGCGTGTCTCAGTGCAAAAAATGCTGTGAGGTACAAAAGACAGTTGAACATAAACGAGAAAGAGATCATCAGGAGAACGAGCTTGCTTATTCGCTTGTTCCTGCAGTTGTGGCATTTTTTTGTGTGAGGCGTAGGTAGAGTAGGTATCCCTCTCGAACTAGACTAGACTACATCATGAACATAAACATTGTTAAAGACATGCACCTATTTCAGTGGTCAAACTTTTTGTTGTGTAGAAGCCTAGTATATTGCCGCGCTGGGCAATGTTTGAAGAAAAGACACCGATTCAACTATCGTGTAGTTAGTTGCAAGCCAAGATGAGAATAATAACACGAGCCATAAGTCCCAAACAAATCCAGCCAAAGGAGTAAAGAAGCAAAGTCACAAATACTTCTCTGCATAACTCAACCCACCTGCCAAGCCCATCAACCGCTCTCTCCCGCCCGCGCGCTCGTATTAACCACTTCATTAATACATGTGCCTACAGCTAAACCTCATTTCCACCAAGTTTCGTCGTTCAAGAAAAAGAAAAATGAAACACCATCTAGCCGAAGACATGGAGTTTTGGAGATGCGTAGCGAGAGGCAATGTAGGATGGTTCTATCACGGAGGATGAAAAAATATCTACATCTTATATACACATAAAGGTGACACGTTTAGTTAGGCTAGACTGTGGACACCGTTACTAAGACCACCTTTTTTCACACACATTCAGTGCGAGCAATTGTTCAAACCTTGAAATGATAGCCTGCTTGGGAAATCCGGGTTTAAGGTTTTCAAGTGATTGCGTGAGTGAGAAAATTGTATTATAAAACCCGCTGTAACTACATGTACATGTAGGTACAGGCAAGCCGACAGACACCTTAAACCGACATACCGCCTCATGACCAGGCCTCAACCTCGAGTGACAGCCCGTGAATCGCCTCCATACACTCCACACACTCCATACATGAACTCCAACTATATACACAACTCAACACTTGGCTACTCGCTAGCCGTGACGTGCTACGGCCCGACCCGCGGCCAAGAGTGCTTGATTCCTCCAGAGAAAGCCTCTGTCCCGTGGTGGCTCCGTGTGATCGACCCGAGTTTTGTGGCTTCCCGGCGGAGGTTTCCTTTGGCTTCTAGGGAGGGGAGTGTAATTTCCCGATCCATTGATTCATTAGTTGTGGATACAATAAGCATTACCATCCTATCCAGGTTTGAGTAGGATAGGTATACAGTATCCGGTAGAATTATTGCGAAAGTCAGAACTAAAAGGGTGGGTTTCTTGGCCCGTGCTCACTGCAAAAATTCCTTTGAGGGCCAATGGGACTATCGGGTCACGGAAAACCCACTTTCGCATTAATTCTACCAGAATCTGTAGGGGGGGGGGGGAGCCGGAGACTTTGGATTCAGCTCTTGGTCTTGGTGGTTATTGCTTTTCTGATTCGCTGCGCTGCTTGGCAATTGATTGGGGGGGGGCTTGAGTTATATTTTGGATTCGGATTCGATTCGGGTTTCTGTCATTGCAGGTCCTTTTGCAGATAATACAGCCGGCGCCGGCCCGATAGTCATACTGTAACTCTGCCTATGATGTGCACGGGTTATGGATCTTTCGCCGGTCGGTAAAGAAGCATCTCAAATCGAGAGGAGGAGGCACTCGAGTTTCCAGCACATGGCCGAATACTATTCTTAAGATATAGGTACTTGGCACTCGGAAAAACGGTCGAGGGTAGACTTTAGCGGAGATATCATGAGATGCAAACCCCTATGTATGTGCATATAGCAGAGCAGAGTATCAATCATGCAGCCGCAGGAAACTCGACCCCCTACATACATGCACACTCTATTCTATTTAAGCTTAAATCTCCACCTAGGAACTCTGCATACAGCCAGGAAGAAAGAAAGAAGGAAAGAAGGAAAGAAGGCTTATGAGACTTGTGTGAGAGAAATTTGTCACTTCAATTCAGCCCCGCCTCCCTTCCTGCCTCCCGCGCCCCAATCGCCAATCAGCCAATCGACCAAGTGGTGGCTTATGTAGATAAGCTCAAGGCTCACCCTAACAGGAAAACAATGTTTGCAATTCCTCGGGTATATATACAGCCAGTGCTTCCTCGTATCACAGAGAGCCTCCTCGTATCGTATATTGATTCCCGGAGATGTGTCATGCACCAACCAACATCTATCCCGAGAGGTGGGTTGAAACTTGCACTTTCAGCCGCTGGACTGGTTGTTGGTTGGGGTTGGGGTTGAGCAACTCAGGGGGCCAGCGAACGGAAGGATAGACTGATGATCGATTGTTCGTTTCCACACCACACAGGTCCGCCCGCACCCGCAAACCTGGATATGGCTGCGACAACCACCACCCACCCAGTGCATGATTTGACTCCCATCCCACATATGCACTTGACCTGCCTACCCGCCGTAGCCCTGTTTGAAATCAAATCCCAGTGTCTACATGTGTATTTGTCTGCCCGCCCCCTCTGCATCCGGGCAATAAAAGCAGGGCAGGTAAAGTCCACCCATCCGTGCTCCATGTACACGAGAGTAATCCCTCCCCAACGGCTCTCGACAGCTCTTGGCAACGTCTCTAGCCCTTCCAGATGACGCGGCAGCCAAGGCGGATGTTCTTTGCGTGTAGAGCGGAGTGGGTTGGGTTGGGTTGGGTTGGGTTGTGGTGGCCTCTCTCCTATTTTCTGCATTCCTGGGCGAGAGAGAGAGCGAGAGGGAGAGAGAGAGCGAGAGAGAGAGCGAGAGAGCCTCAGAGGTCAAGTGGATGGAGGAGAGTAATGATTAATATAAAGCCAGAGCAGAGTCGGATGGCGCACACCCCCTTAGATACTTAAACCCCCCCAGAGACTAGAGAACCTCTAAATTCTCCCCCCCCCAGAGACCCAAAGACCCTCCAAAGACTCTTCCCCAGATCCGAACGGTCCCTGAAACCCTTAACCCTGTCCAGGATTCAAGAATTCCAGAAGCCCACAGCTATATCTACAATTAACCTCACTACCTGCCTTATACCACCCACAGCCCATACCGCCACACACCACACACCACACCACACCACACCACACCACAATGACCGTCGACATCCAAGTCCAACAGCTCTTCATCGACTTCTCCGGCCTCCCCCCCTCCGGCTCCCCGCCCCACCCCAACACCCCCCCTCCCACCACCCCCTACGACACGCTCATCGACGCCTGCCACGACTCCCCCGCGCTCATCCAGCGCGCCTACGAGACGCACCGCACGTCGCGCAACGCGCACCAGGGCGCGCAGCTCCTCGCGCCCTCCTTCGCCGGCATGAGCGTGGACCCGATCCTGCAGGAGCTCGTGCACGCGGCGGGCACGCAGCGCATCCCGGAGCTCGAGCAGGCGGGCCGCGAGAAGAGGCGCCAGGACGAGATTGATACGCGCAATTGCTTGACGTTCTGGGCGCGCCCGACGGCGGCGGTGCGGGAGATGGTGGGCGAGGTGCAGGGGAGGCTGAGGAAGCTGTGCTCGGGTTTGTAGCTCTTTCGTTGTTGTTGTTGTTGTTGTTATTGTTGGGGATAGCTAGCTGGAGCTATATATTCATTATTGGACCACCTGCTAACTCGAGCTTGCGGACCAGACATCTGGCTCATGCCCCTCGACAACCTGCACCTCACCGTCCTCGAAATCGCGCACTCCCGCACGCGCCCCGAAATCGACGCCATCACCGCCCTCCTCCGCCCCACCCTCCCGCTCATGGTCAACCTCCCCAGCGCCTCGGCGCACCGCGCCGTGCTCATCCGCCCCATGCTCTCGTTCGACAGCGCCGCGCTCGCAATCTCGTTCGTGCCCGAGGCGGCCACGCCCGAGAGCGCCTACACGTACCACCACCTGCGGCGCGACTTCTACCAAGCGGCTGTGGACAGCGGTGCCGCGTGCGGCTCGCGGTACACCGTGCCGTCGGCGCACATCACTGTTGCGCGGTTTGTGACGGGCGGCGGCGTGGAGGACTGGGATGTGGGGAGGAGGGAGGCGTGGGTGAGCGGCATTGAGAGGATTAATGCGTGGATTGAGAGGGAGTGGAGCAGGGTGAGGTGGGTGGTGGGGGAGGAGCGGGGCGTGGAGTTTAGGAGGGGGTTGTTGTGGTATGGGGGTGGGGATGCGGTGGCGGTGGGGAAGCCGTTGTGAGGAGATTGCGCGGGGGGGGGGGGGGGGGGGTGGTAATGGGATGGGAAAATGGGTTGCTTGCTTTGGAGTTTTTTTCTTTTCTTTTTCCTTTTCTTTTTGCTTCAGGGATACCTAGATTTCAGTTTGCCGTAAGGTGCAGTCCCGTAGGAAATAGAATAGATACCTAATGGATTGCATTAAAACTTGAAGAAACGTGAAATAATGGACTACAATAAAAAAATTAACGAGTTGAAACAATTGCACAAAGAGAAACAACAAGCGTGATCGATAGTCTTCACAAGCGGTCACTCGGTCCATATCGGTCCATATCTGATTACGAAAAATCTAAATTGCGATTTATGTTTAGCCAAGCAGCAAACTAACAGAGTCTAGTTCCTCTACTTCTTCTCCGTCTTCCCAGTCGGGATGCAAAAGAAGACCGCCTTCTTCCCCTCCGCGGCAGCCTCATCACATCTATAGTACCCCTTCCTCTCAAACTGTATGATATCATCCACCTTCACATCCGCAACATTACAATCCGCAATCGCATCCTCCCTAAACTCCGTCTTGGGGTTGACGAAATTCTTGAGCTCATCCTCCTCCTCCAGCTTCTCCTTCGTGATCAGATAATCAAAGTCCACCAGCTCGACCTGCACCGTCTCCTGCGCCGCCGCCAACCACGTCACCTTCTTCTCCGTCTTCTTAAAGTCGCCCTCGAGATGGAGCGTCAGCTCCAGCGCCGTCACGTCGCCCGCGGGGTCAGGACGGGTGATCTTCGTCACAAACGCATTACCCCAGTCCATCAGCGTGATCTCCTCGCCCTCCTTAAACGAGCGCGCATCCTCCTGGTCGAGCAGCACCTCGTCGCCCAGCACCACCTTCTTCAGCCCGATCTCGGCGTTCTTCTTGTGCTTCGGCTTCATCTCGACGACGGGGGTGGCGGGGCCGCCGATGACGCGGGCCTTGACGGCGCCGGCGGCCATGACGGCGGTGTGGCGGGGCGAGATGGGGTCGATGACCTTCTTGTTGCCGGCCCAGATGATGGTCCAGTCGAGGTTGACCACGTTCTTTGACGGGCCCTGGGCAAGGATGAAACTGCGGAGGGCCTCGATCGTCATGCCGCGGCGGCGGATGCCGCGGACAGTCGGGAACCGCGGGTCGTCCCAGCCGCGGACGAGCCCTTCCTCAACGAACCAGGTGAGCTTGCGCTTGGAGAGGAGGGTGCGGATGAAGTTCAGTCTGGCAAAGTCCCAGACGTGGACCTTGCGCAGGCCGAGTGCCTCGATCATCCACCAGTACTGCGGGTTGCGGTCGCGGTACTCGATTGTTCTGAGGGCGTGGGTGACGCCCTCGAGCGAGTCGACGATGGGGCAGGCGAAGTCGTAGGTGGGGTAGACCTTGTATTTGTCGCCGGTGCGGTGGTGGACGCTGGGGTTGCAGCGGTAGATGACGGGGTCGCGCATGGCCTTGTTGGGGTCGTCGACGCTGATTTTGGCGCGGAGACAGGTCTTGACGCCTTGATCTGTTGCGTTCTTCATTTCCTCGAAGGCAGCGAGGTTCTCCTCGACGGTGCGGTCGCGGTTCTTGGAGGCAATGCCCTCCATTCTCTCGTGGCGCATTTGCTCCTGCGCAGTGTCGTCGCAGTAGGCTTTGCCGAGTTTGATCATCCTGATAGCTTCCTCGTAGAGACGGTCAAAGTGGTCGGAGGTGTAGGTGATCTTGTCACCGTGGATTCCAAGAAGGGCGAGATCCTCAAGGATGGAGTCTTGGAACTCCTGCTTCTCCTTCGTGGGGTTGGTGTCGTCGAAACGGATGATCATGGTTCCGCCGTAGTGCTGCGCAAAGTACTGGTTGAGCATAGCGGCTTTGGCGTGGCCAATGTGGAGGTAACCTCTGTCAAATCCATGTGGTTAGAATTGCGACGCCTGAGGTCTCTGGCTGGGGGAGAGCTTACGATGGCTCAGGAGGGAATCTGGTGACAACCCCCTTGTCAGTGTCCATGAGGCCAATCTCATAGCTTCCTTCCTTGCTCTTTGCCTTCTTCTTGGTTGTCAATTCCGCCTTGAAGCTTTCAACAACAGTAGATACCCGCTCGATGGAACCAATGTACTTGAACCACCGGACCAAGTTGGGAAGGTGGTTTCTCTTGATGGCAGAGATGGCCTGGCCGTTGCCGTTAAGAGCACCCCATACAGAGATATCCGCGATTGTAAGGGTGTATCCCACAAGGAATGTGCGAAGAGTTAGGTGGTTGTTAAGCTCCTCGAGCGCAGCAGAGGTGGATTTAAAGTCCTTGCTCCCACCAGAAAGACGGGTAAGCGTAAAGGCAATCCATTCATCTTCCTGTATGATAAAAGAATTAAATCCTACTTCCATAAAAACTACTAAAAACACTCAGTTCTTACCAAAGAACCCTGGCTTCCACGGATGTGCTGCGGGTATGCAGAAATCAATTTCTTAAGCACAGCTTCAGGTCCATAGACGACATCATCGCCCTCAAGCTGAACACCAATTGAAGATTCGGGAACCGCTTTGTCGAGGAGTTCAACCTCCTTGACGACAACCGCAACTGGCTGGACAGGGTCTGATCCGTTAATGACGCTGCTCGCGATGAGCGCGGGGTAGATGTGTGCAAGTTGAGCCTGGTAATAAATACTGTTAGTAACTGAGTTGTATGAGAATAAGGAATCCTTTTATCTTTACGAACCTTTTGGGCGATTAGCAAATTGAACGACGACATTTTGCAAGCGTTACTGTCCAGAGCAAGTTGGTCAGGTATGACTTTTATTTTTGGTTTGGTGGGGGAGGGGCATTTAACTCATCGGGTTAGGGTTGCGAATGCACCCGGGTAACCAAGGCAAGATGGCCGAGTTGGTTATGGCGCCAGTCTTGGGTCCCAGCAATTCTCAGACATGGCCATTGTTCATTCCTAGCTGTACTTTGGCGAAGCTTCGCGCGATCGCATCTTCCCAAACCAGACAATCAAAATGTCGGCTCTTAAGGGACTCCCTTCGTTTTCAAAGGACGCATTCACAAATACAAGCCCGGAATGCGTATACAAAGAAGTTCGCCGTATCAGAAGCCGAAAGGACCCTAAACCGGACGTCACAACTGTCAGGGACTACCAAGCTACACTAGTCAGGCACCGCCCATCACCAGAGGTGAAGAGCATCCTACTCATCGATGGAGTTGATCCAAAGTGCAAACACGGTGACTAAATTCTAACCATTTCTTTATTTCTATATATCGGTTGCTAATCTCAATCAATCTTCGTACAGTTTTCAAATTCAAATCAACCGACTTTGCACTCCCGTTTCTCTACAGTGACTCTACGGCCCATTCTCTAACGTCTCAAACGCGGTCTCAGAAACCTCCACGTACAGAAGCCGGACCCTCAACTGAACGCAAACGTCCTGTTGAGCCACGGGTAAACGTGGATGTTGCAGTAACGCCGGATAGGAAGAGACCCAGGCGGGAATCAGAAAGGCGTGCTGAAGCTGCAGAAAGACAGCGGGAACAATAGAATCCGATGCAGTTGCTAGCGCTGGTCACAACAATCACCTGCTATATGAGGGTCAAACGTACCTAGTGAGGAAATCAGTAGTATATAATCAGATGTAAAGTATATAATACTAGCACCCCTTGGGTGTTTGTCTCATCACCAAGTTTTAGTTATAGGACTTATCGTTCGGTAATAATTGACTATTGTCTTTTGTGGAATATCTTTTCATTCTTCCTTATTTTGGTGTTATGGAGCTCTCCCGTGCCGTCGGAATGCAAGGGTGTAAGCCCTCAGAAGCTAGTATATACCAATAATACCACATAGACTTATCACATAAATTATGAAGGTTCTCGTTCGGTAAATTTAGTTTATTTCTAAGAATATACACGGCGTATCCAAGTTAGTAGTAGATGTTCATCCAAGCAAAATATAAAGCTCGACGTCCGTAGATGCGAACAAGTCGCTCTTCATTAAATAGGAGGAGAGTTTGATATTCCACCTAATATAGACAATCACACTCATTGTCCCTAAAGGGAGGATGTGTTGTATATGCTGAAGGTGGTTCGGGGCAAATTATAGATTTGGGGGAAATGAACTGGTAGGATGACGGAAAGCTTGCTCTAGTCTCAGGCGATGTAGCACAGCTACTTTTCAAGACTCCAGAGTGATATATTTGTTGCATATCAAACTATATCGCTACACCCATTCTCAACCTATTCTCCAGCACTGGCGCGCCTAGCACCAGAAGCAAACCCATGCTTCCTGCAAGATCACATATTCCATGTGGGACGAAAGGGAGAAAAAAGGGAGACAGGACAGCCGTTTATTTAATTTTGAAGAAAAACCCTATTTTTGAAGAAAAAAAAGATTGTTTACATGACAACGCCTGAGTTGGAAGCAATACGCTATATAACTTGTTAGTATGGGACTTTAGCAAACATAAATGGGCAGATGAGCTCTTACCGGCCACAAATCCGCAGCCTCCTTTCCGACGGGTCCAGTAATAGCTGATCCCTTCATCTCACCCTTGGGGTTGACGATCTATTCGCAAAATCCCACCATTAGCCTCTCTATCCCTCTCCAATCAACCAACCAGCAAGCCTCCAGCTGCTAATTCCCCCAATTCTTCTTCCCCGCCAAGGTATTTTAGAAATACGTACCACACCAGCGTTGTCCTCGAAGTAGAGGTAGATTCCGTCGGATCTCCTCCATGGCTTGCTCTGTCTGACAACGACGGCAGGCATGACCTTCTTCCTCAGCTCAGGCTTTCCCTTCTTGACGGTGGCCATGACCATGTCACCGACACCAGCAGCAGGGAGACGGTTGAGACGAGCACCAATTCCCTTGACGGAGATGATGTACAAGTTACGGGCGCCAGAGTTGTCGCAGCAGTTCATGACGGCTCCGCTATTTAATCCATTAGTTTTCCGGTCGCAGCCTAGAAGGGAATCTGGGAGACGGACACAGGCAGACCGAGGGTCATCTTGAGCTTGTTACCGGCGGCACCACCGCGTCTGCAAAACAGCCATGAAATCAGCATTTAATCTCCCATCGTCGTCATTTCGTTCGCCGTGTCCAATTCGGTGGGGAAAAAATCTGGGGTTTCCGTAACGTACCCACGCTTCGACATTTTGAGCTGTTTTTGTTGGTGTTAGTACGGGAAAAGGGTTCTAGGGATCCGTCGGTCGGTAACGTGAAGGGGTCGTTATTTTGTCGTGGTGCTGTAGTCGTCAACTGCGATGTTCGTTTGGGAATTTGCGTGGTCTGGCTTGGTTGTGTGGGCAAGGGCTTGGCGGTGGGATGCGAAATTAGGGCTCCGCATTTAGCAGTCACAAAGCTCCCCCACAACGATGAACTTCACTGCTGAAACAACCGCTGTCTATCAAATCTTTGAAAAATGAAGCAAGTAAATTTCTCCTCTGTATGTAGCGGTTTTGAATGCTGATGTCTATCCGTATGTGCAATAAGGGTTAGGGTTGGTTCTTGCGATATCACTCGTTGCCATCTCTAGCTCTGCGCGCGCCCAGTAACATGGTTACCTCTTAGAGATTGAAGTGAAATGAGGTGAGATTATAACTTCACCTTTTTACAAATATGCTACCGTAATCCTACTTATCTATTAAACCGAATTCATGTGGAATTACGTTGACTATATAAATCAGCGGCTATTGGCATATTCGCCAAAAGAACCGTGAATGTTGCTCTTGGCTATATAGCTGCACAGAAGCTCACTCGCCCAACGTCCACCATGCTACTACATGTAGTCATCATCAGGTCTTGATCCCATATTATCTGCGGACCAATACCAGCAGAAGGAAGAGAGTATTTTCCCACATTTCTGCATAGGAGCATAGTTTGAGTTTACTTCGCGATTGTGCCCACCCTCCATTTAGAGCGAGGAAACTGTATATACCAAGAATCTAACCTTGACTCTTCGCCAACATCAACTCCAACCATCTTGTTCCCCTACACCCTTCGGAGAAATTACAACAATAATATTGTCTGGTTACTTGATGGCAGCGCCTTATCATCCGGGTCTAATCCACGAGGAAAGACAGAGGTGGTAGAGCAGGGTCTTGGGAGTTGGCGCACGTTTTCTCTGTCTTTCTGAGATTTGGCCCAGTGAGCTGGGGCTAAGGTCACTCCAGGGAGCTAACACAATGGCCATCGGATATAAATCTGCGAATATAAGCACCAGGTTATTATACTGAGCCTTTCTATACGTCTAGGCCAAAAATCTAACATAAACCGAAGGTGTTGATACTACCATACATACATCTTATACAAATTGCCTGGACTCAGTAATAGAGACGTATCTTGACGCTCAAATTTGGGCAAAAAAGGAAACATCCTTTATTTATCTATCTCTTCGGATAAATTAAACAATATCTTCTTAAGACGGAGGAGGGAGCAGTTTATATAGACAAACCTACAAAGAATGACTACGTATGTCAGATGTAAGTTTGTTTAGCTGAGTCTACATGTGCTTATGAAAGCCCTCGATGCGCGTGGAGGTGAACCGAGTTCTTTCTACGTAGGCTTTTGGCTTCACACGGCCTCAAAGAAAGCATACGTGAAATGAGACTACACGTTACGCTAAGCTTTATGCTCATGGAAATCACAGGAGAGCAGGCAGAAATAAATTCAAGCTTTCGCTAGCTGCTACAGTATTAGAGCCTTTAGAAGCTAAATATTGGCTTGGCATAGCCTAAAACAGCGCCCTAACATGCCTAGAGCTAAGGCCAGTCCCAATCCATAAACCAACCAGCTTCATCAAAGTCCTCAGGTTTCTCAGATTTCGCATATCATTACCGCTGTATCTTCAAAGCTACACGTACTAGTGATCACAAGCTCCATACACGAGTAGGACATGAATGCAATAAGGTTAGGCCCCAGTCTCTTGTAAACACCACTAATCATGGGACAAGTAGCAGATCGACGAAGGTCTACACATGTGGAGTTGATCTGCAGTTGATTCTTGAAGCTCTACCCTGAACTACTCAAGACACCGGCCATGAAGTTTATAAAACGCGCTTTCGACTTTTTTCTATCTCCATGGATGTAACGAAGGACGGAAAGCCATGGAATCTTATGTGAGGAAAATATTTCACTTGACCCCATAACGAGCACTATGCACCGTGAGTAGGACATCTGCATTAAAGGTATTTCAACTTCATGGCCAGCAGTGCTAACTCACTTATTTGGACTCTATCGGGCTCTATTACCATGACCCAAACGTTTACTGGAGGCGAGAATGAAAGCTTTCACTTGAAACACATTGGATTTAGGTTTAAGGTTTAGGTCTATGCGGATTACCTTTTCATATTCCAAACTTTAAACTTTGGCCATGGCGGTGTCACAAACTTTTCACACATACTTGAAATGCACCAGGAACTAGATGATCATAGTACGTATACTGTTTTATTCTTTCCTAACCTCAAACGTCAAACAATCCGCTCCGTCTCGTATCAAGCCAACATCCACCTTCCTAGCCTTCGCCACCGCGTTCCGCAAAGAGAGTAACTGTCCCGTCCGACCACTGTGTTCGTGCGCGTGACAATACGGCTGTTATAGGTCTCCAGATATAGAAGGGCTACAAAGAATATACATCATCCCCCCTCTGAAAAAGATGATGCACATTTTCTTTTCCAAGAATCGCCCCTGCGTTTCATACTCTCCAATGTCCACAATTTTTTCGACATTCTCGCACCCCAACGGAGCCTTGGTATCGTCCGACGAACATAGAGCGATCGAGGTGCGCCCCTCCGATTCCACAATGTTGCAAATATCTGCGAGTAGATCCAATCGATTATTGATGTATTGGGAGCAGAGGACATCTGCTGAAGCTCTAGCTTTGGGGACGTCCGCGGTGGTGCCTTTTCCGTCGAGGCTATATTGGGGTTGGGATAGGGAGCCTGGTGCTCTAGATGCAACGAGGGCCAGGGCGCCTGGGCTGGTGAGGAGAACGAAGTAGGGTAGATATTCTGTAAGTTTCATTTTGATGTGCGATGCTGTGGAATTTTTGTTCGTAATTGGTGGCGTTTTCTTTTTACTTATATGGTCAGTATTATAGGCTTTTAGGTTGATAAATTTATAGGAAAATCCTATGGCTTATAAAGCCGAAGAGTCATGAATTTCAAGTTTGGTAACTTCAATACCTATTACGGAAGCTTGAAAAAAAGTTGTCTCATCTGGCGAGTGACCACCTGTGACTTGTCTATATACATACGCAAACCTATAAATATCGGAATCTCGAGATCCCCACCTTCCTTCTTTCACTTGGTACTGCTGCATGATATTAAATCCCAAGATTAGTCGACAGCGGCAGGAAAATCCTACTCGATATATGCAGGACAGCCGGACTATCGATCCGAGGGAACAGTAATTGTTCCTTCGGGACATTTGAAAAATATGACATGATGTGTACATGTAGATATCAGCTGACCGGCCTTGAAACCGAAAAGAGTTACGGCTAGGCTGAGAAAAAGATTCACGATGGCCCTCGGCCTTGGGGTCCAGCATAAATGTATATATGTAATGCAGGCACAAATCTCTAAAATGAACGGGCCCCGCAGCTTGAGCTACATATATGTAGCAAGAAAAAGGGTTTGAGTCACATATATGTAGCAAGAAAAAGGGTTTGAGTCGAAGCCGCACAAGAGTACTTGCTGCTGCGGTACTAGTACATAAGAAAGAGGAGCGCTCTCAATTAAATATAAAGAACGATCAACCTGAATCCGGCCCGATTTGGATTTACATGTGCATGCCGATGCATGATGTCTGTACTCTACTTGGCGCGTATCTGTAAGGTATGCAATTGTGGTTCCTTTTAAAAACGTCAGTAAAATACGAGTAGAGTACAAATAGCACGGTTCTGTATATAATGAAGTGATAGGGCCGGGCCTCTGTTCCAAATCAGTACCAGTGCATATCTTCTAACGCCTTTATAAACGCCGGTCTCTTCTCAAGATATCTACGATATTGAGCAGTGGAGTTTACAACAAGGGCTGACATGCGGGAAAAAGCATAAAAAAAACCGCGTAGTACTACAACATGTAGGACAACTGCAGGCCGGTTCCTCCAACACGGATAAAACAGACTTGCAGATCTAGATGGGACAGATACCACCGATATCGGGCTCCGCCGGTCCTTTTTTCCATGACAAGAAAAAAATCCGTGATTGTAACAGCTGGTCGTCAAAACAAAAGAAAGCAAGAGAAAGAGAAAGAAAGAAAGAGAAAAAAAGCTATGGCTTTTCCTCCACCGATCCCATCCATCACCCTGCACGCCTCAACATCGTCCTCAATATCAATACCGTGCATATACACAATACCCCGAACCCGAGCGCCACAGTCGCCATCCCTAGCTTAAACAAGCCTTCGTCGCGCACGTGTACGCCCGCCCCCGCCCCCACCTCCGCCCCTCCCACACCGTCCCCACCACGAGAGATTATGATGATTTCGAGGCCTCCGCGCATAAGCAGGAAGAAAACGGTCAAGAGCGCACAGAGGGCGAATGGGTGCACCATGGTTAATTAGGTAATCGGGATAACGGGTATGTTTTTCTCTCGAAGATCGTAGTTGGGATAGACTTTTTATTTTAGACCCCTGTGCTATGACCCCGGGGTGGTGGTTGTGCGTTATCTCAGATAATGTGGGTGGATGTGTGGGTGGGTGTTGTGGTTGGTACGCTTTTGAGGTGTGGGTTTGGCCGGTTGGGATTTGTGCTCCTACTAGACATGGTTGTGTTAGTGATGGATGCGAGTGATGGATTGTGATTGGTACCTGAGGATTATTGGTATTGTTAGTTAACTCGCTGATGATGTTCGGTATCTGTGTGGAGATGATGTTGAGAAGGAGGAAGGCACAGGATATCAATAGAGAAGTAGACAGCTAGCACTTATCTGTCCAAGTGTCCTCTCCCGCTAATCCAAAGCTTCCAGCCACGGTACTACATGAATGTAGAACAGCTGCCAAGCATCGGGGAATAGAGCAGTGACGAATACAGGCAGGTACATCCTGCTTGAATCCGACAGAAAAAACAGAAAGTTTGACTAATCCCAAGTTTAGCAGGACCGGGCATGGAGCGCGGTCTACATTCAATCTTCCCACTGTAGTCACTTCCAATTACCAAGATACGCACTGCTCAATTTCCCGAAACCAGATTATGCAAATACAAACGGGGGAGAACAATTAAGCTGAAGCTACATATTCTACTCCATCAGTGCGGACTCCTCTGGCATTGCACCGGCTTTAGGCTGCTCTAAGATCACCCTTCCCCACAGTTTCTTCTTTTTTCTTCTTCTTTCTTTAGGGATGGGCAGCAGCCTCCTTCTTGGGTTTTGCGCAGGGTTCCTGAATTTCCTGGTACCTGGTCCCCGGGCTCCTGTACTCCTGGGTGTTGGATTCCTGTTCCCTGGTTCCTGGTTCCTTGATCCTGGAATGCCAAATTCCTGATTCTTCTTGGGCTGCTTGACCTTCCTATTGGTCGTCCTTCCCCACCTTACTCCCTTATCTCTCGTCTCTCGTTTCTACTATTACTTTTGCTCTTTCTTGCAGACCTAGAGGCATTATCACTCGCAGGTTAGAAACGGATCTAGCTTCCCACCCATCTATTTCTCCCCGCACCCCGCACCCAAAGAAAAAATACAGACCACTATAACCTCTGGGAGCAATCTGAGGGCGTTGAGGGCGGTCTACTCCCCGAGGAACCTAGGGATCTAACTGTCGGGCCATTCTTTCTTTCCTCCAGCGTTCTGTTCTTCCTTCTTCTGGACCCCACCATATATAAGGTATTGAAGGAATTGGTATGCATTTCTGCTCTTCCCTGTCTCATCCGGTCAGGCCTGTAGCTAGATTGATGCATCTATTTCTTTACCCGCCCGGCCACGAGCTCCTGGTTTTACCAACCCCATATGCAGACCCCATGCCACTAGCTAGTGCTGAGCTTTGATACGTATGTATATTATACCTTAGCTTTTTATGACACTTTTTAAGCTCTCGATTCTTTGATCAATCGAGAGTCTTGATACCTATTCGATCATCGACACCATAATATAACCCGTGCGTGTGAGAACTAGCACTGTATATTTGCTTGTGTCTCCTGTAATTGTTCCGGAACTACGTTATGCTTGGCCCTGATATCCTACGTAGCTAGAGGTGAAAAGGGAGCGTGTTGCGGCCATGATAGCTATGATCAAGGCTTGAAGTGCGGATTTACAATTGGGGTTTAAGTTGGATTGAGAATCGGATGTAGAGATAACCAGCCGGAAATGTTTGTGATAACATGTCACGGTACCGCAGTCCAGCCCATAAGTGCATGAGTGACACACCATGAGTGAGCCCCCCCCCCCCCCCCCCAAACCCACCTCCTCCTTCCACAAAGCCACAACCAGAAACCAGAAACCAACTTTTTCACAACCACAAAAGCAAAAACACAAAACACAAAACACAATGCAAAACCCAGAATCGATTTATCCATCTATGTATATAATAAAAGGTATCACCAATCATGAAGTCTATCTCATTCCTCCTTCCTCTCCCTCTCCATCACCCTCCCTCTTCTCTCTATAAAAAAGAAAGCAAACTACGCCGTCTTCTTCTGCGCATCCAGCATATCCTGCACCGCCGCGGCCTTCCTCACGTTCTTCGCCGCGTCCCTCTGGTGCGCCGAGTACAGGAGGAACCCCGCAACAGCGCAGATAATGTCAATAACATGCACGCCCCACCAGACATACTGCGTGCCCAGTGCGCAGGTCGAGTATTCGAACCGCCATGCTATATCCCCGCCAGTCAGTCAGTAACTGCACCACATATGGGAAGAAAGAGAGAGGGGGGGGGGGGACATACACTGCGCCTTCTCATCCCACCAGGCACTAACCAGCCCCGCATTCCCGCCATAACCGCCCATCATACTCTGCACCGTGACCTCCCTCACCCCGCCCTTCGCGGCCTCGGATTCCTGCAACCTCTTCTTCTCGACGCCCGTAGCCAGGTGCTCCCACCTCGTCGCATTCCAGCCCTCCTCCAGCCTCGCATGGCGCACATCGCAGCCCTCGTGGTCGTGCCCCGTGAGTATGATGCCCGCCTGCTTCCCGTCCACGGGCGTGCCGAAGAAGGAGCTGAGTACGTGAGAGCTGGTCTCGGCGCTGAGGTGGTTCTGCTCCTTGATGCCGCCGCCCTGGCCGGCCGGGAAGTACGTGAAGAGGGGGGCGTCGACGCAGACGCCGGACTGCTTGTGGAAGGGGAGGTGTGTGAGGAGGACGGTTGCCTCCTTGGGGTTGGGGTTTCCGGTGGTGCTGGATTCGAGGCGGTTGATCAGGGCGTATGAGTCCTCGCGGAGGGTTGGGTCGAGGATGGGTTCGTCGAGCGTCATGCTGTTGAGCACCACGAGCTTCAGCGCCGGCACGGCATCCCCGCCGCCGTTGTGGTGCGGCGGCGTGACTGTGAGGTCGTAGTTGATGGGGCCAAACATATCCACGAAGCGGTCAACACGGCCGCGGTTCATGTCGCCCGCATAGCCGATGTCGTGGTTGCCCGGCAGCGTAATGACCTTGTACTTCCACTCCGCACCGTCTGCATTCCCGGCCTCCAGATCCGAGGCGTTGACCTTGCTCCCGCCTGAAAAGACCTCCCAGAAGCGGTCGCCGCGCTTCCGGAACTCCTCGTCGCCAATCCACTGGCTGCCGATCAGGTCGCCGAGCACCACGGTGTGCGTTGGGTCCAGCTGGCGGCGCATGGTCTTGTAGATGTGGGAGAGGTAGAGGTCGTTCCCCCAGAGGTCGATGATCTTGCGGTAGCGGTGGAAGTCGCGGGAGAGGTGCTGGGGGTCCAGGTAGCTGAGGAGGGGGTCGCCGGGCTTGTGCTGGCTTGCGTAGCGGCGGAGGGTGGTGTCGCCCTCGAGCTGGGGGTCGCCGAGGGCGAGGAGGCGGAAGGGGGCGGGCGTGCCGTCGGGGGGCGCGTGGAAGGAGCAGAAGTGGAAGACGGGGTAGAAGTAGAGGTAGACGTTGAGGAAGACGGCGAGGGGCATGAGGAGGTCGAGGTAGGCGACGATGAGGATGCCTTTGAGCGTCATTGCGGCTATCGGGGGTGTTGCATTGGGGGGGGGGGTGGAGAGGTTCGGGGGAGAGATGAGGGAGAGGTGAGAGAGGTGGAAGAGAGTGTGGAGTAGAGAAAGGGGGTGTATCTGTAGCTAGCAGTAGTAGACAGTAAGATAGAAGAACCTACCCAATGCTGAGCAGTAGATAGACAGACTCTCTCCTGTGTGATGTTGAGAGAATGTGTTTGGGGGGAGAGAGAGATGGTGATGTCTTTTCGATGGTGTTGACGATTCCACGTCCAGGGGACAGAAAAGGGACCACGGTAACCTGCACACGAGGTAGCTGCTGTCACACAACGGGCAGGGATGGGCGTGGACGTGACGCATCCCGACCGCAGACCGCATTGTCACCCGCAGCTCTTCAAGTTCTCTCCGCTCAAGCACAACCGCAACTCAACTCAACTCAATCATTGGCCCTCTATAAGTCTCATAGCTCCCTCTAGATACAGCCAATAAACACACACAAAAGCCATGGAAAGCGTAGTCCTCTCCTTCTCTGACCTCTCCCCACCCCCCCCGGATCCAGATCTACCCCGCTGACATCCCCTCCAGCACGGCATCTCCCGCAGCGAGTACACCGCCCAGTCGCGCGACGAGCAGCTGCGTGCCCGGGAGCTCAAGAAGATCACCGAGTACAACGGTCTCTGCGCCCAGGTGCTGGAAAGAGTAACGTCCTCCCTCTCCCTCGCAGCTCAGAAGTTAATCTAGCACCGGGCAAATATCTGTAGCTAGTAGTAGTAGAAGACATGGCATAGATTGGGGTATCTGCTTAATTTGATCAGACTCACCTGAATACTAACACCCGCCTCTTCCCTTAGAGAGCCGCCAACGACCTCACCCCCGCCGCCCTCGACCTCACCTCCCAGCTCCTCCGCCTCAACCCCGAATTCTACACAATCTGGAACTACCGCCGGCAGATCCTGCTCCACACCTTCCTCGCCCCACCGCCCACCGGCACCCCTCCCTCCGCCGCCTACCACGAGGCCCTCACCGCGCACCTGCACAACGAGCTAACGTTCCTCCTCCCACTGCTCAAAACCCACCCCAAGTGCTACTGGCTCTGGAACCACCGCCTCTGGACCCTCCACCAGTCCAGCCCGCTCCCCAGCAACCCCTTCTGGTCCGCCGAGCTCACGCTCGCAACGCACCTGCTGCGCCGCGACGTCCGCAACTTCCACGGCTGGATGTACCGGCGGCTGCTGGTGGCGCAGATCGGCGGCTCGCTCACGGAGCAGGAGTTCGCGTACACGACGGCCATGCTGCAGGGCGCCGGCGGCATGTCGAACTACAGCGCGTGGCACCAGCGGTCTGTGCTGATCCCGAGGCTGCTGGAGGAGCGCGGCGCGGGCGAGCAGGAGAGGATGGACTTTTTGGAGGATGAGCTTGTGCTGGTGAGGCGGTATACGACCACGAACCCGTGGGATAGTGCGGTGTGGTTTTATCATTGGTGGCTGGTGGGGAGTAGCGCGGTGGGGGAGGGGGGGGCGGTGGTGGTGGGGATGGAGAGGGGGGTGAGGCTGTTGATGGTGGGGGAGGAGGTGGAGGTTTTGCGGGGGTTGTTGGCGGAGCAGGGGGGGTGCAGGTTTGTGGTGAAGGCGCTGGTGGGGTGTGTGGGGTTGTTGTGGAGGGTGAGGAGGCAGCCGAGGGGGGAGGGGGAGGAGGAGGATGATGAGGAGGAAGAGGTGGATGAGGAGAAGGAGAAGGTGGAGGTCAAGGGCTGGATCGAGAAGTTGATTGAGCTGGATCCGATGAGGGCGGGGAGGTATCGGGATCTGGAGAAGGAGCTGTGGGCTCTGCTGGTGTAGATAGCACATATAGTTAGCAGCCCTTGTTAATAAAGCAGGTCCGCCTATCCATTAGACATCGTGCCCTGTAATAAATAGGCTTATCCATTAATGAGCTGGATCACGCAATATCACTCATTCCAGAAAAGAATTCCGTAGCTTCCCTCATTACAGTAAAAGAAATAGCAGGTCCGGTCACCACTCCTTGTAGCTCTATCCTCAGACAGTACCTATCGCGGCGTTGGCACAAGCCCGTGCCCAAGCACAGCGCTGAACTGGCATACCGCCCAATCCAAGTACACCACACGAGTGATCTCTCATGATCCCCTCCCAGTTAGCTCTCCAATGCATCTCCCAGTCTGATGTTCAGAATATATCTGAGGGATGCAGAGCAACTGGCTCGTCCGGATCCGGGTATATTATCAATGGCTAGGTCTTGCCGTGCCTTTTTCTTTTTTTTGTTCTCCATCCAATTGGTAGATATATCCAGGCCGGCTTCGATCCTGGCGCCTCGAGGGGCTAGCTGCCGTAAAAGAAGGAGGGCAGTTACATGTACACATGGACGTAGATTGAGGATATCTATGGACCTAACGATATAGCTGTGCTTTTGGTCAAGCAGAAGTGTAGATAACACACCCTCCTCTCCGTATATATATGTAGATCACGTCGCAGCGGGAGGCGTAGACTGTCAACCTGGTGTTATAATAGTAAATTCATCCTCGCCAGCGGCGGTGGAAGGCCCTAGCTGACAATAGTTCCGAGGTTCTAGAACTTGATGGTCCATTCTACGGTGTGGCGAGTGGAGAGTTAGAGAGCGGCACTGAACTCCTGCTTGTCGGCTTTTGGGTTGGGGGATAGAGTTACCCACCCACCACCACCAACATCACCCCAGAATTCCCTAGGGAATGCATGCCACCTGGTCTTCAGTACGCTACCAACTTGCGGACGCAGCACAGGGTGTAGCACGCACCCCAGCTACACAGCTCGAGGCAGTCTTGTGCCTATGCTTCCCCTAGGCCTACATATATCAGCAGCTCCCTGCCCAGCTTCCAGGCACCATAACGGCAACAGGAGAAGAAGTGACTCTTCAATCCATGACCCATGAGCCAATGGTGGGATCTGGGGCAAGCCGTTTACTAACATTTTGTTTTTCCTCTTTCCCTCGCGGAAATCGGTCAATCGCACCTTGGCCTTTAATGCCAATGATATATTAATACCAGCGTCAATGGCTAGGATCTAGGAATAAGGTTGATAGGACACAGAATGCTGGGTTGGATATGCCCAAAAGTGTGGGGTGTGGGGTCGTTTGTTTGTAGCTTGCTTTTATGGGTTTGCTTCCGTTGGTTTGGATGGTGCTGTTCATGACGGATAGATTTCACTTTTTGAAAGTCAGACAAGTTCTACAGTGGCAGCATCACAGGAGTATAAGCCAAGCAAGCAAATAGAAGCAAAGACTACGATTGATTCCCATGCAATTATAATACGCTACGTTTATTATTTTATATCATCAACGCTAACAAAATAAAGCCCACCACCACACCACATCCACCCTCCTCCTACGACCTCCCCCTCCTATCATCATCCTCACTCCCCTCATCCTCGCCCTCAGCCGTATTATACGCACTCTCATCGAGGCTCTCCTCCGCCCACAACGAGCCGCCACTCCTCCTCTTCAGGCTCGCCCCCAGCCTATTCATATCCGGCTTCTCCGTGCCCGCCTCACTCAGATCATCCTCCTCGTCCTCCGCCCGCTCCGTGCCGTCCGTCTCGTCGTACAGCTCCCTATCACTCTCAAGCTCGTCCTCCTCCTCGTCGTCGAACCCAACCTTCCGCCTATCCGCCACCTCCTCGCCCCAATCCCCAACACCCGTGAGCCCCTTCAACCCGCCGCGCCACGGCCGGCACCGCTTAATGATAGTACCGCACCGGAGGCAGCCCCACCCGTCGCCTTCCTCGAGCTCAATCTTGCCCGCAATGCACACATAGCAGTATATATGTCCGCAGCCGACGGCCTCGTACGGGTTCACGACATCGGTCGCTTTTCCGCCCGTGGCGCCAAAGTCGCCCGACGTGTCGGTCTCCTTGTGGCAGATAGCGCATGTGCGCTCCGGCAGGAACGCGAGCTCGCCCTGGGCGGCTGAGGGGTCGGCGTTGGAGCCTCGGAGCTTCCGGAGGGCGCGGGACCACCAGCGGCGCCAGCGGGAGACGCGGATGAGGGGGAGGATGAAGAGGAGGAATTCCGTGAAGGCGTGCCAGACGAGCTGGCGGTTGAGGTACTCGAAGCTTACTTCGCGAGAGACGATGTGGGAGGGGGAGACGAGGCGCATACGGAGGACGCGGTCGAGGATGGTGCGGTAGTGGCCTGTGAGGAGGAAGGCGGCGAAGGAGACGAATGAGACGGTGGAATGGGCGGTTGAGAGGGTATCCATCATGCGCGACATGCGCTCGGTGAGGGGAGTAGACTACAAGGGGGGTTAATTAGCTGAGTGGGGCCAAGTGGGGGAGGGTCGGGGGGGGAGCTTACGTCTTCGGGGTTGGAGTGGGATAGGAGATAGAGGTGCAGCCGCTGGTAGAAGTATCGCCCACCAACGGTCAGGAGGCCGTACGCCGACTTTTGGAGAACTGTGGGCGGATGATCAATGGGCCCTGATCGTCGCGCATCGGTATAGACGAGGTTCTGGAGGGCGGCGCCATACGTCGCGTTATGGTCCCAAATCGTGAGCTTAAATAATGCCGCCCGAAGCAGCAACATGAACTCGGGCTCCCAATTCTCTTTCAGAGACGGCTACAATCATCACCAGTCAGCATTATATTCACCTGCGATGGCTTGGGCGAAAAGGCGAAAGAAAAAAATAAAAGTGTCAGAATCTAGCTGAAGCAAACAACACATACCCGAAAATACTTTAACCCATTCCACAGCTGCCCTTTCAACAGTTCCAACAGCTCCTCGTCTAAGAGCTCAGTGTCTAACTGTCCTACCCGAAAGGCTGGCCTAGCACCAGTCTTGATATCGCCGCCTCGAGTCGTGAATAAAGCACCTAGGCGCCCATAAGAGGCGACCTCCTGCTCACGATTTGCCTGGAGGGTACTTATGCGTTGCTGGGCGCGTTGATGGGCAAGCTGCCAGTCTGCTGGTTGCGGTGATGTAGCGATTGCTGTTGTTCCTGTTGCTGTGGCTGCTGCTGTCCCTGTTGTCGTGGTGGCCATCGTGTTCGATGAGGGAACATTGGACGTGGGGGGGGGGGGGGGGGGGGAAGAAGAGGACGGAGGTGAGTTTGGGTCAAGATAGGAGCAGTAGTAGCAGCAGGGAGGGTAGCCGTAGCCAACCTAGGTGGTGTTTGGTGTTGACGCGCGATTGGGTGCATGGGGCGAGCGAGTTGCCGAGGTGGTGGGAATGCTTGTGGAGTGGGTGCACGTGGTGCGCGTAGATTATGGAATGGGGGCTGGCTGGGTGTTGGGGGTGCCGAGTGATTGCTGGTGAAGCGACTCTGCGGATGGCAACTCTTTGCGCAGGGGATCCCAGACAGTAAAGTGCAGGCAGGCGTGTATCACAGGTTTGTATGGATGAGAGCAGATCATGGATGTATGTATCGTCTGTATTCAGCCAACCTCACCTCCCTGACTCTCTCGCTCTCACTCTCACTCTCACTCCCTCTCACTCTCCTCTCATGTCTCTTTATCCTACTGACTACGTCCATCACCAAAGTGCACTCGCTCAGGAACGACTTCCTCCTCCCCAGCCCAACCCATCGCTTACACGCTTGGCATCCGGCCGATCGAAGCATGAGTTAATGCGCTCCCTCGGCATTTGCCGCGGCAGCCCTTAGCCCTAGGCATCCACCCAGCCCACCACCACTCACTCACTCACTTCCCACCACCCGCATCCGCCGAACCCCTCGCGTTTCATGTTTGCATGATACGGAACTTGTAGCAGCGGGGTATGTCGAGGCATTTCTGGTATGGGGATGGGACGGGTATTGGTAGACGGTAGAGTATTCTAGAGCACTGGAGGGAGAGAAGAGGAGAGGAGAGGAGAGGAGAGGAGAGGAGAGGAGAGTCTAAGGCAGGAAGACACAGGCAGGCAGGCAGACACTAGAAGACGACCGACAGACCCATTCACCCCCTCGTCGTCGTCGTCGTCCCCCATTCATCCTTTGTCTCTAGGATATCGGTGCAATAACTCTACCTAGTAGTTGAGTTGGTATTGTAGGCAACAGAAAAGAAAAGAAATTTTTGTGACAGACGCCTTTTCTTCTCATCATCTTCTTCCTCAGAGACAACGTGACCCGTGAACTGCTCTACAACTCTATCTATCCATCCTTCTGCAGAGGCACATCTCTTCTCGTTCGTTTCCATCTCATCCCGCCAAGCACGCAGATTCACTGACATGTACCAACAAATTTAGTTGTTGATATCAATCCCATCCCACCATCCCGCAGCTTCAACCACCCATCCACCACCCCACCCCCCATCCCGCCCCTACCTCAGCCCACAACCACCACATATTCACCACTCACCACTCACCATACCACGAGTACCTCCATACACGCACAACCATGAGTTCGGGCGTCCCCCTCACGTCTGAAAATCTCTTCGAGGTGCTCCAGGCCGCGACCTCGCAGTCCCAGGAGCTGGTGCAGAATGCGTCGTCCCAGTTGAAGAGCTGGGAGCTGGTGCCGGGGTTCTGGGGTATGCTGCAGGTTTGTTTGTTTATTACCTGCTGCTGGATATACCAGCGAGAAAAAAAAAAGAAAGATTTGTAGGGCGGGCTGACTGACTGGTGGGCTGTTGGTTGGGTCCTGGCCGCGGGTAGGATATGTTTTTGAACCGCTCACTCCCGGTGGTGATCCGGTGGATGTCGGTCATCACGCTGAAGCAGGGCATCGACAAATACTGGCGGAAAGCAGCCACTAAGTGCACCTCTCTCTCCTAGCATTCGTTATGGTTGGTGGGCGGTAGCTGACTCCTCGGGCGTCTGTCCCCGCGGCGAACCACAGCGCAATGCACAAAGATGAAAAAGCCTACATCCGCGCGCGCCTCATCTCCGCCATAATAGACGAACCCAGCCCGCAGCTCGCCGCCCAGAACGCCGTCATCGTCGGCAAAGTCGCGCGCGTCGAGTACCCCCTCGAGTGGCCGGACGTCTTCACCGAGCTCACCACCATCATCCGCGACTCCTCCGCCTCCCCGCTCACCGAGGCCACAACCCTGCGCCTGACGCGCTCGCTCTCAATCCTCCTGCACGTCGTCAAGGAGCTGGCCACGGGCCGCCTGGTCCGCACCAAGGCCGTGCTGCAGAGCGTCACGCCAGAGGTCTTCAAGGTCCTCGGCGGCGTCTACGTGAAGCACGTCGAGCTGTGGCACGCCCAGCTCGGGGGAGGCCAGCAGGCCTCCGTGGAGATGATGACCATCACGCTGCTGTGCCTGAAGATCCTGCGGCGGCTGATCATCGCGGGGTACGAGTTCCCGAACCGCGCGCCGGAGGTGCAGGAGCTGTGGCAGATCCTGTATGGGCAGGTGTGGGTGCTGTTCCACGCAGAGTCGCAGCTGCCCGCGAACGGCGGCGAGGAGCTGGCGCTGCTGAGGAAGCATGTGGTGAACATGGGGAAGCTGTTTCTGGACGCCTCGACGAGCCATTCGGCGGCGTTTGCGCTGTTTCCCGGCACGCTGCCGCTGCTGGGCAAGTATTGGGAGGTTGTGGCGGCGCATGGGGAGACGCTGGTGGAGCGAAGCAAGGAGAACCTTAATGGCAATGAAGACAGCTCCGGGGAGGAGGATAGAAGGAACTTTAGAGAGAAGGTCGCGCTACATGGAATGCTCCTGTTCCGGAGCTGCGCAAAGATGATCTTCAATCCCGTCGCGACATTCAAGTGTAGGTTGTTCACGTCTACAAGGGTGCAGGGGTCAAGTATCGTTTTTGCAGGTTTATTGACAAATATGCAGACAGACACAAAGCAGAAAAGGACGAGAACCGAGAGGCTACAGAAATATTCAAGACACAGCTATTCACGCCCCAGACAGTCACGCACTGCATGGAGGTGCTAGTGACAAAGTACTTTGTGCTGTGCCCCAGCGACCTTGAGGGCTGGAGCGATAACCCGGAGACATGGTCAGAGCACTGGGAGAACGCGGTAGAGAGTTGGGAATTCGTCATCCGCCCCTGCGCGGAGAAACTGTTTATGGACTTGGTGACTAACTACAAATCAATCCTTGCGGAGCCGCTCATGCGGGTGTTTAATAACTCCATCTCCTCGACGGATGTCCTGGCCAAGGATGCCATATACACAGCTGTAGGGCTAGCGGCGCCAGTGCTGCATCCAAGCTTGGACTTTGATGGGTTCCTGCACAATACCCTGGTTAATGAAGTACAGGTGCAGCAGCAGGGGTACAATATACTGCGACGCAGAATCGCAATACTGATCGGACAGTGGGTGTCGGTCAACGTGTCGGGGGAGTCGCGGACGACAGTCTACAAAGTCACGCAACACCTCCTCAACCGCGACGACCCCTACAACGACCTAGTCGTGCGCTTGACTGCTGCACGATGCCTAAAGAGTAGTGTCAACGAGTGGGAGTTCAAGGTTGACTCGTTCTTGCCCTATGTAGATGACCTGTTTGGCAAGCTCATGGGCCTGATCGATGAGGTTGAGGAGACGGAGACGCGCATGAGCCTGCTAGAAGTTATTGGGCTCATTGTAGAAAGACTAGAACATCACATTGCGCCCTACTCCGAGGCCATTGTCCGCATTCTGCCACCGCTGTGGGAGCAGACCGGAGAGGAGCATTTGTTCAAGCAGGCCATACTTACCATTCTGACGAAGCTGGTGTCGGCAATGAAGGACAGGAGTTTGGAGTACCACAACATCGTGCTCCCGCTCATCAAGTACTCTATCGAGCCCGGATCCGTAGGTTACCTCTTCCCCCACCTTGGGATGATACTGACAATGAGTGCCGCAGGGAATGCAAATCTACCTCCTTGAAGACGCCCTAGACCTCTGGGAAGCCACCATCCGCTCCGCGCCGTCCCCTGCCTCCACCGAACTCATTGACCTCGCCCCACTCCTCATCCCCTGCGTCGAGAACGGCACCATGACGCTCCGGAAGGTGCTCGACATCATCGAGTCCTACGTCCTGATCGCCCCCCGCGAGATGATCGAGAACCTACGCTCGCAGATGTTCGCGGCCTTCGCCTCCCTCCTGGGCACGCTCAAGCCCGAATTCAACAGCATCATCACCCACGTCGTCGAGATCATCATTCGCGCCGCGGAGACCCTCGGCGGCGAGCAAGCCCTCTCTGTCGTCGGCCACGAGCTCATCGGCAGCGGCTTCCTCCCAAGCGCCCTCGAGGGTATCCACGCCAGCTACCAAGCGCACCAGACCACGGGGCCAAACCGCGTGCATTCGCCGCTGGACACAGTCGTGATGACGGACTACCTGGGTGTGCTGTCGCGCATGGTGCTGGCTAGCACCGGCTGGTTCGTGGAGAATATCCGCGTGTTTGGCGAGCGGAAGGGTATGGACGTGGAGCAGGTCATGGGGTGGCTGCTTGAGGAGTGGTTCGAGCATTTCTCGAACATCGGCAATCCGAAGGCGCGCAAGCTCAACTGTATGGCGCTCACGAAGCTGCTTGAGACGAATGAGGGATGGGTGTTGAGGAGGTTGCAGGATCTGATGGTTGTGTGGACGGATCTCGTGAATGAGCATTTGGAGAATGAGGGCGGAGAGTATGTGGTTTTCGTTTGTCCTTGTGTATGTTTGTTTGGATGAGTGCTGATGTGGTGGTGGTGATAGTGCGTTGATCTACTGGGTCCAACCCGAGGACGAGAATGCACCCGTGACCCCCGAGAGTTCCAGGCGGAAGGCGGTATGTATCCAATTATCCCCCAATTCCCCACTCCCTATCCATTCCATTCCCATTCCAAGAGATTTCCTCATTTGTCTGGGGGGGTTGTATTTCCCCATATTACTCGCACCCCCGGGCCGGAGATTTCCCCGGAAATGCAGTCGGTTTCACATTCCGTCATTTGCTAACAATGCGTCGTGGCAGCTCACCCAATCCGACCCCGTGCACGCCGTCAACGTGGTCGAGTTCATCAAGCACCACCTGACAAGGGTGCAGGGCGAGAACGGCGGGCCCGATCGCTTCAGGGAGGACTGGGTGGTGAACGTGGACAAGTACGTGCTGGAGGGGTTTGCCAAGCTGGGAG